TTGGAGATTCAGAGTGGTAGTAAGTGTTGACTCAAGGGCCCTGTAAACATTGTTCATTCATAATCCCGGCGGTATGGTGGTCCATGGTAAATCTGGGGCCTTTGGAATATCTCACATTTCTGGTCTTGCCATTCGTGCCCGTCTTATGGTGTTTCGAATATTCTAGCTAAGATTTAGAGCGTGTTTAGATCGTAGCGATTTAAGATTTGGATCACGACATTTTGACTTTGGGCTGGAGGTGGACAATTTACGATCCAAACATGCAGCGCCTCCAAAACCTGAAGCTTTTGGTGTTTCGAAAGATTCCGCCGAATTCTACTCACCAACAAATCAACCTCGCGCGCAAGTGCCCAACTGTGCGTCGCAGTATCAACGTCTTGGCGTCCAGGCTCGAGGCGGAAGGATGCTTCCACGTGTCGAAAGGAGGTTGAAGCTCGGCTTCGCCTTCCGAAAACATTATCTGTCGGACCTCCAGCATCCCAGTTTAACGGGTCCAACCCCTCCGCAACAGTCAAAAGCCGCGGCATCGCGCTTCTACGCCTCTTCCTGTTGCTTTGAACGATATTACGCGTTCTGATATCCCTGGTGACGAGATCTAGCGACCATATTTTCCAACAACGCTTTCATTTGTGGTCGTCCCTACTTTGATTGAAATCTTCTTGGAGGAGGATGAAAATGAAACACATACAAATACATCACATAAGTAGAACTACATGTCTCGGATAAAACAACCGAGCTACCTATCGATCGATCCCGAGCGTATCTACGAAGCATTTTATTTGTATGAGACGTATAGTACTTCAGTTAAAACCTTGAAGCATTTCATGGATACAACTGCGCGTAGCGAATTCGTGGAGAGGACGACCGCCGAGAAAATCCTCGTGACAGGCGTCGAGCGCACGAAACTCGTGCGGTGCTCCCTCTCTCTCGATCAACTCAAGAATACAATCTCGTCTCAATTGAAATATCAACACTCAAAAATACCTGCAACAGCTGACACGAAAAAGCGAAGAATCGTGAAAGGAGTACGATCGACCAACATTCTCGAAACAGTGCGCGAAGGCAGCCAGGTCGGTCATTCATACTAGAGAAGCAGGCATCTCCAGCTTCCGTCACTGTTTCTTTTTCCAATTTCAACCAACGGGAAAAAAACAGGAATCATCAATCTTTTGTCAAGGAAAAAAATCAACTTCGTTTACGGCTTCCACACGGGAAAGTCAGACTTCTCGAACGCTCTTTCCTTTTCCCCACGACCACGCACTAAGCTCACGTCCGCCGTCACGCCCGCCCGCTTTTCCGCGTCCGCCGCAACCAGCTTGGCTAAATTCACGTAGACCTGGGTCCAGTTCTCGACGGTGTCCTTGAAGTCCGACTCGGTCGTGGGATTGAACTGGGCCAGACAGCCCTCTTCGCGCCACTTCTTCGCGGACGTACTAAATGACGCGCGGTGGTGGCGGTGCTGGTGCTGGTGCAGAAGGGACGCCGCAGCAGAAGTGTCGTGTCTCTTCTTAGAAGTTGATGCCCCAAACTCCTGCAACAGCTGTAAGTAGTTCGGTTTCTTCTCGTCTTTCCCGACCGCCGAAATCGACGAGGTCAGAGCATTCTCGCTGCTCAGTTTCCGTTCGTCCACGATTTCGTCGAACCGCTGCTCCAACTCGAAGTTCTCCGCGGGGTTCCCGTAGATCTCGAAGGCAAACGCGTAGTCCACCCCGAGCTTGTCGTACACGTAGTCGAGGCACGTGCCCGGGCAACTGTACCCCACCTCCTTGCCCGCGGCGCCGAAGGGGCACTTGCAGTAGTTGGCGTCCAGCTGCTGCAGCATGTTCAGCATCGCCGGGCCGTTGCGCACCGCCTCGTGCCGCATGTCGTAGGCCCAGGGCGAGTACATCCCCCGGGTCCCGGAGTGGATCGTCAAAAACCCGGTGGGCTTGAAGTCCGCCACGGCGGTTTTGAAGATCTGCGTTTCGTTCTCGGAAAAGGGCTTCGGCCCGGGGTTCGTGTCCGGGCTCATCTCGTCCTCCGCCGGCTCCCACCGGTCGTCCCAATTCCGGTTTAGGTCGACCCCGTTCTTGGTGTTCACCCGCAAACAGTACTCCCCGTTCTCCACTCTCTGCCGGCTGTCCGGGTTGCCGTTCACCACGAGTTGGAACTCCGTCGTGTCCAGCAACTCCGCCATGCGCTCGGTTCCGTACCGCGCTCCGTCGGTTTTCGCCAGGTCAGACTCCCCGCACAGCGTCTGCAGAAAGTGCAGGCCGCTCTCGGGGGAGATCAGCTCGCGCGCGTGCTCGCCGAAAAGCAGAAAGAACCGGTTGGGCGGGCTGCTGTCAGTCTTCCGGATCGAGACCACGTCGATTTGCGGGTCGCTGCCCTTCGTCGCGACGGTGATCCACCCGTGGCATCGGCTCTGTAACGCGAGCAGCTGCGTGTGGATCTCTTGCGTGGTGTGGTAAAAGGGGAACGGCGTCGAGGCTGCCGCGGTTTGTCGCACTTTTCTACGCTTTTCATGCCGTTGAAACTGCCGGTGCAGGAGCGAAGAGGTGGCTTTACGCCGGACAGACGCGGCTGCAGTCTGTTGGGCGCTGAAGAGAATCAAGTGCGCCGTCCCCACAATAGAAGTGCTGATTGTCGATACCAATAGACAACGGACCCCCGACATCCTGCTGATCTGTGTCATTATGACGTCCTAGTATAGCCGGCGCGCCCGCCGCGGCCGGATCAGACAGCCTTACGCCTACGCCCGCGGAATCGAGCCTGACGGACACATACTATGGCGTGTGCGAAACGGAGAGTGTGTAGACGGACGAGCGATATTTCTAGGGCCGGGGACAAATCACCTAAACCCTTACTATCTCAACAAGACGAACGCTTGAACAAAGGAGCCCCCCGTCTGCGAACTTCTTGTCAACGCCGCGTAGAAGTAAGTAAGTCGAGATTCGTCGTTTCCGGTGGATTTCACGCGTTTTGTTCTTTCACATCCTAAACACACTTCTTGCTTTTGCGCGCTAGAAAATTAACGTTACACTACACTTCTTCACACACGACTGTAAATCTCCTTCTAGGAAGTCACAAAAGATATTCATCCGCACAAGTGAACTGCATCTTATTCTATCCTTTTAGGCAGACCACCCATCGGCATCATGCCCATTCCGGGCAGGGCCACTGCCCCGGGTGGAGGCTTCTTCGGACCATTCGATACAGTGGAGGACCGGTCCTGCTCCCCCGCGTCGGCGTCCTTTAAAAACTCGGACATGCGTGTGCTTGGCAGCCCGCTTGGCAGCCCGCTTTTTGTCCGACTGCCCGACTGCCCGAAGCCGCCCATCGAAACGGGCTCCATTTGGGACGGGTTCTTCTCGATGTCCGCGAGGTCGTCCGCATCATGAGCCTCTTTGAAGGTTAGCCCGGCCCAACCGCACTCGTCTCGTACGGCGGCCTTCATAGCGGCAAGAAGGCTGCTGTGCTTCATCTTGCTTCGACCTGAACCGAGAATTATCGTCGAGTGGATAAGTCCGAGCGCCGAGCCCCGCTGCGGCACTCGTCGTGCATAGCTAACTTGTGTCTTCATCTAAACCAGCCTACATGAAAATAAATTCCATCGATTCTTGAGAAATGCAGTAAATCAATAGTGTTAAGCGTGAATAGCCTAAACCCTGAAACCTAAACAAAAACCCTTCTGGATCGAAATCAATACAATAGTGCTAAGCAAAAATACTTGGCGCGCCATCGGCAGTGTAAGATATCATCGACACGTTTCCGTCGTCCCGGCGCCAAACCAGGTAGGTGCAGTCTGCGGGGGCGAGGGTTATTGTCGTCAAGCTCCCCTGTTCTACGTTGCCTGATATTGTCCCGTCCATCCCTATTCGTGCAGCCACGATGCCGCCGGGCTGCAAGCTGTTTTTATAATTTGGGCCGTCGCGTGTTACAAGCAGCACAGCCGCAGTCTTATTTCAAAATAGCGTTTCTTTCAAACCTCGTCCTCCACTACACAATCGAAGTCAACTACGACATCATATAATTTTCATTCATGACGTTTACGGTACCTTTTTATTGCTGACTTTAGCCCCTCGTCGACTTTAGCCCCGACGGTTGCCATACCTGGGAGGCGGAAACCCTGCGAGTTTCGCTCGCGCTCCATGGCGGCCTTCGCTTCGGCGACTCCTCTTTCGCTTTCCGTCATAACGGAGTTTCGCTCTTCGGCAGAAAGACCCGTGATGCTGCTCCGAATACATGACTCGCTGTTGAAATTTTATTGTAAGTATTAATCTCGTCAAAGCAAGCATGAACCATGCTGAGTCTTGATTTTTTTTTTTGACCAAGACCGATAGATATCCTTCTGGAAAGCGAAAAAGCCCTGGGGAATCAATGACTTTCAAAAGTGAAAAAGACAGTATGTACTCAAGCTCGTCGATCTCGTCAGTGCGAAAGTCTTTCCAACTTTTGCCCGCTGCCGATGGTTCGAGACCTTTCAGTTGACTTGCTGCCTGTGTGTACCTGAGGGAAGGCAAGACCAAATAGGAAAGATCAACAAGGTCGTGTGACTTTCCTCTCCGTTATCGGGATCGCGAACAAATACATGCTTGGACAGAGCAAGAAAAAAAGTTTGATAGTTGAGATTGTGTTCTTCGTACTTATGGCCCTGCTACTTTTCTTTCTGAATCATCACCCATCACGAAAGATTCCGTATGATAATGCTTACAGGAATTTCTTTTTTGTTGGGACGTCTTCGGGTATCCACATGATAAACACGTTCACCGTGTCGCCATTCGCCAGGAAAAACCGGGGCCCCGGTTTCTCTTGGATGGCACTTCTCAACTGGTCGAAGGCCGCGTTGAGACTGCTGCTCAGCGGTGCGCGCACCCCTGCCTTGAAGCTCTCGTCTTCTATCAACACCTCCACTCCCCGGTACTTTTCCAGCTCGATACTGAACCCATCCGCCTTGATCGCGGCCTTGTTCAGGGCTGGGACGGACCCCGCAAACTGCATGATCGTCCTCGATCTTCCCGAAGGCTTCAGCTGGTAGGTTTTCTGGGTAGTTTTCTCAGGCAGTTGGGCGGTGGACCCACGGACTAGAAGAAAATTGTGCCGTAGCGAATCATGGGTTTTAAGAAGGAAAAACTCGAATTATAGTACACTGGTTCAAATTGATTTACTTATGAAGAAGCCGTCAAAGTCCTCAGTGTGGCATTAACACCGCGTACTTACACTTGAACAAACAGTTAGGCCGTGCTCAAGAGCTGGCCGTGGGTGATAGATCATACAAAAGCAAAACTCATCACCTCCACTACGTTGTGATGGAATCCATCGTAGAAAAAGTCTTTCTGCGACCAGATGGAATAGAGCGAAAAAATACGTCGAAAAGCCAACACTTTGAAGAACAAGAAGAAGATGAACCAGCACAGAAGTCATTTGTCGTCCATTTTTTTCAACTCATCATGTCGTTCTTCTGCACTTCTGAACAGGAAAGCAGTTGATCGTTCAAGACTGCTTGTCTTCATTTGAGATCTTTTGCATGAACACCGACTTGGCTGCTCCTTGAATAATTCCGACAAAAATTGATATCCTGACTCGTCCACGTTGGGCTTTTGGCTTTCGTAGGTGAGATGCTCTCTCACTAATTTTCAGAAACAAACGTACAAAAAATCATTTCTGGTACACGAAATTGATACAGTTTCCTTGTTGTCGGTGAAACAGGCGCAGTCATCGAGTTTAATTATTACAAGTCGATATGAAGTCGCAGTCAGGATCGGGGTCTACAAGACGGCTGGTGGAATTACACAAGAATTTCAGTGTTATACATGGATACTAAATCAAGGTACATTTCGATACAGTATTGATCGCGGCAGTGATTTGGTGCCTTCTGTTTCATCTGCTTCATTAATTTACACCGTATATGTACGTACAAATTTACAGGGAAAGTTTTTTCTTTTCCTAGGGTGCTAAGGAATTCTTGAGTGGCGCGTCGCTGCCCTCACACTTCCGCCGCCACCGGTTGCTCTGCTCCACCCCTGGGTCCGCCTCCGCCGCTGCGCAAGCAGTAGAAAACCCCCGCAACCAGCAGGACCCCGCCTACGAACGACAGCCCGTAGTACAGCATGCAGTACGGACAGCACCAGCACTTGCACTCCTTGTCGCTGCACGGCTTGTTGTCTTCTTCGCCCCCGGCCGGTTTCATTCCCTCCGTCGGCGACGCTTGTTCTGCCCCCGCTGGCAAACCGGTTTGGGCGGCGGGCAGGACTCCCGCCCCTGCTTGCACTCCGCCAGTCGCTGGGACGGCCTGCGGCGCCGGGGGTGCTGGACCTGGGCCGCCGGGCGTGGCGGGTGTGTTCATCAGGTTCGTCATGCTGTTCGACAGTGCGGCATTCGGCGTCGCACCCGGGGGCGTTTGCGTCGCAACAGCACCCGGAGGTAGTTGGGCTTTCATTTCTTCCTGTCCTTGTTTTTCCACTTTTTTTTCGAGCGCGGAAGACGGTTCTTTCGCTTGGGTAGTCTGGAGCTCTTGCTTTTTCTTTCCGCCCTGCTTTTGATTTTTCTCATTTGTCGCAACCGCCGGCGCATCGAGTGGCGCAGGCGCACTGTCACTTGTCAGCACGGCACTTGTTTCCAATGCACCATTGGCGCTGTAGGAAAATAACCCGGGAATCGTGGTGCTGAGACTCGAGCCTGCAGCAGGGTGGTCCCAGACGATGGCACTAGCGTGGGTGAGAGAGAAAATGAGGCACAGTGTGGCGCGAAGAACGTGCCCCTGGAAGTGCAGATGAGAGGTGCTCGCAGAATGCAAAGTCATCTTGTACTTCCTCGTACTTGCGAAACGATACTGCACAACTGTCTCCCGAGGTCGAGTAATCTTAGCACGTACTTCTAGAAATAGGTCCTGCCGCGAGGTCGGGGCGGTAGCAGATCAGTCAGCAGCTGTCTCCAGCACTTCTTTATTTGATTGAATTTCAGTGTTCTCGGGCTCAATGATCCCGCTCGTAAGCCGTAAGCGAATCAGTCAGTATGACGTAGAGGGCTCCCTTCAAACGTGCACCGATCTTCGAAACAAATTGCTTCGAGGACACGACCTTCGGTGACTTCTCAACCAGGACGACGAGAGGCGCTCCGAGTTTCGCCACACAACTAGAGAGCATCAAAAACTAGTTTCTCCCACATCTACCGCCGCGGGCTTCATCACGAGTTCTCGAGCGAATATTTTCGATCGACCACACTTTTGCTCCACGTGAGCGCGACGTTGTGCAAAGTTCGAGTTCAACACGTCGAAGGAACTAATATCATGTTCGAGAGCATGAAATTCATTTATCTTTCTACGAGATTGTAAGTAAACAAAAACCGAGCTCAGTCTGTTGGGCTTCTATCGACTGCCGGCTGAGCGACAACTTAAGCCTCAGCCGACCCTGACTAAACCCGGCAATGCTGAATGCACACAGAAGCGTGAAAACAGACACTGCCATATATTGTTCTAGTTCCGGTTTTACAGCGACTGAATTCTAACTTTTTCCAGCCACGAAAGTTGCCAACGGAACGGGAAGATAGAGAGCGGAGGGAATAAAGATACTGCTTCGTGAGATCCTAAGACATAATACGGGAACTTTATTCATGTTGGCCATGGCGGATCTGATAACTGAGAACAGAAAAACTTTTGCCGAGAGCACATCCGTTCAGACTGGGGCGGTCACGTAGTTGTTCACATTACTAAACTTGTTGCTTGAGAAAGCTTAGTTCAGAAGGTGTCCCAAGTGATCCAATCATCATAGGAAGTGCTCATCTTGCGTAGTTGGAATGAACTTCACTGCCCTGCGACAGAACTGCGTCGCAATACTTTTCTGAGCCGTTCTTCGAGTTTCTGGATCATTCTCATTGTACAGGTCTAACATTAATTTTCATTAAGGTGAGATACACACAGGTAGCCTGACAGCGAATAGAAAAACAGCCACGGTCGAACTATTTGCTGACGGAAGTGAATCTTCGCATTTCAGAGCCTAGTGGTCCAACGAGCAGACGAACTTCCTTTGCGCCGTTGTACACGATGGACCGGCAACTTACGGACACAAATCAATGTATTGAAGTGAAACAATTTCTTGAACAAACGCATTCTCTTACTTTCTAGTACAGTGTACAGACTTCCGAAACTGGGCAAAAACTTTAATTTATCTTAATTTTATTCGCATAACACGCCCGCACACGGATGCTAGTACAGTTTAGGGTTCCGAAATTAACTTTCCATGCCGGGAGTGCGGGGCCCGGCAAGATGTGGAAGTGGATTAATTTGGTATTTTGCATTACAAATGAGTGGAAGGAGGACTCGTGCCCTCTTATAAAGCGAGTCGGCCCCTTCAGTACTCCTCCAGAATATTGAGCAAATCCGTCCAGTCCCAGGTGTTGTTGAATATCCGTGTTCTCAGATCCGTTCTTATCAACTGCAAATGTGTCTTGGTCTGCAAACATGTACATGCATCACGCATAAATTTGCGAATGAAACCAGGGACGCTTGTGAGTACAGCAGAGGACAGCAAGTCTTTGGAGCGCGAACTACGCCCCCCCATGCGTAGTGCGCATCCATTAAAAGTTGCGCGTTCATCGCGTGCCAGACATCAAAGCTCTGCTTTTATTGCCCCTCATGCAAGAACACAGAATTATATATTCCCGGGAGTGCGATAAAACAAGCATGAACTCGCTACGTAATTTCCAGACCCCGACAACGCATCTGCAGTGGATAGTCTTGCAGTAGTCCATCATTTCTTCGATCTGCTCCGGCGTCCTACCTATGGATTGCAAAAATGTCTGGGTCTGGAAGATTCTTACATTTGTCATGCATGGCTGACATGACTCGAGAATCTGTGATGCATGGGCACGAAAAGGGTCTCCTATCTGTCATGTGAAAACGTTGTTTCTCATGCGGAATACGCAACACATAGCAGCTCAAAAATTTGTCATGCCTGGCTGCGTATTGCAGTCCAGCTATCATCCACTTTTAGCATTACAAGTTTCCAGACCCAGACATTTTTGCAGTTGATACTACCAACCCTCGCAGGGACGATGTGTACTATCAAGTACCACAGCAGAAGGGGAATCAAGACCGCAAAGAGCGAGCGTACCCACATGGTCCGAGGGTTCAGTTTGTCCGCTTTCATGTGCCGCGAGATCAGAATCCGCGCATCCGTTGTCTCCTTCTGGCGCTCGGGCGTCGTCACGGCCTCATACACGTAGTCGTCGACCTGTAAAACAATCAGGAAGAGTGCGGCGTTACCTAGGATGTTGTCAATGGTCGCAGTGATGTAGTACTCCAAACCGATTGCAAGGGTCGAGGCCGCGACCACAACCTGCGGCAACACGACGAATAGGTTAAAGATCAGCTTGAACCACCGCGGGCAGCCAACCAGCACGAACATAAGGTCCTTGTCGACAGACGTGATTTTGTGCGAAAGTCGTCGTCCGCCCTCCACCTGTTTCGCGTCTTCATCTTCAAATTCCACGCTCGCTTCCAGTGCAATCGAGTCAGCGGCACGGCCAGACGGAATCCGGTGCGATCCGAGAAAGCACCAGCCAGTGATGTGCAGCCGCTTCCCAGTTTCTGCCCAGACCGCAAACACGTGAATTAGGGCCAGGGAGAGAATCAGCCAAATGTCGGAAGAAATGGACCAGTCACAGACTTCATTAAATTTGTCCGGTTGGTTTTCGCGAAGGTACGTTAGGTGCTCTGTGATGTTCGCCGCAGCATGATGTGTGGTCCACATGTTGGCTCGATCCTCGATATTGCTGCTGGCGGGCTGCTGGTCAAGCCGCGGGTTGTTGTTGGCCCCTGCGGGCAGGAACCGCCTGTCCGCTGACCAGTGGAACCCAGCACCAGGCTGCTGCGCGAGATGCTCGGCGGATCCCAGGCTGAGAAAGCTTGAGAAGGCAGTTTTGACGGTTTCGGAGGTGGTTGTGCCCAACGCTGGAATCAGCTCCTGGAGACTTTGCTTCCACGCGACGGCAAACTTCCCCGTGATCTCCATTTGCACCGCGATGACGAGAAGAAACTGCAGCGAGTAGGAGGCAAAAGTGATGCCCCACATCCACAAGGCCTCCGCATACAGTTGGACATTTGTCCCCCCAGCAGTGCACTTCAGCCCGGCCAGCGCATACATGGAAGACACGAGAACCGCCGACTGGAGACTGTGATCCAGGTTCTCCAACGCACTCACGCGCTGCTCTGCCGCACCGTCGCCATTCACTGCGTCAAAGACCTTCTGCGCATTAGTGCGTCCCCTTCGCCCGCGGTGTAGATGATTATCTCCTGTCGCTTGCGGAGGAGCGTAGAGCAATCCTTGTTCAACATCAGCATGCTCCTCTGCACCATCTTCTACTTCGTCCGTCGGCGACGCGGACACGACCCCCTTCGCTCTGCTCCCACTTGTTGAACCGCTGGTTGTAGCGGACAGTCGTGATCTCCAACTTTCCTCTTTCAGGAGCGCAGTAGCGGCGTAGCCGGGGACAAGTTCCCCGTTGGATATGTACACCAAGGCACTGGTCGATTCGGTGTCCACCGAGTATGTTGTCGACACGCTTGCTGTCTCTACTTGCGGTCGCCTTGTATCCCCCTCCATCATGAGAATCAGCCCTAGTTGGCAACGATCTTACAGATTGGGAAGGTAAATTGGAATCGATCCTACTTTCTTCTGCCGTGACTTCGCCTTCCGGCGCATTGAAAAAACACGTTCAAACTTGTATTTATGAGGACACTTCTTGCAGGAATGAATCATACTCGCGGACAATTATCCTTCAAGATCGAGGCGAAAACGTGAGCCGTAGAAACATTCATTGAATAAATACGCGATGCCTGTACGTACGACATCACGTCACGTGCCACACAACACACCCCCTAGAAGACACGAAGATGCCTTCTGCACGAAAAATGGCAACGGGCTGCAGCCTGTGATCTTTGATTTTTCCTGCGATAGCGCTAAACCGTTTGGCAAACGCGACACGACGATACTTTTTTTCTAACGCGGTGACGATGATTCTGTAGGCCCCGACTGCCAGTGACGACACGACTTTTAGCATGTTATTGATCACGACGTTTCCCTGCGATTGAAGAGTGTGCTTGGAGTCAACAAAACGATAATGCGGCATCACAAGAAAATGATGCGGCGTCACGAACCAAACCCCTCAAGGTAAATTTGTGCCTCAAGGACACGGGCCTCATTCAGAGTCGACCGATCTATTTGCCATATTGTCTTCACAACTTTCAGTCTCTTTGCTTCGGGTTCATCATCTGCACATCTCCTACAGAACGAAATAGGCACCCACCAGCAGCAAAAAAGATGAGCTTTATTGTTCACACCCTTATTGACCCGTTTCTCCTGGTCTCGAGCTGCATCAAAATGTTCTTGCACTGTGCTCTTTCTGCAAAACCACTTTTGGCGGCCATTTGTTTTACCTGCGTCCAGTACATCGCCCGTCTACCTCCAGTACACCGCCCATTTGTGTAGTTTCTCGAGGACCTGTGGGAAGAGCGCGTTTACGGACTCGTTAATGAGCAAAATGAATTCCTTCTCAGCTTCCTCGTCTCGTTTCTCCGGCGTGATATGCATTGCAAAAGCAATAGGAATAGCAAAGGTCGTGTAAGTACAAATCTTGGCAAGACCCGACAGGCAAAAGTTGCGCTGCTGGCTAGAGATTTATTAGTAGATGCATCTAGAAAATCGCATAATTGCTTCATCCGCTCTCTTCAATGCAGGAGCCTACAACTTGCAGGTACGTACTTACTCTTCTCTACCAAATCAACGATATTTCTTTTGCATTGCATACATGAATTTCTCCTGCAGCTTTGAAAGGGCAAACTGCGAGATGTCCTTAATCCCCGCGTCGGACATCAGGTAGAGTAGATTCACGACCAAATTCTGATGCCGCCGCAGAATTTTGAAGGCTTCGCACGCGTTGCTCAAAAAGGTTTGGTACCCCGTGGAATCCTTCCCGCCCATGCCGTCCACCATCTCGCGACACAACTTCATCGGCGGCGGTAGCGGCTTCGGGTCCTTGTTTATGCTTTGCAAATATGCCTGGGTGCTGTGAATGAAAACTAAAGCTTCTGTATCTGTTAATTGTCTTGCATAATTCCAGGAAAATCTGCGACTGCAAGTGTTGCAAAAAGCATCCACAATTCAGCGAGCTGCAGCATCATAGGTTTATAATCCAGCCCCCGACATGTAATTTTTCTTTGCAGTGGATATTGCCCAGAATGTAACCAAAATCGATGTGAAACATTTGGCCGGACTTCGACACCATCAGATTATCCAGGTGCCGGTCCCCGATGCCCAAAATGTACGTGATCACACAGTAACCGGCACAGCTGCGCACGAAGTTGTCCAAGATCTCCGGGTCTACCTCTGGTCTCTGGTGTGAAGCAGTAGAGGTAGCAGAACTTAGGGTAGACGACAAGGGTTTGTTGGTCACATTGAGTTCTTTACTAGTCGAGTAGCCTCCACTAGCGCCTTGCTGTGCTGTTGATGTGGTATAAATGCCACACAATGAAGCTCCTTTGGTAGTACCTCCACCACCCGAAGCTGATGTTTTCAAAAGCATTGCCGCATTGTTTTCTGCCGAGATGGACTTGAAATAGCCCCACAGGTCGTTGTTGTTCTCCGCCAGAACCGCGGACAAATTTTGCGCGTCGGGAACAAATTCGATGAAGCCGTCTACAGTAGAGCAGGCAATCACTTGGTAGGGCGTGAGCCGGAGGTCCAGACCGTACTTCTTCAGCAGCGAGTCCATCAGAATGATCATCTGCAGCACCAGCTGGTCCTGTCGCAGGTCGTCGCCCTCTTTGAACATGTACTTCTATCAAATGCAAAAATGTCTGGGTCTGGAAGAATGTCATGCTTGTCTGGCATGACTCGAGAAAGTCTGATGCAGGAGCAGGAAAAGGGCCTCTTGTCTGTCACGCAGAAACGCAGGCTGCCATGCGGAAAACGAAACACAAGAGCAGCTCAAAAATTTGTCATGCTTGGCTGCGTATTGCAGTGCGCCCACCATTCACATTTTAGCATCACAAGTTTCCAGACCCAGACATTTTTGCATTTGATAACTTCCGCAGGGACACGATTTCGTTCTCGTCCTTGTATGAGAGTGCACAACTCTCCCTCCCCCTCATTTGTATGGCATCAACAGCATTACAAACACCAGTACAGGTGGACCCTGTGCATGACAAGTTCATGCGCCGAGTGTAGTACTGTTTGGAGTTCCGGAATTTGTCATGCACGCGGTGCCATAAGGTAGCAGCTGAGTTTGCGTTTTTGCATGACAAAGAGGGGGAGGGGGGGTTGTGCACTGTCATACCTTGACCTCGCAATGCAAAACTGCCGGGTACATGGCAGACTTGATCAGGAAACACTTCGAGGGGATGATCCGCACCAGCCGCTTGGTGGGGTCCACGATCATGGGCAGATCCAGCACTTGGAACTGCTTGGAGACCATCCGGTCCCCCAGGTCCGGGTCCGGGACCTGCTTGCCCGACAGCGCGTCCTGGAACTTCGCGATCTTCAGCTCGATGTTCTGCCGCTTCTGCGCCTTGCTGATCCGCATGGCCCAGAGCAGCTTCCGCCGGAAGGTGATCTGGTCCGTGATGATCTTCGCGAACGCCGGCTGGTTCTCCTCCAGGGAGTCCAGCAGCTGCTGCCGCGCCTTCACGAAGATGTACGCGTTGAACAGCGCGGCCTCACCCTCCCGAAATTGCCCGCTGTCGCTCGCTTCGATTTCGGCGATCAGAAACCAGTGGAAGTAGGTGGCGAGAACCTGAAAGAAGGAATGAATGAAAGTGCTGAAATTATGAAGTCAATACTTACGCAGGGCGAGCTCGTCACTTCTTCCTGTCTGATAGCTGCCACGTCACAAGTACAAAACCGGGCTGCAGATACAAGTAGTAGAGAGTGAATCCTTAAGCAATTTCTCAAGTGAGGCTCTTATACAGACATGAAGATCCTGCTTTCTATGCAGTATGCAAAACTACTACCCTCGCTTACCACGTTCCTCTGCGCTCGGTGTATCAAAAACACCAGTAATGGGTCCGCCTCCCCGCTATTGTCGAACGCGTCTTTTGCGACCCCTTCCGCAACTTCGGACGACGGGTCGTTCTCTCCGGACGCGCCGCGGTTGCCCGGCGCGTACCGCAGCGCCTGCACCAGCTGGAGCAAATACCCGAGCAGCTCTTCCTGCGACGCGTTTTCCAGCCGGTCCACCGCGTACCGGCGCACTTCGGCGACGCCCCGGAAATCCTTGCTCAACAGCGCTAGCGCGTCATCCGTGTCGATGGCCTGCCACTGCGACATCAGTTCGAGCGCGTGCTTCTTCTCCGCCGCGTCCAGCCAGTCGACCACGAGCAAAAACTTCACCAGGGCCTCCTTTTTGTCCATCAGCGAGTGCCGAAACTTGTACAGCAACAACTTCTCCTCCACACTGTACGTCCGTTTTGGCCGCCGGACCAGCTCGTTCAACCGGGTGAGTTCCTCCCCGTTCGGACGGAGGACGCCCTGGGGTATTTGAAAAGGAGAGTCTATTTACAATGTGAGTTCTTCATCTTGCGACACCCAACGAACTACCCCCCGAATTCTCATCTTAAATGGTGGATCCATGAATTTGTTTCTAACATCAGTCTACATTCATTTTACAATACCTGACTCTGTTCCTTCTCCCCACCCTCGCCCTTTTGAAGTTTGAGGTACTTGAGGTGCGCGGGATGTTCGAAATTGCTTTCCAGCTCGTGATCCACGAGCACGACAAAGTGCGACCTGCCAAGCCCGCTGTGTGCATCCACGCCTGTGTCGGGATACCACGTTTGCGACAACACGTCCATCAGCGAAACCGCCGTGCTTTTGGAGCTGGAAGGCGTGATGCTATTTTTTGGGTTCGTACTGCCCCCTCTTTCTGCACGTGACAACTCGCCGCTGTTGATGCAGGGTTCAACATTTTCAGCGTCGTCATCATCTCCGTCTTGAGAGCTCGTCGTCCAAGGGACCGCTTCATCCGCCCCCGCAAGCAGCACCGGGGGCGCGTTGGGGCTGGTTGCGTACATGTGTCGCACCGCCACAGAATCCGCGTACGTGGTTTCGCCCCAGATGACCGGGTACGTGAAACACGGTAAGTGGACCGTCAGCACCTCCTTTCCCAGCCGATGCAAAGCATCGTCCGCGAGATTCTGGATGTGCTCACGCGCAAAGCCGCCGCCTTCCGCGAGGAGTCCACGGTCCGCGAGATCCAGTAACTTGTCCCAATTCAGCAACTCCTGTTCTGCCTCTGCAGTGGGCGAAGAAACTGTAAGAGTGAGGTAACAAACCAAATCTGGAACTTCGCGGTTGAGTTCTCATCCGGCCGGCCGGCCGGATGAGAACTCAACCACGTCACCGGCGGAATCGATCCGGCCGCCCGGCCGGCCCAGTCGTCTTCTCCCCTCCCTCAACCGGTGTGGACCCACTGTCACTCTGCTCCCCCGCTGTCCCGCCCGAGCCGCGTTTTTACTATGCAAAAAGCCCCACTTTTGTCATGCAAAAGCAGCGGAAAGCGCCGAAACCGAGAAAAACAGATGCTAATAGTAATTCATTACTCCTTTATTTGCTTTTCACACCACCAGGCAGGGCACTACTCCCGCTTCCGCGCTGTAGTGTTGTTTTGCTATGCAAAACGCCCCTCTTTTGTCATACAAAAGCAGCGGAAAGTGCCGAAACCGAGAAAAGCAGATCATACGTCGCTTCTACTTCAACTCCTACAACTACTACTGGGCGCTGCTACGTACAACTACTACTGGTTACTTGGTTGCGAGTTAAACCAGACTCGCAACCCGCAGGGACAAGTCGCAACCTTCCGCGGCAGACGAAGCGCGCCCTCTGTATCGACCATGTAAGCGTGCGCAAGATCGTAAATGATCAATGCCAGCCAGCGCCAGGATGCGGATCTAATTCTGATCAAAAATGAAGAGGGTCTTCCAGTTGCAATTTAAAACTGGCCAGAGCAGGATGAGGATCCCTCTAGAGGATCCGACACGATAAAGAAAGTTACTTACTCACTTTTGTGCTTTTTCTTCTCGTATTGCTTCCAAAAATAGGAGCGCGCTCTCCTTCTCGTGAGTGCCACACGCAAAAGCCTTGCACTTAGGCTTCTCGAATCGCGACGGCACGCCAACCACCGACCAACAACCAAGTAACCAACCACCGACCAACCAAGTTGTAGTAAGTGTGTACTGCAGCACCCAGCAGTAGTTGTACGTAGCAGCGCCCAGTAGTAGTCGTAGCAGTTGAAGAAGAAGCAACATATGATCTGTTTTTCTCGGTTTCGGCACTTTCCGCTGCTTTTGCATGACAAGAGACGGGCTTTTTGCATAGCAAAACAACACTACAGCGCGGAACTGGGAGTAGTGCCCTGCCTGGTGGTGTGAAAAGCAAATAAAGGAGTAATAAATTACTATTAGCGTCTGTTTTTCTCGGTTTCGGCGCTTTCCGCTGCTTTTGCATGACAACAGGGGCTTTTTGCATAGTAAATAAAACGCGGCTCGGGCGGGACAGCGGGGGAGCAGAGTGAGAGTGGGTCCACACCGGTTGAGGGAGGGGAGAAGACGACTGGGCCGGCCGGGCGGCCGGATCGATTCCGCCGGTGACGTGGTTGAGTTCTCATCCGGCCGGCCGGCCGGATGAGAACTCAACCGCGAAGTTCCAGATTTGGTTTGTTACCTCACTCTAATTATATCAGCCGTCTCGGTGCTGTCACCATTGCTTTCATCAACCTCGTCCTGCTCTTCGGCTATGGCCAACTCCAACGGGTCGCGCAGGATTAGCAACTGCCGCCCTTGTTTCAGCACTGCGTCCGGTTGAAACAAATGCAAAACCGTCTCGTAGATGCCCCCGTTCTCGCGTACCACCTGAAAATTTATGCGCGCTGTGAGCGGCAAATCCCGAACGCGCACCGGGAAATGCATCCATTTGCCACTGCTGCTCGTGGAAAACGGGTTTTGTCGCTGGCAAACCAGCAAGTGGTCGATGAACAAACTTGCCGTCACGTCGTCGCCCGGCTGCCAGTCCACCTCGATCCGCAACCCGTGCGGACATTCGCACGAGACCGCGTACAGCTGCCGGGCTGTCGCCATGGCAAGAAATTAGTTCAAGGTTTGTTACCTCATATTAGCAGAAGTAGAGATGCAGGAGGAGTGCAGAGCGAGCAGCCTCATGCTCAGTTTCCGGCAAGTAAATAAGGATGGAGTGTAGGTGGAGTGGTAGTGTGAAGGATTCAACGTTAAGTTTGAAAGCAGAAGATAGTTTTCGAAAACTTATCAAGCGGCCCGAAGGTATTAGAAGCGACCAATCAGAAATAAAACCGAAAAAATGTGCCGTCAAAGACAGATCATCTACTTCGACTGCCAAATGTATTCACGAAAAGTCTCGGGTTACTGTATGGAAGTCGAAGGCTTCAGCATATACATACGTGGATCTAGACAGATCTCGCGGGCACAAACAAATAAACTGATCCTTTTTCATCTCCGAACACTCAATTGCAGTTGTGAGATCCCTCACAAAGATTATGCAGGTTCGGGGCCCCTTGCCATCAACCAAAGTAAGTCGTGATTGTCGCGTCTCGTCGTTATGTAAAAACCTCTCGGTGAGAAAAAAGGTCTATCACATGCTTTCTACTTTTTCATGAATCTTGTGCGTGTCCACCATGCTTGCGATCGCTTCTTGCAAAGTTCTCAGCGTCATCACAGTGCTTTGTGTCTTTCGAAACGCGAAGCAGCAGTACAGATCTCCGATGACCGGGTTTAGCCCGCCCTTATAATGGTACTGCCGAATTAGTCGCTCCGTGTCGCCGCCACTGCTGATCGTGGACGGTTCTGTTGCGTTTGCTCGCAGCGGCACCAGATCCGACAGTCGCTGCTTCTGCACCACCTCTAAGCCATACTCCGATGCCAATTCCGCGAACTTAGGCCAGTAGACCAGCGGCTCGGAAAGCTGCTCCACACCGTCGACGAAAGAAAAGGAGTACTCGTGGCCGAAGGGATCCACCTCGAGTTGTTGTTCGCTTCCTGCTGCATTAATATTTTTGCCCTGTTCTTTATTCTGGTTGCCCAACCTTTGTGCCGCGCTCCACGCTGTTTTGTCCAAGAACTCGACGGAAAAGCAGTCGGTTTTCCAGCACGGTGCGGAGCTAGTAGTGTCTTTGTTCTCGTCCGACGACTTCTGGCAGTGTTCCACGATACTGTCCATGTCGGGGATGACGCCGAAGAAGACCCCTTTTTCGCAAAGCCGGGAGGAAACCGCCTTCAGCAGCGCGCGGACGCTGGCTTCGGAGCTGAACGCGTAGTGGCACGCGAACATGGAAGCCACGGCGTGAAACCAAACTTGGTTCTTCGTCGCTGCCACCCTGCTCGTGCCGAAATCGTAGGAATCGAACCGCAGTTCCGCCCCAGGCGAAAAGGAATTGCCTTCGAGGAGCAGTAACTCCAGCTTCGTATCAGCCAGTTTCTTCAGCTCCCCGTGCCTGGCCCGCTGATCCTTCGCGGCCTCTTCCCGTGCCCGCCGTAGTGCTTCCTGAAGACTTTTTCCCGAAATATCTACGCCGAACAGCTGCAGCACCCCCGCATTGCGGTACTTTGCGAGGTCGCCGCCCTTCCCGATCCCCAAGTCCAGTAGCGATAAAAACTTTTTGTCGCTCGGCAGAAGCTTCCGCACGAGCTCCAGGTAGCGCAAGATGACACAGCTTTTCAACAAGTTGTGCGTGTTCCGCGACTGGACGGAAGCCGAATTCTTGCGGTTTTGCGCCTCTGCCTGCACGGTGCGCTCGTCGTAGTGCTCGCGAACGCGCGAGGAAGAGGAAGGTTGTGGAAACGCAGGAGTGACTTGATCATTATTTCCAGCTTGCTGTTCTTGCGAGATTGCTTGAAGATGATGCGCATTTGCTGCTTTATTCCCGACGACTGCGGTGCGCGATTGCTCACGAAAATCTTCAACAAGCGAATTATGCCCCGCTGGTGTTATAGTTGAAACCTCCTCGTATAGTCCTCGTTGTCGCGCGAATTCCACGAGCGAAGGGTGGAGGTGATTCGCCGGTATTCGTCCGCTCTTCTCCGCGAGCTGTGCCCGCAGCTTCGTCGAAGACAACTCCTGCGTTGGGTCTTCGTAGTCCCGGGCATAGCCGACGAGATGCGCGAAATTTGACCCGACCCAAAACCGGTCCACCTCTTCCCGACCCGCGGCTTTTTCGGCTTTTTGGGCTTCTTCCACCGATCGGGGGAACACGAGAATCAATTTCCTATCCACATCCGGCCGCGGTATTTTCGCCAGGTGATCTTGTGCCTCCTCGATTCTCTTGTCTTTCAACAAAGCAAACACGCCGGACTGCTTGTGCTGATCTGCGCGTTTCAAACTCGAACGCCAAGAGTCCTCCCCGAGCATGAAGCCAACACGGACGACGCGTCCGGTTTCCAGACTCAGTTGCCGCTCGAGGACTGAGCGGCACTTCAACCGCCCAGGCCAATTCGTCCCTAACTGTGCGAGTTCAGGGTCGTAAGAACTTGTCGATGATACTGAAAAATCCTTGTCGACGCTGCTGGAAGACGTAGTGAGCTGCACCACTCGCAGACGCTTGCTGGCAACCGCGGCTGCGATTTCGTTGTTTTTTTCCTCTATTGCAAATTCTCCCACTCGACAAGAGAGCATCTCAATCCTGTCGGCGAGGGTGACTTTTGTTCTCTTCAGCGGGTTCGTGTCCTCGTTGGGAAACAGCAGAACGCCGTCACCGCGTGACAGCACGTGCTTAACCATCGCAACGTGATTCTCGTGAAAGGGGTCGAAGGTCCCGAAGTAGAGGTAGTAAATAGCTGGTGACCTCCACCGCGTGGTGGCGTCTACTGCTGCTTGGTGACTTGACGATGATGTTGGCTCGTCCTTCAAGAAATACGACAAGTCTCGAATCGCTAGCGTGGTCGCGAGAAAATCGACCGGAAGGTGGCGAGAATGCGCTTCATTATGATCTGCGTTTGGGCTTGGACTGGTTTGAGAAGTGAAACCCGTAGGCACTTGTGTCCTCGACAGATACTGCTCTAATAAAGCCACTTCCCGTGCGAAAAACGCCTCGTTTCGGTCCCGCATGAACTTTCTGAAACTGCTTCCTGTTGACACGTAGACCGGATGGATACATGGGCCCCGTGGGTCGCGAATCGCGACGGGATTTTTCGCAAGCGTCTCAGCCAATTTTTGTATCCGCGAATGGTTTCCGCCCGTTGCGACTAAAAACCGATCACCTCCACCAAAGGCGAAAGGCGGTGCGCAGTCGCTCGCTTGGATAGTGATCTTGCGGAAGCAAGCGGCCACGAGAAGCATGAGTGAGACTTCAGTTCGAGTAAGCAGCGCGCTCCGAAATCGGAGGACTAAACTGCACGTGGACATTGGTGGATCTTCACCTGCAGCACTTTGTAATAATTGCAGCCCTTCCAGGATAGTGGTGGCTAAAAGCTCCATCGATGTCGTCGCGTCGTGCGGTGACCGCAAAACCCCTACGCGGAGTGTTCTACTCAAGTTGAACCGCAGTGGCGATGAAGTCTCTTTCGGGGCTTGCGGTGCGGGTGTGGCGTCGACCATAGCGATGACAGCGCACTTTTTCCCTTCATCTCGCGTCGGCACACTTCTTCGCCCCGCGAACAATTTCTGCAAAAAACCAAGGTTCGTGCGCACCTCGCTGTTGGAAAGATCTGGCATTGACGGCAGGAATGCTCGCCACGGTCCCTCTTGACGGAAAGTGGAATTGTGGTGCCAGTGCGAATCTAGCTCCGTAGCTTCCCCCTGGCGAGACGCAAGCGAAGATAGGGCATCCGAGAATTTCGAGAGGGAAGATTCGGGGACCATCGATGAGAAGCGGCAAGCGAATCCAAACTTGTCAGAAACATGTTCATCTCGCCCTGAGTCCCTCGAACTGCTGTGCCTGTTCCTCTCCAGCGCTTCTGTGCTCGCAAGCCACTTTTTTATTCCTTCTACCTTTCGCTCCCCGCCTGTTACGAAGTTCCCGGCGCTCACAGCAACCATAAGCGACCCGTATTCCGCGGCGTTCCGCTCCATTTCGAAGCCGGGCTGATGAGAAACACCAACGACATCCTGCTCTGCGGACTTCGCTAGCGTGTCGGCTCGCAAAGAAAGAATGACCTCGGAATTGGCTCTGCTACCTGACGTCAGCGATGGTATGCTCAACTCGAAATGGCCCGCCCCAGGGGTCTGCGGCGTTCCTATGTACTCCTCACAAACCTTTCGATGCTTCAGCGTCTCCACACGCCGTCGCTTCGCTGCTGGTTCCTCCTCCCTTTCGTCATTAGTTCTTGCGTGGGTGCGATTTTCCAGCAAGCTGCGTACAGTGCCATCAGAGTTAGAACTTTTCAATACCGCCTCGTCGCCAAAAAGAAAGGTGCGCTCAACGCCAGCTGCTAGTTTCTCTGATGCGGCGCGAAAGGCTTTCAGAAGCTCTCGTTGCGCGCCGTCAGCATCGCGCCGCCGCAAACAGACGATAGCTTCCGAATACTGATTCACTTCCTCGAAGAGACAGCTGAGGACGGTTGCAAGCTCTCTGCTTCGCCGCTCCTGGTGAGACCTTTGGCCCACCTCTTCCGCATCCAAAACGACTACCAGGCCTCCGCTGTTCGCTTTCACCAAATGAGTTGCGAAAAGGACGGCCATGCAGCGATGGCCGTAGCGAAGTACAGCGCGATGTTCACTTTTCTCTGGTCCGTCGCTTCCTGCTGCTATCGTGACCAAGTCGGCTTGCTTGTTTTCGACCCCCGACACACTGGCGCCGAACACCGTCTTGACTGCAGCATTCAGGTCCTTCGCCCCCGAGAACCGCGCAAACCAGTCCGATGTCTGATTTGCGATGGCGTGCACGAACACAGCTTCGTCCTTCGCACAAAAATTCTGCTGCCACTCGGCGAGGGGTTCTGCGCCAAACACGCGACGACTCCATTTTAGTGCGAGACCGGGCGTGTCATGTGGGTTCGCGTAGTCGGCCAAAACGGCAATGTGGTCGGAACTCCCGCGTCCGAGATGAAAACTTGTGAAATGCGCCTCGGAGATCTCGTCTTCCGGGAGCGGTGGAACGAGCTCAGCGGCGTAGTTCTGTAAAACACTGGCTAGGACGTCTGCTTCTCGTCCTTCGCCGAGAACTCGCGAAGCGCTTGTGGTTGCTGCCGGCGCCGGTTTGCTATCCCGATCACTTGCTCCATGGCTTTGCGCCTCATCGAGGGTTGCGTCGTTGACCGGAGCTTGCAAGAGGCGAAGTACCTCATCTACAGAGACGGTCTTGCCGGTGCTCCCGTCGGATTCGCCATTGTTTATTCTGATCGACATGAATGCCCTCAAACGAATGGTTTGATAGAGAACAATGTCAGTGCTGCCAGGTAACCGGCGTCAATAGGATTAGAAACAAAAGGAGGTGCGTCGAGAAAGGAAGACACGAGCGGTTCTTCAGATGAGAGGTAAAAATTCGTAGAAAAAGCAGCGTGCATAGAGGATATGCTAGTGCGAAAACGTCGTATGTCCTGCTTTGATTTCTCGGTTTCAGAACGCCCATCGCTTTTTCGATACTGTAACCGGTCACAAGAGGCAAATAACATTACAAGATCGCGAGTTCAGTAAACGACAGCACATGATCTTCAGCAAATGGCCTAGGCAAGATCGGTTGGGAAAAACTGCCGAAACGCAACACGATCTATGTATACTCAGACGGATCAGCTCGCTACTTGCTTGAAATTTGGAACAGGGACACCGCTTTGCGCAAAGCAGCCAAACTTGCCAGCTGCGCCATACTCGAGAACGGCCGCACTTTGTACTGGCCCAAAACCCTTGAAGCAGTTACTTACAAATGAGGCCCCACGGCGGCGCCGAGCTATTTCAGCGGGCAGGCAATTGGCCGTCGGCGGAACAAGTGCGACGACGCCAACGAAGTGCGCGCGCCCGAAATCACCGAGGCCGGCCGGCCGCAAAGGCGCCGCACTACAGACCAGGAGCGCCCGCTGCACGACAAGGGAGGGGCCCGGCCCGATCCCCAAGCGCGGCGGCGCTACGAGCGCGGCGCGCCTACAGTGCCCGGGGCCTGTCGCCCACATGGGCGCCGCGCAGCACGCCGCAGCCGCCCGCAACAACAAGCGGGCGCGCAAGCCGGCGCGCGGGGCCGGCAGACTGCCGCCGCCCCGGCGTACGGCAGGCCCCGAATAGCGGCGCACCCCACACCGGGGGCGGCGCGGCAAGTTCCCGCCCGCCCGGGCATTCTCCCCGGCAAACGGCAGCGCACGCGGGGGCGCCCCGCCCGCGCTCAGTGTTAGCCAGCTGCTTGCCGCGCCCCCGCGCTTCTTCCTCCCGGACTTTCCGGGAGCCTTTTTCCGCGATCATCCCCCGCGCCGCGCGCGCAGTGGCGCCATATCCCTGCAGCTGGTGGGCGGCCCCTGGGGCGACAGGGAAGCCCGCGGGCTGCCCGGGGGGCCGCGCTGCGGCAAAGCCCCGGCGCCGGCGCTGCCGCCTGTAGGCGGCGTCGCCCGGGGGCGGAGTGGGCACGACGCAGCTCCCGGCGTAGCGAACCATCGACCCGGGAAGACTTCGCCACCTGCCCGGCGCACTCGTAGACTTCCACCAGGCTGCGGCCCCGAATCTGCGCGGCCCTTTTGGCTGTCTCCACTAGAGCCCCCAGAGGCCGGTCGTTTGGGGCCGCCGCGGAACTCCCGCGCGACCTGGTCGATGCATCGGAAGAACGGCAAGGGTTGACTGAAGAATTCCGCGAACTCGCCGCCGTCACATAGTATACCGGAAAAGAACACGCGTCTGATAACTTGGATGGTGTGTCTTGGTCCGTTTCATTTGCGTTTTCCTGACACGTCGTAAAAATCTTCGAAACCATAGCGCTAGCAGGAAAGATCTTTGCTCCCCGCTGGTGGCATCTCATTCCGCACTCGTTGGCTAATGCAGTTTTGTCTTGTGTAACAAAGGAATCAGTATCAATGGAAAATAAATAGTGTACTAAAGGTAATCCAAAAAAATGTTTCTACACAAATCGCAAACGCTCTCACGCGTGACTGTAAGACGATCTAAATTGTTGTCGTAGAGAAAAGGTTTCGTAATTATTTTGCTGAGCGACCGTACAAGCTCAGTACCCGACACACACACACGCGATCTAGACCGAGAGACCCACGAGGTCTTGATCTTGAAGTGATCTGAGTTTTCCAGATAGGACTAGAACAGAGCACATGCTACAAACATGTAGTCTGGGCGCTAATTCCAGAGTATCCCAAGGTAAGATGTGTGTGTTTGATATTATAGAGCGCACGGCTTCTCATAAATACTGACGTCAACATTGTTTCGAAATGCGACGTCGATGGCTTTGGCGATCACTGCGCAGTATTCTTTTTGTCCGCCTGCGCATGAGCCTTGTCCAATTCTGAGCGGGATTGCTACTGATTCTGTCTCGTCTATGATTGACAAAATAAAGTCGTACAACGCGTTTTTGAAACGAAAAAGGCGAGCTTCTGCTGAGTCATCTGCTGTAAATGCTTCTACCGGTACTACATCTGATGGTCGTGGGACTCTGTTGAGAACGGGTTTTCCTGGCCAGACCATAGCGTAAATATTGACAATTTTTCCTATCACTTCATATCCTCCTAGTGGTTTCGCAGAAAACGGCTCTCCATAGCGGTTTGCCTTCGGATATTTTGCAAACAACTGTGCCGCCAAACCGCTGGGTTTGCACGGGACGCAGCATGTGATGTGGACTATAAACCTCTCGCGCGCATAACAAATATCCATAATTCTTAACTTGCTCCTAGCGAGCTCGGGAAATTGACGAAAGTAAGGCTTGCGTAAAATTTTTGTAACTTGTGCGCCTATTTCTGTTTTTTCTCTGTCTCTACCCCAGTCGTGTAGATGCACAGACAACAACAACGTCCAATCTTCGTGTGCTCCGTATACGAGTGGGCACTGCGCTGTGCAAAATACCTTGGAACCCTTCTTGTACGTGCAGAACTGTACGAAGTTGGACGCCAGGTCGTAGAACATGGGGTTGATCATCGGCAGCATCAGTGCAAAACGTGGTCTTTGAGCTACTGGAATTTTTTGGAAGTTGGCGAGGAAGCGAGCTGTTACTATTGCGAGGTGTATTGGTGGGAACCACCAGGAACGCTTGTTATAAAACAAGTCGAAGTTATCGAACGGATGACTGTGTGCCGTGTAGTATTCCGGGAAACGCCAGTTGTGGTGATCTGCAAAACAGTCGACATTCAGACCCGGTATCTCGCGCATCACAATGTTCCACGAGCGCTTACACAAAGTTTTATCCGGAAAGGGATCTTTAAACGCAAATAAATGCTCTTCGTGGCGTGACAGGGCGTCGGCGATTATGTTCACTTCGCCCGCGATCTTGGCCGCGACTATTTCTGTGCCTGTGCTGGATGCGAAGGATGTCAAGCTTTTCGTCACGTTCTTGAGAATCGGCGTAGCCGCGGAGCCCTTGTTCGTGGTTCTTTTTGCCGTTGGATTGTCGGTCTTGATCAGGATTATTTTCTGGTGAAAATATGCGTCTCCTAACTTCTCCCTGGCTGCGTCTAGCACGTGCTGAACTGCCAAGGCCTCTAACTCGTTGATGCTGGCAGTATCTGATGGTGGGAAATAGAAGGAATTTTATTCTTGTAGATTTGATGTAACATCAACAAGTATATGTGAAAACCAGAAAAAACAAATCAAAACTACCTGGCACTTTTTCGTCGAAGAGTCCATGGAAATAGTGCTCCGCTACGGTGCCGCCCCAGCCTCTGTTTCTTCGGTCTTCGCAGTTCTCGATGTCGCCTTTTGCAGCGTCCATGTAGACACCGATAAACAGCTCTGGTCCCAAAGACGCGAAAAAGGCTTTTCCGAAGGCCAAGACTTCGTGAGACCAAATAAAAGTCTGCTCGCCGTTGAAGAACATTTGTCTTGTGTGGTCGGTCGACAGCAGGTCTTCCCACAAATCCAAGTCTTCGAAAGCGGCGTCCGAGATTTCGACTGGCGGGTTGAACTGCCTGTTCAGCTTCGCCCACTGCTTCGGTGCTGTTGAAGCTACCAGCAACTTGTTCAGCTCGTCCAATGGCCCGCGTGGGTGGATAAGCGCGCAGGAACCTAATTTTCCTTTGATGCTGGCTACGTCTCTGGCTTTCGCTTCTTTGTTTCTGCCTGCCTGCTTGAAGTCTCGCACTGCTTGCAGGTATTCTTTGCGTCTTTTAGGCTCGAGCATGATGTTGTACGACCTCGGGTCGGTGTTGAAAACGTTTCCCAGCCAGGGGAAAATTGTTGACGGCTGTATTAGCTTTGATTCCTTGTGGTGAATCTTGATGCCCATGCGGGTTAGGATGTACACTGCTCGGTCTAGGTCGAACTTGGCTTTATCGAAGTGTGGTTTGCCGTCGACCGGGCTGGTTATAAATCTCACGTCGTCTACGTAGTCGAGTGCTGGCGACGATACTCCGTTTCTCTTCGCTGCAGCGAGAAAAGCTTTCACGAAGAAATCGTTCTCACCCGGTGCTGGTCTCGGTATGCGTGTGAAAACAGTTTTTTCGGATTGATGCACGACAAAAAACCACATGCATCTGGCTAGGTTTATAGTGGAGCCTGTGAGAATTTTCGCTGATCCGTTAAAAAATGTTTTCACGAGATACCGATGCCAAAAGGACAGTACAAATGTCCTCCTTTTTGTACTGTCCCTTCGAGATTTATTCCAAGCATGCGGCGAAAACGTGCGTGCACCAACCAGTGGCCGAAGGAGTCCATGAAGTCGATACCACTCCCGACTGAGTTCGGCTTCAGCAGCAGAAACATATCCCAGTAGGTCTTGTAGTTTACCTCGGTGGAAAAAATGGACTGGTTTATCAGGGCCCACTCGCTGCTGTAGTCACTGATTACCCTAATCTTGTCGTCGCGTTGGAACAGCAGATTTCCTGGCACGCACGTCAAGTCGCTGGGGTAGTCGCACACTTCCACATCTTCGCCTTTGTCGTTCTTTTCTGATTTCACATCGTATAGGATGATCTTTTTGCACTCGAAGAAGCGCTTGAACTCGTTATTGTAGACTTCCGGGTTCTGCTTGGCCGCCGGGTAATTCTCGCATACTATCGGGTCCAGGTGCTCTGCGATCTGTTGGAACTTTATCCCCGTGCAGGCTTTCAGCAAAACTTCTGGCTGTAGTCCAAACCGTACGCATTCTTCTGGATTTATCGTTAGACCCGCGAAAGCCTGATCGTCCTCTGCTTTGCGCCACCTGTCGTTCGGGCCCTCTTGGTCTTGCAGCAGTTTTCTAACTGCTGCTCGTGTCAGAGGTGCACCCGCCTTCTCGTAGTCTTCATTTTTGAAGGGGGAGTACGGCGCGAAATTAAACGGGTCGCCGAACTCATTCCCGCATGTAAACAGGCGTGACAGGTCTACGGTGTCGATGTCGCACTGGTGGCTTCGTGGCGCTTTTCCCGGCTGCGGTAGGTAGCTGTCCCATGTCACCACTGCTTCCTGTGGAAAGATCAGCGAGGGGTCGTCCCAGCACGCGTCATATTCTTTCTGCAGATCCTTCTTGCATGGCCTCGGCTTATCTTTCATGTTGGATGCCGCATTTTCTTGTGCTATCCAGTGATGAATTTCTTGTGCCGGCTCCGCTACTTTTGGTGGCTTTCCTATTTGGGCTCCGCAGAAGGAGGCGTGCTGCGATTTGTGTCTTTTTGTCGCTCTCCTGTCCTGAGCATCTTGTGCGCGCAGCGATGCCGCTGAGCGGCCTATTTGCACCCCGCAAAACATAACGAGAGGTGACGAACGCATCTTTTTATCTCATTTTTCGTTCATTTTCGATCAGATCAAAAATCCGAAACCTAGATAAATGACATTTTGCGTCTGCGCATGCTGCCGCTAGGCCTTCATGTGCGTCCGCGGAGGACGTGGAGAGGAGGTTCGCATTTTTTTGTAGCCAGTTTGATTGTATTTCACATAAAATCTCATCTGAGCATCCCCTCAGTTTGCGCATGAAATTACGCTCAATTCTCTCCAGTTTCTGAAAATAACATATTCGCTCGTGAGGCCACCTGCGCCCACTCACAAACCAAACATGTGTATACGACATCTGTGAAACTGTGTGAGAAGCTTATTGGAATCGACGTTAGCGGGATCGGACGACGAAATCAAAATGACACTGACTATTGGAAAAGACGCAACAAAGTACTGAAAGAACCGGTGCCCTTGCACAGATTGTGATCAAAACGAAAGAAGAACAATCGTGCTGTCGTGGTCCTCTGTCGTCTGTGTTTTTGTCTATCTATTTTCCGTTCTTGTTGAATCAAGTGTTTCTACAAGATGAAAAAAATTTTTGAAATTCACGATGAGATTGGCACACATCAGTCTAAGTGCTGGTGGACTACATCAAGGGCTTCTTGCGGGTTCACGACCTCTGCATCGGAATCATCATCCGATGATGAATCCACTCGCTCGTCTTCCGATGAGGATGTGTGTCTGCTCGGTGGCAAGTCGTCATCTAACCTGGTCGAGTGGTATAAAGTATTTTTGTCATGCCAGTATCATCATGATGCAAACAAAAAACATGTGCCATTGCGCGAAAAGGAAAGAAAGGTAACATTATACGGCTCCGGGTTCAGTTCCAGGTATCGAGCCAAGGCGCGTGCGATTAGTCGTCCGTTAGTCTGGACGAAGTTGCGTACTGCGATCTGCGACCCGACGATCCGTCCAAGACAACTGAAGAAAAAATTTTTTTAAAGTTGTTTAGTCAGAATCCGAAGACGGGTATGAGCTATCGTCCTCGGACGAGTCCATAACAGTCGGTTTCTGCAAATCTTCCTTCTTGAATTCCTCCTTCTTCTCATCATGCAGAGCTTTTCCTTCTTTTCGCAAGTTGAACTGCTTCAGGCGGGCTTCTTTGTACTTCTTTTTCTCGTTGTTGTAGAAATTCGCGATGTCGGCTGAGGACTGCTTGTGGTAGGTGCGATAGATCTGCACTGCGGTGTGGGCGAACTGGCGCGCGAGGAGCACAGACGCCCACTTGCGTCCCATCATCACCTCGTCCTGGGCCGGATAATTCCAGATTTCCGACAAGTGGCTATACAGCGAATCAATCGCAGACGCCATCCCCTCCGCTAATTTTGCTTGACATTTTTGTTTGGCACAAATTGCCTCCAGCGTGTCTAACAGCACGTTGCAGGTGCTGCGTAACTCGTTGGCATCGCAATTTTTGGGGAGGGTTTTGCGCATGCACCAGCGATAAGAAGTGACAACTTGCGAAAAGGTGGAATTTTTTTGCTCCTTCGTACTCAAATCATCAATCATGGACCGCATCGACTTTGCCTGCCGAAGCAACGGCAGTTTCTCGTAATAGCCGAGATTTCCTAGGTCCATTTTATTGCGTTCGGTACTAGAAGGATATGTGGATTTCTATTAATTGTCCCTGAAATTTTGGAAATGACAACAAATACCGACAAGATTCCGCCCGCTGGACTACTGCGTAAGAAATGCATGCGTACATCAGCGATTGCCCGTTGATGATGCCGATTTCGATCAGAATATACGGAACCTTGTGAATTTTTGATCATGAGAGTCCGGTAATGAAAGGCTTTCGCTGTGCCTAAAGATGCATATAAATTATGGAATCAAAACTAGAAGTACCATCACGCGCAGTATGGTTGTCGTATAGAACTTGGCCAGGAAGGTCCAGTGCTGTGCGGACCGGAAATTGCGGAAGAAATGGCCCACGAGCATTCTATCGTCATCATAGACTGCGCGTGCCATTAGTTGCGGTACGGTGCTGAGACGCTTTAATAGCAACCAGCATTTCTGGATGGTCACCTTGGTCACAAAGCACCAGAAGCGCCATCCCGGCAAATGCCCTAGCGGTCGTTCCATTATTTCTGCTGTAAACTGAGGCTGAGCTGCTAGTACTAGGCTAATGATTGTTTGTGGTGATGAAATTTTGGATCTGATTTGCACCGTGTGCTACCGCATATATTTCTCTCTGCGTCGCGCCTGCGCTCTGAACTGCTGACGCTCTGTGTCAGTAGCTGTAAACAAGGACAACATATCACGTCGTGCAAGAAGCCTGCGTGGCTGAAGTTTACATGCTTGGTGTGAGATTTTTAATTATGAATCTTCGTCACATTTTGACAAAAAATCTAAAGTTTTTCCGTATACTGCCGCATCGCAAGAGCTGCACGTGGCGTGAGAGAAAAGCCTAGGGCATTCCTCCTGGAAGGATTCTAAAGAAGTTCTGTCCCATGCCACCTTCTCGACCTCGCGCGAAAATTTGATCGCGTCGTCATCGTGTAGGTATATCGTGTGAGCGCGGTCAAGTGCCCTCAGGCTTGCGATATTCGCATAGGTTTCTAAGCTTTTGGACGAGTGTCTGTTTACCATCTGTCTTAGTTCCATACTCGAGATAGGTGCGTAGTGCACATCGAGACAGTAGCTGTTCCTCCATCCGCCTTGATAATAAGCTAAACGTCGTGAGACATCATGTTCAATATAATGCTTTGCCCCTCCTTTGCGCAGCGAAATTGGTTTTTCAGGAACCGTTCCTGACAAGGCGTAGCTAAAAAAGGCTTTGATGTCTTTCCTAATACCATCTTTGCTAGATTTGAATGCACCCCTGGTTTTAATGTTTGCATTCCCTATCACGAAGAAAAAGGCATCGTCGGGGGCCATTTTTTGTCCTAGTACTATGTCAAAGAAGGCGCGGGCAAATCGCTGGTAATCGGCTATCATTCTTGTGAAATGCGTTGGCACCCAGGCTTCTGAGCCGAATGAGAGCTGGTCATTCTTTGCTTGAGAAACGAAAATTGCGTACTGCGGTCCCGACCCTGGTGACGCGGTGATTGTTACATCACGCAACCGCAACAGTCTGACCTCGTCGCTCCTCCTAACACAGAAGAAAGCTATGACAACTATTGCTAATTTTTGAAGTCGTAAAACTAGATCTATATCGTTGCACGACATGTTTCTCAAGACTTTCTTCTGGAAATCTCCGTCGCTGTCTACCATGTGCTTGTGGTGTCGCTGCCAGTGCTCCCATTCTGTCGTGTAGGCGTCGAGCATCTCGGTGGTCGTCGGACACCACTTTGCATCCAGTGGGGCTCCATGGTGTGCTTCTTTTTTGAACCTGTGATATGGAAATATGTGATGATTCGAGACGAAGTTCCATAATTTATGCTGAGAGAAGACATCATCAAACTTTTAGCCACGAGAAACAAATAAAATGTACCCTTTCCATAGCTTCTGGAAGAAAGCGCCTCTGTTCTTCGTGGTGTAGCCGCTTAACTCGATTCTCGAGGAATTGAAGGCGTTTATCGCCGCGCTCAATTGTAAAAAAGCGCCCCACCGTATTCGATTCGAATCTTCATTATTGTAGGCGCTGTGGACCGAGTGAACATGTGCGAACGTCACGAACAGAAGCGATGCCTCGGCATCCGTGGTTATCGGCCACAAAATGAAACCAAATTCACGAGCGACGGCTGGGATCACCTTCGACAAGATCGATGTATAGCTTCTCGACGTACCCTCTGTTATAGAGGAGTTGGCGTGGTCCGCAGTCGCCGATTCTAATAACTGGGCTGCTTGGTCAGAAAGCGGGAAGGCACCGAAAATCTCGCTGATTGCGGCCTTTATTGTAAAATCGATCTTGAGACCTTCTTCAGAAACTGGCGTGTAATTCTTAGCAGCTTTTCCTTTTGCATGCTGGTAAAAATGTAAAACACTCGATATCGACGGAGTGGGAGTCGTGAGCACTATGTTTCCCGGTTTCGATATGATAGCGATGGAGTCAGACGTGGCGTCGCTTGACGACGTTGCACTCGATGAAATTGAACTCGACGACGTAACAGAACCAGCTGCTGCTCCTTGCGAAGAATTGCATGCACTGGAGATACACAGCGATACATCAGACCAGGCGTTCATGCACATTAGTGAGACAAGCGGTTTCATCAACGCCTCTTTCCGTAATTCCATGTGCTCGAGTATTCCCGTAACTCCGAATAGCGTTGTCGAGAATTTATGCTCCAACGCTGGTGAAGAGACGGCAGTCACGAATCCAGACGACGGCACGATTGCGCTGAAATCCTCTAGAGCCTCCTCGTGCCAGTCATCCACACACACTAACTCTGTCTCCACAGCGTCCATCAGAGAGATGTAGTACTCAGGTGATTTCCGCTTCGATGATGCAGGGGCGATAGATGCGGCTTGTGGTGGCGCGACGATCGGCTTTTTGCTTGATTTCCTTTCAGCGTTCGCTAATTCTTTCAGCGATGCTGCTACCGCCGCTTGCTCAGCAATTTTGTGTAACTCGCGCTGCCTGACCTCTTGGCCAAGAGCGTCTTTTATCGCATCATTTGCAATTAATTTGTTCATCGTGAAATAACTACCTACAAGGCTGTCGTGAAGGTTGCTGGGAGATCTGTGTGTGCCAAGTGCACTCCTGACACAACAAACAGGAAAACGAAAAACCGGCAACCGACGAAAGAAAGCAAATAAAGGAAAAGGTGAGGACTCGCTCGTCTCTCGCCATGATCTCGTCTGTGTGATACAACTTCAAGAACATGTCGCCGTCTATGTCGAGCTCCATTGATGTCATGGAAAGGGGGACGCTTATATCTGCCTTGACTCAAGTATTCTTCTATCGATAAAGAAATTGAAACATGTTAGAAAGGGTTGGTATAAGTAGGAATGTTAGAAATGTTGTTCCCTTTTCCACCATTGTTGTTTTTGGTTCTTTTCGCAAACGGTTGACCTCCATTTCCATTGAACGGACGGAGCAAATTGTTACCAAGACCTTTTTGAAAATTTTGGTTACCACCAAACTGCTGGTTCCCACCGAACTGCTGGTTGCCACCCCCGTTCTTTCCCGCAAGGACGACCGGGCAGCTCTTGTTCCAGTGGGCTTCTCCGTTGCACTGCGGGCGTGGGCACTTGATGTAGCACGTGTTGTTCGAGTCCGAGCAGGCCTTCAAGCCCATCTTCTTCCCCACGTGATGGCTTCCTGGACCTTTGCCGCCCATGAGGCAGTTGACACAGCTCTGGGTTTTCTGCATCCACTGCGACAAAATCGCTTCGCTCTTGGCTTTCGCCGTTTCCATCGCAGCGTATGCTCCTGCGGTGGTGCGCGGTGCCTCGGTCATGATACGGTTGATCTCGTTGTACAGCTGCTGATTCTTTTGCTGGATCGCGTTGTTGCCCGTGGGGTTCTGTCCCAGCTCGGGGAAGGCGTTCCTGCCGCTGCCTCCTGCGATCATCGACATGAAGCTTCCGCCCATCTGCATCATGCGCTGCATAATACTGGGCTTGCATAAATTATCGCAAGCCGCCTGTGTCATTGCACAGGCGTATTCGAGGTTATAAAAAGCCTCGTCGACCGCGGACGCAACGTACTTGTTTTTGAGGGCGGCCGCAAAGTCTTTGATGAAAAAATACCTGGTTTTTGTAATTTTTGTGATTACCTAGCGAACAATCGCATGAGAATTATGTGGTGGTCTGCATGGATATTTGCTTGTGTATCACGAGTCAGGACGAGAGCAACATGAAAAGGAAATTGTCTGTACAGTTGATAATTGTAATTCAAGGACAAATTCTTCTTGGCCACGGAGTTTTTGGTCAGGGCGGCTGACTTTTTTTCGTAGAAGGTCACGGGCCACAAGAAATATCGGGCCAGAATGATCCAATCCTCGGACGGAAACAAGTCGATCAAGGTTTGCAAGTATTGCTTGAGTTCCAACAGCGATCCCTCCGGCGGGAGAATCATCGTCTTCCACGAACACTTCGGAATCTCTTGCATGTTCGTGCTGTCGATGAAGTCCTGTGGTGATAACGATGAAGAAATTGTCATGCTGTATTTCCAAGGCAATCATAGTCTGCTGTGCTACAAAGCAAAAAAGAGTACCTGAGCTGCTTGGTTGGTGTTGGCCAGGCACTGGCCGAACAGCTTCATCATGTACTTTCCTTGATCTTTCTCAATCTTTTGGGAGCGGCGTATCGGCGGCCTTTTCAGAATGTCGTAGTACTTCGACTTTGTCTCTACCGACGTAGCGGCGAATTGGGCGTACCAAGGGAAAGCTGCGATGACTTGCTCCGTAACGGCTGCAGTTCCTGCTCGTTGGTCGATTCTATCTTTCACTTTTGCTGAATTCGCAACTGTCTTGGATCTGGCGCATGCTTTGCACTTGCCACACTTTGTGGACTGGTCCCAGGCTCCGAATTCGGCTATCAGGATGACACCTCCTTTGCTGGAGTAGCAGGTGGAGCAGATGCAGTGCTTGTTCGCGCAAGCGACTTCTGTGCACCATAGCTCTCTGTCAGCGTCGACTACGCTGTCGTCGTAACAGATTACGCATCTTGACATGATTTCGCTGTGGCTTGCACGGCGGCTTAAGCAATCTATACGCAACGGCGTGAGATACAACACAGGATCTGGATCAAACAAAAGAAACGAAAAACTCAAACCAAAGAAAACGAAAATCTCGAACACCATTGCGTTGACAGGTCAAGATGGTAGTGCCAGTAATTCGTGTTCAGGATTTTTAAAAAAGTTGAATTCGTGTTCAGAATTGTCCTGAAAGTTAGACTGGTTCGTCTAAATCATAAAGACAAATACGTCTTGTAACGACACGAATCTGTGGGAAAATTAGCTTGCGGAAGTACTCGTAGTGCTAACACTAGCATTTGTGTCTTCGAACATTTTCGCCACGTTGCGGTCCATCAGCAGGCGCACCAAACCAGTCTGCTGGATCGGGGCTGTGCCGTGGACCCATTCCTTGAATTTGGGATTCCAAGCCTTGGCGGCCGCGAACTGCGGCGGGATCACCACCGGAATCTCCCAGAGCATTTGCTTGAATTTGGCGCAGGGTTTCGTCCCCGGCAGCACCGTCTGCACCGATTCCTGAGACAATTTGATGGGTTGTATCATGCGGTATCGTCGAGCGTCATGCAGTCATGCGTATCGCAAAAGGAAAAAAACGTACCATCAAAGTGTTCACTGTCAGGTCGTGAGACTCAGTAATTGTGCGGCGCATGGCCTCCACGGCGGCAACTGTGGTCATCGGGTCATTATTCGCTTCGATGACCACTTTCGGACCCGCTGCTTGCATGCGCAAGGCGTGCGATTCCACAATGTTGGCCACCGACTCCAGGGTGCGGCTGCCGTATACCAGCGCACACCACACAGGTGTGTGTAGCGAGACGTCGTTGGAGCAAGCAGACATAATGCGTTGCAACTGCGGAAGATCCGCTGCGGACAGAGAAACGACCATCTTGTTGGACGACCAAATTCGTATTACTGTTGTCTCTGACGCACGGCAAAACTGTAAGAGCTCTAAAAGATCTTTTTTCGCTCTTGTAACAGACATCGTATGATCCCGGTACGCAGTACGAATGTCTAACCATGTGAACATGTGTGATGTCAAGATCAACATGTAGCATGCCATGTCTTAGCCAAGAGCCATAGAACACATACATGCGGTAGTCTTACGCCAAGTGTGTTCGGGACACGACTTCACATGCATACTTGCTGCTACCACCAATGAGGTACTCTGTCCAACAACTGAACGAGAGGTGCTGGCACTGTCGCCAGCGACTGCCCTGTCGTGTGTGCGCAGCGGACATGCTAACGCCCAACGACATCGCAATCGACAAACATACAAGAGAAGAAACCGGGACGACGAGAGGCGCGTCGGAGCAGCGTTTGCTGACCAAACGCGCGAAAAGGAGCTGCCACAATGCCGAAGGCAAAAGCCGAAGGGCGAACGTGAAAGTCGCTTTTCAACAAAATGTGAGTGTGGTGACCGGATGCTCACAGCCCCGGATACGAAACCGACTATAGACAACTCCCACAATTGACGATCAACTATTTCCTTACGAAAACCTTAGATCTCATAATAAACCAATAGTGCGCAACTCTTCTTCACAAGGTGCATTTCTCCGCGCAAGTAGCCCCTTCAGCAATTACACCGGCTTTCTGAGTCTTTCGCTGTGGTAAATTTTCATTTTGATTTTTGAATGCGAGAAGGAAAACAATTTAGCGCAAGCTTCTGTGAAGGAAGAAAAACAACACACACCATAACAAAAAAGCTACAAAAAATTTGACAGAAACATCAAAGACGTATGACTTCAGCTTCAAAACTCTGTTCTTATTACCTGCTTCATTTGGCGTGTTGTGCAGCACTACGTTTTCTACTGCACTCGGAGCGGTTTCTGCGACAGTGTCTTGACCAGGGAGCGCTGATGCGAGCTGTCGGAATAACTGCTTCACATTGTGCCTGTTTTTGAGAATGAAAATACGCTAGCGTAGATTTTTTTTTAGGAACGGCAAATTTCGAAGAAATCACGACGCGTTTATGCGACAGGGCCACAAATGCACATACCCTGCTTTTGCCGATGTTTCGATAAACATGACGTTAAACTCGGCCGCTTTCTGCTGTCCTTCCTCCGTGCTGACTTGCCTCCTATCTGCTATATCGTTCTTGTTTCCAACCTGTTTTTGCAAATGGGTACTTCGTTGTCCCGATAGGAACAACGGAAGAGAAAGAAATGCCATCAAGAAATAGCACCTCGGCAAAGTCAACAATGCAACAAGTGACTCCCCTTCAAGAAGGTAAACATGACTAAAGAATTACCAAGATTATGACGACATCCTTTCCCCTTTCTGTCCTGACGTCCTCGACCCATTTCACGGTGTTCAGAAAACTCGCCCGGTTTGTTACGTCGTACACCACTACCGCTGCGCTGCTGTCCCTAATGTAACTTGGTATCAGACTCCTAAATCGTTCCTGACCGGCGGTGTCCCAGAGCTGTAGTCGGACCGATCTATCCTCCAAATACATCGTTTTTGACAGGAAATCTATCCCGATGGTGGCTGTGGTTTTATATTTATAATTTTCGTGTTTGAAAGTTCATCAAAGGAAAAGTGCCGTTTCTTGAAGTTGATACAATGATGTCCAGCACCTACATAGTGGATCCTCAAAAACCAAAATAGAGCGCAAAAACATGCGCAGAAATAAAGCAGCTGTACCTTGGTAGTTGTAATCGAAGGTGTCGTACATGAACCTCGTGATTATTGACGTTTTCCCGACCGCCTGCTCTCCGAGGAAGACGAGCTTGTACTTGTTTAGGTTTCCGCCCACCTTTCGTGGTTCGACATCGTACGAGGACACCGCCATAATGCCCCCGCGCTTTGCGAACCTAGGAGTCTACAAAACGCGCGCCTCTACTTGATGTTCTCCCACTACACATGCAGCCACTTTGCCTATCAACAGAGAAAAGAAAAGTGTTGAAGTCTTATCTTCTTAACTTCTTACGGCGGCACTATGATCTTTTCCATCCGACACGAAAGACGAAAACCAAAACCAACAAGCGCAAAAGAGAGAAAGACGATTCCAGCAGAAAACTGTAACCTGCTTTCTAGTTGTTCAAGGTACTATGTACAGTTTCCACAGCATCTGACGTGCTCCTTATCATCACCACCAATCGGCATGCATGATAGCATCGACAATTCATCTTTTTCGTCAGAAGGTCAAGGAACACAGCATCCGCGGATGTCCCGGACCTGAATCAAGCTGGAGCCGGCAACGGGTCTTACGGAATTATTCGAAGTTGTTAGATTGACTCGATACAAACGGGGCGCGCGCTTGATCGACAAAGAAAAAGAAACTGTCGCTGTTGAAATGATTGGGGATGAAAATTTCGCCTTTGCTGTATTGCAGACCAGCAATTATAACTTCTTGAGCCGTTTTTTCACATCAATTTGGGCTGAAACAACTACTACGGAGTGGTGTATAAAAATCTTCCGCTTTTACTCGTTCATCACAGCGGAATCTTCGTAAATCGATTCCCGACCTGCACCACGAGCGTGTCCACCTTCATTTCCAGTCCGTCTCCCTCCGTGACCGGAACGGGCAGGTCTCCGAGGATGCCCGGCCAGCAGTTCGGCCCAAAATCCGCGTGACCGCCCCCGGTGGGCAGGTTTTCCGGTTGCGTCAGACACCACGCGAGGGACAGGTGCGGCCGCGGTTCCTTCCACAACGCCGGCTGCACCGTGCTGGCCTTCTCGATCTGCGTCTCGATGTTGGTCTGCCCCTTTTCCAGAGGCTGCGTGTGGTCCGTGGCGTCGTAGTGCTCGAACATCCGCTCTAGAATCATGGAGTACCGCGTGACCTGGTCGATCCCCTGCTGCCCCTTCAGCGGCAGCGCGCCGAACCACCGGTTGTGGTCCATGTTGGCGAAAATGTCCCCCTTCGGGTGGAACTGCACGGTGAAGGGGCCCTTCGTGTGCTTCTTCACCAGCTCCTTCGCGCGGTTGATCAACGTGTCAATGAACTGGTACCGAATCATCACCAACGGGGACACGCTGATGTGCGGATTCTCGATTCTCCCCACCAAGTCCCCGTCCGGCCCCTGCGCGTCCTGCAGCCGCTTCGCGCACTGTCTCTGCATGAACGGCAACCACGGTAGGTCGGCGCAGTCGAAGAACGCGAACGTCGCATAGTGCCCCTCCACGTGCGCAATGCGCCGAATTTTCTGCGGTTTGGTTGTTGTACTTCCGCGAGAGGCTGCTGTTAGTGGGTCATTGGTTTCGTCTTCCGCTTCCGAATCCTCATCTGAGGAGTTTTTTCTATCTCTGAAGCTAAACTTCGGCTTCTTCTTTGCTCGGGGTACGTCCCGGGTGATTTGGTGCTGGTACTGCTTATCCGTTTCTGCCGGGCCGGCGACGCGGTTGGAAAGCTTGGAATTCAACCGCGACGAAAACATGATTGCCGCTCGCCTTTCAAATAAGTCCTCTTCGTAACCCCACGGCCAATACTCTGGCATGGTTCTTCTCGCTTCTTCGACTTTCTAAAACGATTCGCAGCGTATCGTCGGGGTAAGAGACCGCCATTTAGAAAAAGCAGATGGTGAAAAGGAAAAGCAATAGCAGGACGGATAACTTCAATTATCCGGATGAAAAATGATGTTAGGGGACAAAAACAAATGACTACTCGCGAATAAAATCTATAAACTTCTGATTTACTATAAAAAATATCTAGGCGCATCTCTGAGGTCCTGTATTGGCATCATGCAAGAATTGCGATTGAAGCAAAGAAGCAATTCATAGGATTTAGCGATCGCGTTACTGATCCAAAGTTGAGAGGAGCTCTAGAGCTGTAGCAAGTCAATTCTGACCGACTGCTTTCGGACGCAGTATTGAATTCCGTATTTTGCTGTAGCAGTAAATGCTAAGAACTTTGTCCATTTATAGAGGCTCGCGCTGCGCTTCGCTTCGAGAAAAATTTGGACTCCATCAGGTCGCAACTGAGCCAGTGAACCACGATTCCATGAAGGTGCATTATTTCATGTGTTTTGTCTTTCGTCGCGTCTTTTGTGATGTCACATGTGACATTTCGGTTCGTGAGCAATGCCGTGAGTGATAGTGTCGCTGTGTTCGTTTCTCAAGGGGTAGAGCTAAAATATGCGCCGCTGTGTCGTTGTTCCTACTTCCGAGGTTATCAGATGTACAACAACTACAGGTAGCTCGATTAACTTTCGGCAGCTTCATCGCGCTCTGGCCTATGATAGGAAGACAATGAAGATGATGATAAAGGCGATGATGATGCCAAACACCTTCAGGATCAGCATGCGATTGGAGCTTATGCTGTCTAAGTATTGCAGCAGCGACCGCTCCGCCTGATCCAAGTTGTCCTGGGTGTCAGTGACGTCCTGGTCTATTCTCATCACTGCATACTCCTGCTCGTTGATAAGGTCCCGCATGCGCTTAAACATTTGACCTGTAGTTAAGTAAGCAACGCCGAGTACCAGATTTCATTCGTTGCAAGTCCGTGACAAAGAAAATGCAAAATAAGCAAACATAACGGCTAGCAGCCATGGAGGGCTGCTGCGAGCATGCTGTATGAAAGCAATTCCTTCAACTACAGCCACTACACACTCGTCCGAGTGGAGTTATCAATCTAATGTAAGTACCAACGTCCGCGATCGCACGCTGCACGGTTTGCATGGCTTCCGCCCGACTGTCGGTGTAGCCAGGGTCTATTTGCGTCTGCCCCGCGCGCATCAGACCGTCGCGTTCGCCCATGGTGCTCATCTCGGTGGCACTCGTTCCGGGCTCGAACAAATCCGCGCCGCGGATCGGCTTCGCCGGAGGCCGCATACTGTATTGGTCCCGCTGCTTCTGCATGGCCATGGCGGCCCGGTTTCGCTCCTCGCAAACGCGGTAGAAGTCGAGCGTGATGTCCTTGTGTCGGAGTTTCAGCGCTTCTACCGCATTCTTGGCCGCCTCGCCAGCCTGTTTGCCGATTCCGCGCACGATGCCGGCAGTCTGACTGTCCAGTCGCTGAATCTTCTGCTCTACTTGCTCGCACATCTGTAGTTTTGAGGTTTTTGATCTTGATTTTTTTTCATTCTAGTCGGGGAAGAATAGATACTTAGGCGGATGATATTGAGTAAGATCAACACAGCTTGCCCAGATTATTCACCAATTGTACATCACGCATGCGAATCACATTTCGACTTTTACCTGTTTTATTGACACGATGAGCTGGTCGCTTTTCGAGCTCTTGTCGTCAAAAATGTTTTTCTTTTTCGCGACTTTTCGCAGCTCGTCTATTTGGTTCTGCATCAGTTGGATATCCCGACCAATTTCACTGCTTGCCATGTAGATCGCGTTCGGCATGCGGTTGTCGCTGCTGCTCGAGGTTGCTGTTGTGTACGTAATTTTTGCTTTAAAGTTTTTGTCTTTTTGCATATTTTTCATTTTTTCGTTCAAAAAACGTGCAAATAATGCACACTCACTTTAGTCCGCCACGAGATGTTGAAAACCTACCTGGACAATGACACCTAGAGTTAATTATACCTTTCCCGATTGCAACATTGACACCCATGCCCTCCAGAATTTTCTGGAACTCCTCCGTCCGATCGATTGCTCCCATGGTTTCTGCAACGTCGATTCGTTTTCAATATCGAGAAACAGCAAGAGCGACTCTTTGGAGTTCCAATTTCGTGGAGTTGTAGTCCACTGCCGTGCTCACGTGCGTTCCGAAGTACTTAAAACCACCCGATCCCAGAGTGAGTCAATGGTAAACTGGAGGCTCCGTACACAACGACAGGGCAACTGCTCGCAAATTCTGTCCTCGCACCAGAAACGCGTTTCCTCGTTCCGCTTCCTCCTTCCAGCATCAGCGTCTCACGCTGGACGTGCCAGGCCGAGTTTTTTGCTCTGTGAAGGTGCCTTTTCCGATCTGAGAGTTATACCAGTCAGCTGGTAAAGCGAAGTGGTAGTGGACATGGGAGTGCTGCCGTTTGTCCGCAGCAGCGGGTGAAATAAATACTTAGATACGTACCCTTACTCCAGGAGCAAATTGTGACCTAGACCTAGTAGCTGCTTCGTAAACTCTGAACATGTGCGTGCGTGTTTGTCGTTTGCGAGGCACAGGCTTGTTCCGACTTGAAGCACAGATAAAAGAGACTTTGCTTCTTCAGTCTGATCGGATTCGAATCTTGTCTAAGGAGAACCGAATGGTGAACAAAATATGCGGTGTGCGAGACACCCAGGTACCCGCTAGGGTGCAAAAAAGCCTTTTTTGGATGACAAAGACATGGTGAATACGATACAGTTTGAGTTACGACAAAGTAGACACATGTTTGGTATCTTCAAGAATGGGGTGGAAATTGAGAGGTGATTGAACATAAAGTATTGTAGTCTTTTTGCTAAAACAGCCTAAATTGCTATACGAACTTCGACTGAATTGGAGAAATGGATACAGCACTCGTTCTTGGTGTTCTTACGATTATCAACGCAGAAATATACCTTGAAAAGCGTCTACTCGTTGTTTTTCTCGCTGAAGATACACTATGTAGGTAGAGCCAGCAAAAATGAGCTCCACACATGCGGTCTATACCATTCTCCGATCCAGTGTGATTTAAAAGAAGTTTCAATCGCTAAGGAGCAGCAGGCAATTCACGTATATTACAACTCGGTAGCAACTTACTACAGCTGTGACTCTTCACAAAGTCGCAGCTTCGACGGATATTAACATCAGGTTTTTCTCGTCATGGGTGTTGCTTCACGTCACCTGCCGGATCTAGTTGCAGTGCGGAAACCGGTATGTTCCCCTGGTCCCCTCTGTTTCCCGTCCGCGCCGCCATGAATTTTCTGCCCGTAGCGACCTGGTTCTCCTGCCCCGCGCGCATCGCCTCCTTGGCTTCATCCACGGTATCTTCCAAAATGCAACAGTACACAATCAAGGTTATGACAATCGCGACGCCCAGAACGCCGATGGACACTGCAAGGCAGAGCGCGCAGCCTCTCGAGTGCAGAAGGCTGGTAGTTCGGGAAGACTTCTGTGCCGGTTCCAGCTCCGAGTTGGACGTGGACGGGTCGAACTCGTCCTGCCGTCGATGGTAACTGAGCTGCCCTTGTGGTCGTCTCCCCGCCGACGCGCTTCGCCGCGAACTAGCGCCGCCTCCCGCGGCGGCGATCTTCTCCAGCGTCTTGTTATTCGACCGCAAAGGAGTAGAGCCACTTCTGTCGGACTGCAGGACGCCGGTCCAGACTGTGCCGGGCTCGTAGGCGGACCGTGGCGACCGGGGGCTCATGTGGGTTGTGGCCTTGGTCGCCGGGGCTGAGCTTGTCGTACTCACATTTGGATTCAAAGCGGCCGTATCTTTTGTTCTCGTCGCGCCGGACACCTGCATCTCGCCCGCTCTACTCCTCGAGGAATCTGAGGCCGAGGATTTCACGAGGGAGCGCCCGCGCTGTCTGGAACTGCTGGAATCGCCGCCCGTTGTTCGCGGACTCAGATAGGTCGATGGTTTCTGTGCTTGCGACGGGCCCGCGGCCCGACTTTCCTTATCCCTCGCAAGTTCGTCCTGTGTCCGTCTGAGCCACGTCGATGGGGCCAGAGCTGCCTCTTTCTCCCTCGCGACCTCGTCGAGGGTCCGTCTCAGCGACGACTTTCTTTCCGGCTGTTGCAGTTGTGGCGCACTACCCGCCATAACTCCGGTTCGCCGCGCCGGTGAGCCGGAGGTGGCCCTTCCGGTCGGTGGGGACGGCGAGGGGGGTGGTGGCGACGTGGCAACGGAGCCGGCAGTTGCGGTCTTCCGTGGCGGGGACGACCCTTTGCTCGGCCGTCCGGCGGAAGGACCCGCTGGTGACTCGGCGGCGCGGCCCAGGATACTGGGTCTGCTCGCGGGTCTGGATGTACTAGCCGGAGTAGAGGTTGCACTCTTCCGCCGCCGGCCGCTGCTACTTCGACGACGCCGATTTGGGTCTTTGACTACGGTGTACGTGTCCCGCGCGACACTCATCCTGGGGGCGACACTGGCGTCGAACGAAACCGGTCCGCTGAGCCCGCTCATTCCATCAAATACGCCACTGTAAATCAACTTGCTGTGTTTCGGGGATGCTGCTCCGCCCGGAGTCGATTCCCCCTCCGAGTGGCTGGGTGAAAATGCGTACGTTATTGGCTGCAGAGTGTCGGACAGAGGCTGCCGAAGCGCGGCGGAATCCGGATATTCCTTATTATGCCCTGCGCCGAAACGCGCCGTCTCGCCCTCCGCACGCGCGCGCGCCGCCTGCTCCTTCGCCAGCTGGCCATCCTCCTCAGAAGACGACGTGGTTTTCCCCTCTTCCATATCCTTCTTCGGAACGGACTGTCTGCCACCCATTTCTTGGGGGATCAAAGAAGAAACTTTGCTTCAAAAATTGTTGTCAAAGAAATGACGGAGTAGTTTTTAGATGGAGAAAATCTTGCACTACTTGATTCATCTGGACTAGAAGAGCGGGAGAAAAAGGGCCCAAGATCCAGTTGTTCACACGACTACTTACTATGACATTAGGGGGACGCAATTCTTCTATTTTTGTGTGTGAAGCACATCCTGTCAAGTGAAGCTGAAAGAATGGGAAAATGGAAGCGACACACGGGAAGAAGATTAGATCCTCTTCAGAACTAGAATCCTGACAACATCAGAGGACGAAATTATCACGTTGTACGTTGACGACGCTTCAGCCAGAAATCAAATACTCATATCCACAGAACGCTTGCACGAAAACCGAGTTCATGCTGAAGGGCAGCAAAAGACGAAAGACACGTTTTTGAAACGTACACGACAAGGCATTCCGATCAGAATTGCAATTGACCGAACAGAGAGAGCAGAAGGTCCAAAACGGTTTTCTCCAAGCACGAACCGAAACCTTTGCCATGGATATAACCGATTTCAGTGCGTACTCTATAGGCGCTATCTCGGTGGAACAGTAGAAAAAAAGCACTTGAAGCTAAGTGTTGAAAAGCTGCAACGGTATCCACCTGTAAGTACATTTTACGCTCCCGAAATCCCGACTGTGAATCATACTGAAAATGTTTGTTTCATCAAGCACGCCTCAAATGAAACTCAAAAGCAAAATACTTCGTTTTGCTTTTCTTACTGATACAGACGGCATGATTCGTGATAATCGAGATGTAGGAGTGAGTTCGACAGAAAAAGATAACCGTATCGTATTATTCTATGGTGGAATAGAAGAGAAAAAATGAAAGTAATGCATCCGCTCCTCATTATCTTCAGATGAGCGATAAAACAATCTGTTCGGATGACATGGACATGGTAGTATGGAATAATGTAAAAATAAAACAATGAAAATGAGAATCGATGTGAAAAGCTTGTGAAAATCAATTGTTCAATAATAAATCCATAATAAAAACATCTCGATTTTGTATCACCTCAATTTTGTTTGTTTTTTCCTTCACGACCTCCCGCGCAAGTTTTTGGTGCGGCGCGGTTTTTTGCCTCCCGCTTCGCCGTTCGGGTTGAGCATGGAGGACTGCGACCAGTTTCTTACCTGCTTGCCAGCCGTGTGCGCCACGTGCAACGCATCTTCCGAGGAAATGGAGCTGTGGTCGTCATGTTCCAGAAAAGATCCCGCCGCCGCGGGCAATTGAGCCGCGGGAGGCCCGGCCGCCGCGGACGCACCCGCTTGCCCGCTCCTGGGTAGTTCCCCACTTCCAACCGGTGTTTGTTCCCAGGGGAATACCTCGGGTTGCAGAACGCTAATCGTGATCTGGGGCGACTGCGCAGGGGCAGCAGCGGCGGCAGCAGCGTCTTGACCGTTGTCGATCGTGTACTGGTTGTAGTAGTGCGAAGTAGTTTATGCTGCAGAAAAGAACCCATTTCGTAGTTGTACCATAGCAGGAACAGTAACGCCGCCACAAGGTGGGAATATAAACGAAATCTCTATACATTTTTACATCTCCCCCGAACCTACCTCGGAGTAAGGCAAATTGACTGCCAAAAATGCACAGGAACCGGAGAAAGCCACAGGCTCAGAAGTTATGATGCTGAAGTCAGGTACACCACTGCGAATGAGTTCTTCATTTCTGATATTTCAACCTTTGTGCTCTTCTTCCTCAGGCAGACGGCCAAAATCACTGCGGCCGAAATCAGCACCAACACCCCTAGCACTACGGTGACGATGAGACTATGCAACAGATAAGGATCATGTGAACGTCGTTGTTGTCCGTCGTCAGAGGAACAAACATGCAAAGTCTTCTTGTTTTTTGGTTTGTTATTCCCAGATCTCTGTGATTTCTCAGAAAGTGGTCGTGTGGTTTGTGGAGATGGATTTCTAATTTGTGCCCCTAGTAGACACGCAAGGACCATCTTTTAATTATGTCAACATACAGACACTCCACACAAGTTAAACGAGCCGTGCCTGTGACGACGACTTGAGCGGCGTCGACGTCCATTCCTTTTCTGTTGCATAAACCATCGTGCGAGAGCACTTCAAATAACCGCACGTGCAGCACAGGTTCGGATCCTCGCCCGCTGCCATGGAGTACGCTTCACCATCTCCGCCCGCCGTCACGTTCTGGTATTGTCCCGGCAGAAACGACTGCCCCAGCAACGGCTGTTCGTCTGGCCGACCCCCTCCGTACGGCGAACTCCCGTACGTGTGGCCAACGCCCGTGGTTTGCGCCTCGCCAAAATCTTGATTTGTCAGAATCGACCTGCCTTTCCTTATCCTGGGCAATAGTTGCTGCTCTGTACAGGGCAACAAAAACTAGTTCTTTGTTTTCAGCTGCAACATCCCAAGTTCAATAGTACAATTGTTTTGCTTTTGTGCGCATACAAGTTTTTTTACAAACCGCACTATTACATCGGTCCAACAGCCTGCACCGGCATTATCTGCAGAAAAATTCTGTCTATGTCAAAGGCGCGGGTCGTGCTGTCAGTTGACGATAAAAATCGTAGTAAACCAAGAACTTCTCATAAGAAGACGCCACGAGATAAGTAGGCTCTTCAGATTTCGCTCGTTTGTCTTTGTACGAAGTGACTACTTCAGAATAATAGAGGACTAACCAGTCCACCTGTTTGAGCAGCAACTTTTTCCCACGCCTATGTGTGGTGACTCGGGTTTTGCGAACCACGCGCCTCGTCGATCGGTCGGCGGTGCCTTGTGTCTGGACGATTTCCGACGGCTGGTCGGTGCGAGCCGAGGCCGCCTGAAACGGCACTGTCCGGCTCTGGTCCAGGTGCGATGGTGTCCGGCTCTGCGCGGAAGACTGTTGCCCCGGTGCGATGGTGGCACCAAAAGCTCCTGGCTGGCTCTGGCCGAAGCCTGTCGGTTGGCTCGGGCCGTGGCCTGTCGGTTGGCTCTGGCCGAAGCCTGTCGCTTGACTCGTCTGGCCGAAGCCTGTCGCTTGGCTCGGGCCGAGGCTCATCGGTTGGCTCTGGGCGGGCACGGAACCACCGCCTGCTCGGGCCAAGTCCGCAAGGGTCTGGTGCGGATGGGAGGCTTGTTGTTGGGCACTACCCGCAGGTGCCGGTCCGGCCTGCTGGGTAGAAGTTCCGGTTGCCGTGATCCTGCTCGGAAGAAAGCTTCGGCGATCCCCACTTCCTTGTTTCGGCTGGTCCGCGCTTCCTTGTTTGGCTAAGGAGGTGGACTGCCGGCCCCCGGCTGTGCCGGAATCATTCCCCGTGTACGATTTCTTCGCCGATACAGCAGGGTTGGATTGCTGGATCGCCGCCGTATTTCGAAGTGGCGGCTGGACCAGGATCTGATCCATTCCTCCGGTGGTCGCCGCGGAAGCATTGGTCTTCCCCGATTGATTGGCCTCGGCCATCAATTGAATCGTGCGTTGGGCGAGCGTTTGCACGTCGGCGGACCGGTTCTGCAGATCTACGGACCCGAACGAGGTCCTCTGCAGATCCTGCGCCGTGGCGGATCCCAATTGCAGGCTGCGGGCACGCTCCGCGGACCCGGTCCCGGCCTCCGTGGTCCCGTCGGACGGCACCGGAATCTGGGCGTCATGGGCGTAGCTGCCCGGGGTGTCCTTGCGTTGGGACGTCGTGTTCTCCCCCTCGTGGCCTCGCCGGATTCGGGACGCGCTGGTGCTGTTGTTCTCGTCTGTACTGGAGCCCTCCGCGCGATTGGGTTGCATAAGCACGGAAAACGCACCCGCTTCGCCGTCGGCACGCACCTGCTTCTTCCGCTGAAGATCATCTCCCCGTCGTGAGGAGCCACGAATTCGGCCTGCCGGCGCTGTTCCACCACTTGATTCGGTATTTCCCATCGTGCTAGGGGGCAATATTGAATCCGAACATCAGGAGCAAGACCTAGAAAGCTTCAAATGGCAAAAAAGTTTAGTGTGCGACGTTGTAGTGTCAACAGAGATGCAAAACTCTCGTATCGTAAGTCGGGATGCTTTGTTTGCGTTCGTTTTCGTCTTGAATCGAATACGAATTGGAATGTAGTTGATACGACTTGATACATACAATAAACCTTTCAAATTTTCTGTCGTGAAGGACTTAAAACAAAATTTTCGGGGCTGTAAAAATATTGGGTTTTAAGTTTAAGAATTAATTAATTCGTCCCCGGACTGTGTGTGTCGGGGCCGGCGTCTCCATGTGGTGTCGGAGCGGATTCGGAGAGCGCGGCGCAGATGTGGATTCTCGGCGACAGACGACGGCGGCGGGACGGAAAATGTTTGATATACATGGTCGGGGAGTTTAATTTTCATGGCCACAGGGGAGGACGGCGCGGGCAATTTCGGGCCACACATGAGGGCAGTGGCCGCTCACTTTATCCAATACACACACGGACCACGGCATTATTTCCCTGGACACAGGTTATCCGGGAATTAATTAATTTTCTTAGAAACTTAGTTTCTAAGTTAATTAATTAATTCAGGGGCCCTCTGTGTTCAGCTTCAGGGCGAGCACTGGCAGCTTCGGCGCCCATTTTCAGCGCGCCAGGCACAATGACGCGGCGCGTTTTCGTGTGGCCGAGCCGGGCCCAAAAACCAACGCGTACGGCTGTGAGTTTTGCGGGCGCACTCAGATTTTTGTGTGTGTGAGCACGGGCGCAGAATTTTAGGTCTTTCGCGCGCGCGCGCGCGCACCCACTTGCGGCCTTTATCTTCATGTCCTGTGCGCGCACGCAATCGCGCGCGCGGACGCGCAGACAGCCTCATGCCCTGTGCGAGTGCGCAATCTCAATCGCGCGCGCGCGCATGCAGACATCCACATGCCCCGCGCGCTCGCAACCGTCGCCGTGTCCTGTGCACCGCGCGCGCGCGCGCGCAACCATCCTCATGCTCTCCGGGTGCGCAGAAATCTTCCTGTACCGCGCGCGCTCGCAGGCGGTGGGCTCGCGCGCGCGCAGACGCGCAGAAGGTTGGGGCCGCGCACGCAGGGCGAATAGCCCGCGCGCACACACAGGAGGTCGAGCCTGTGTGCGCGCGCGGGCAGATGGCCTGCGTCGCGCGCGCGCGCGCGGAGAAGGCGGGCTGGCGCGCGCTCGCAGGATGTCTCTGGGCTGCCGTGGACGAGTGTGCACGGCAGGAATAGAACGAGGTGGCCGCATCGGCCCAATGCGACGCGAATGACGTCGACGGCGCGCGGCATTTTTGGAATTACTTAGTAAAGTGCGGGCCTTTGTAGCTTTCACGCACAGACATGCTTTTCGCTGTACTGTGCGCAGGCGGGCGCTCGTCAATCGCCTGCGCGCCCGCGCGGGCGTAGTGGCTACAAGCGGGGTATGCAAACAACGCCAAGAGGCTAGACTGACTTTTCACACACACAGTCCCGGAATTAATTAATTTACTTAGATTCTAAGTTTCTAAGTTAATTAATTAATTCCCGGAGTGTGTGTATGAGGAAAAAATTAACTCCGTTCGTCATGTATGTCGACAAATGATTGCGCGACGGATCTTGTGTGGGTGTCTGTCTCTGAGTCACCTGTGTGTCTGTATCGTGCCACTCCTTGTTCTATCGAAAATTAATTCGTCCGTGGGAAAACATGTGTGAAAAAAAACTAAATGCGCAGGCATCGTGTATGGCGAAGTTTTCAATTCTAATGATCAAATATCAAAAAGCTTACCAGGTCGTGGAACTTTCGCCGGCCCCGACACACACAGTCCGGGGACGAATTAATTAATTCTTAAACTTAAAACCCAATATTTTTACAGTATCAAATTTTCGGTAGATTAGCTTCAGCAATTATTTGATGAAATACACGTAGGAATGTTTGTACGTAATTCTCAGATCTTGAAAATGTGGGAGTATGTAAAGAATAGGCTCGGGGGAAAGCCTGTCGTGCTTGTAGATTGCAAAATTTGAGTGGTACTCCTCGAGCGTCGAGCTATCGAAAACTTCGACGAAATGAAGATGCAACACATTGATACCGAGGAAAACCTGACAACCGTTATAGTACAACCAAAAGCGAAAACTTTTCCGAGCCTTTACTGGGCGCACCGAACCTGGAAGCTCAAGCTTCTGGTAAACCGACGAAGATACACAAGCAGCTGTAATAGAATATCGACTCACGAAACGGGGAGCACCGACAGGTGTACTGTCTCTCGACCGAAATCCGTTGCGAAATAGTGAAGGAAATTTTCGACGAATCAATCTTCAGTAGAACGGGTGCAGACCGACGGTACGTCAGAGAATCAGACGAAGACGAGCTACCGACATCACTGCAAAAGCCTTTCCTGTGCAGAATACTTACGAAGTCGATCAGTACGCCATCGCCACAGAGACAGACACAGGAGGATAGCGCAATCTCCGTGCTGTCTTAGTCTTTCCCAATAATCGTGAAGTTACACATCCATGAAAAAGCTACGACAACTAGCTCCCAGGCCTGATAGGCTCCCGGAAGCACGAGCGTTGGACAATTTCAAATCTTGCTACTGTGTCTAGTGCTAGTGTACTTGTTGTTGAAGCAAAATTAAATGAATGACTTCAGAGATCGTGAAATACATGCGCGACACGGCTAGAGCTTGCGCTCCTTAAGATGATAAATGAGTAAAATTTTTTGTCAAGAATTTTTGTGAAGATTAATTGATTTTGATATGGCACTTCATCATATAATACGTTTACGTCGACAGTGTTGAAGGTAAAAAAAACAGAAACGTTTAAAATCTCAAACCTACTCCTGATCGTCGTCCTCTGCCAGTTCTGACTCCCCATCGGACGTCGTCACCGCTGCTGCAGGTGCTGTCGCTGATTTGCCACTCATCGTGTGGGAAAACCGGTGTTGCCTCCTTGTCAAACGCGCGACTTTCAAAAGCCGACCCTGTTGTCCAAAATTCACGACAGACTGAAGCAGCGCCGTGCAGAATTTTTTGCCATACTTAAAATTAACCTTTGTTAATCGATAAAGGGTGCTGCAAAACATTGAATATGCACAACTGCTGCAAAAGGAATTTGAAGATTATATTTTGTGCTACTGCTAAGAGAAAATATCCATCCAGAACTAATCTTCTAGCCCAGGAGCAGCAGCACAATAAATATGATCAAAGCCGGCTTGCAAAGTGGAACACCTGTTATTTTCTCACGGGGATAAGCACCCGTCCTCGTAATCGGGGGTTCTGCGAGCTCGGCTGCCACCACCAGTTCCGTTCCTCCAAGGAGGATGTTTGCGCGCTCCCCGTTCCAGTTGACACGGTAGTACTGGTCGCAGCAGTCGACGATGAGGTCGTGACCTCGGTGCTTGAAAGTTTGACGCTTTTGCGCTCGACGAGGAATCCGCAAATCAGGATGCAGATGATGGTAATCCCGATGGCCCACGAGGTTGCCACGGTCACAATCGAAAACCGCGTGACTTTGAACGGTCCACACTGGTGCAGCACCTCGAACCAGCAGTTTACCTTCTTCCTGGTCGCCGCAATCATGCCCATGTGCGCCCCGGCCTTATGGTCGTACTGCGCATTCATCTGCGCTTGCTGTTGAAGGAACATCCAATGCGCCTCGGTGTCTTCATCGCCAGGTACGCCTGCGGCCACGCCGCCTTGCCCGGGCCTTTGCTGCCCTTCTTGAAACATCCAGTGCGCGTCTGCATCTGCAGCATCCGTTGCGCCGTAGAAAGGATCCGCCCCTTGTTGGCGGTCCGCTTGGGACGGCCGTTGGCCCTGTTGAAACATCCAGTGCGCCTCAGTGTCCCCATCTGCGGCGTTGGCAGGCCCCCCTTGCTGGTTTTGGGAGGGCCTTTGTTGACCATTTTGAAACATCCAGTGCGCCTCCGTGTCTCCTTGGGAAGGATGATCCTCCCGATGCCCAAATTGGCCAGGCATCCACGCCGGGTCCGAATCCGGTTGCGCGGTCGTACGCCCCCCGCGACTCATCGCTTTAGATATGGAAGTGTCAGAAGGGAAATTACACCCAACCTGGAGTAGATGCTTTGTCATGCTAAAGAACCGAGATGAGTCGCAAACAAACTACACAACCCCGACCCAAAAAGCACGCTTCCGCAGAAATCATTTTTACTTGTGATGACTAGAAGCGGCTCCACAGTAAAAAATGTGGCATCCGCACCTCCAAGCGACAGAATTTCTCAAACGCGTTGAGGCATTCACTCACGCTGTTCAGGCGGGCCTGTCAGCATTACATACAATCTTCTTCCGTTATTGCCTCCCATGCAATACGGAGCTTTTGCCCGTCCTAGAGGGAGCACATCAGCACATGCATTCTACAAACACATTTCCATTTTGTGCATTTCCCACACCTGACCCATCCATATTGGACCCCGATTGGTCGTTGCTTCCCGGGGGCGACGCCGCCCCCGCGATGCCCGCCAGCTGCCCGAGCGTGACCGACTCCCGGCGAGCACCCCCGGCGGAGGACGTGATGCCTGCAATTTCGCCCAGAGTGGTGCCCCTGGGCGAAATTTCGTTTGTTCCGCTGCCTGCGTCTCCCGTGCCGGGCTGGTGCATGCCGAACTGCGCAGGAACCCACGTGTTGTCCGGCTGTGCGGTCTGCCGCGCGTCGCTCACCAATTTAGAGCTGGAGATCTGACTTTTCAGCGTCAGAAAACTGCCGAAGGTGGACTGCGTCGACACGCCCGGGCGAGATCCACCCGCGGCGCCAGCTGCCATCTGTTATCAAGAGGAAAAATTCCCGCTCCCCACATCAAAACGAAAATCTGTGATGCAGATTTGTGGTCACAGCTTTGTCATGCTAGAAGGGAAAAGATGCGGACTGTAGGGCTGGTTGGCGTGGGAAAGCCTTGCGTCTTCAGCATGACAGGACGCGGCGGAAGTGGGAAACAACATGACAAATTACCTGCAAACTAGGCCACGACTGCGGCTCTTGGCCTTCTAGCATTACAAGTCGATTTGTGTACTCAAATACAGAATCACAAATTTCGTTTTCGATATGGGAAGGGGGGATTTTTCCTTTTGATATCTGTCCGAGCGTGTTAACGGATGCCGTGGAGGGCGCACTCGTGCCCGTCATCGCGCTCAACGTCGCCGCCTTGGACGGGGCGCTTATCCTGAGTAAAAACATACCCACACCAGAGTTGTAATGCTAAACGGAATTGCAGCACACTTTGCCCCCCCCCCTGCCCCAGGCCGCAGATGGCTTGACACACCAGAGTTGTAATGCAGATTTGCAAAGACAGGAAGACTTGTAATGCGCATCCCCATGAGAGCCATTTCCAGTCGTGTTTTGGAATTTGTGATGCTGTGAACAGGATGAGCAGATGAATCTGTGATGCGGCTGCACTTGCTAACCTGCACTACACTGCATAGCGCAACTTGTCATGCGTGACTCACAAAACTCCTAGGTTTGTGTTGCAAAATCCCCATCCTGACTCTGGTGTGGGTACGTTTTTACTCAGGATAGCGCTCCCTTCATCGCTAACCCCACTCCGCAGCACACTCTCCAGGATGAGACTCGTGATCCCTTCCCCCGACATCGGTGCTTCCGTCATTATGGTTTCGGCGGACGCGTTGCCCAAATCGAGGTGCTCCTCATCCGACGCAGTGGGGGGAAGACTGCTCGGAAGGCCAAACACGGCAGGCTGGTTGAGCTCGCTGAAGAGCCCGTGCGGGGGCCCACCTTCATCGTCACTGCCCCCGGCGGCTAAAACATTCTCGAAAGCCTCCCCCTCCTGAATAGCGGCCAGTGCCGGTCCGTCACCCTCGGTTGTACTACTAGCCCGTGATTTATTCGCCGGTCTTCCCTTGCTGTACACGGGCTGGTGGCGGTTCAGTAGCCTCGGGTCCTGGTTTTGCCGGCCGCTCGTTCGGCTCCGCCGCGACCCGGATCTTCTACCTGTAGTGGGGAAGAAAAGAAGCAAATCAATAAGTTCCGCTCAAGAGAGAAATCGCTGCTGGTACACAGCAGACGTCAGGGCGGGAGAACTCTAGAAGGCTGCGGCAAGATTAGATCGATTATGACACCAAAGAAAAAATGTAGTGAGAACCACAAAAAACAAGACGAAAAAAGGTCGCAGCGGCCATCGCTCCAGCATTTGCAAAGCTCTAGAAGTGGTACTTTTATTCGCTGACCTCTTTCAAGCAAGACGGGAAGCGGCCGCGCTAGCAGCCTGTAGGTAAGGGCCTAGGACCGATAATGCACATATCCAGACCTCCACCAGCGTGGCTTTACTGTGTTACATACCTGTCGTGATGAGCGGCTCTTGAAGCTGCTGCTCCGCAGCATCAGCCTGGTGCCCTTCGCCTTCGTCCTGTCCTGCGGTAGGAAAGAAAGCACCATTGCCCATAATCACGTTGCTATTTCCCATGATCGCGTTCGCCTTGTCGTCAGAAATCAAAAAATCGCGTTCGCGCAAAACAACAACCCACGCGCGAAAACAAAACGATACGCCCGCCGAGTAGCTAGGCGTCTCAAGCTATGCCGGCGCTGCTGCTGGTTGAAGCAAGCTTTAGAAAAGGAAAACTTAAACTACAATCGAAATTATATATGGAGGAGATTGACATTGAGATGATGATGATCAAATTCCTGTTACTACTTTTTACATCGACTACTGTGTACAAAACTTAATGGGGTTATAGCAGCTGTGTCAACGGAAGAACTGTGTTTTTTCCGAAACGAACTAGTAGCATAGCAGGTGAAAATTACTGGGCTGCCGAAATGATACATCAGACATAAGCTAAAGTAGCCTGCCAAATCCAATCAGGCGCAAGATGGACGAAAACCGAAAAACAACATGTGTACTCGACAACCGAAAACCAAAAACTGAAGTCATCCGAAAAGCTCACGAAATCAGGACCGAAATTAACGACGCGCTCTACCGAAGCAAGATAGGACCACGGAGGAGGTGGCAATGAGTACACTAAACAGGGAGCACGAGGGGCAAAAAAAATTACCCTACTCGAAAGCTTTTCTGCGAAAGCAATTACTTCCATTTCTGTTACTCAAGTACTCAAGCAAAAATCTTTGTAGTATCGGTAGATGTTGAGCGCCCAGACCTGATAGGCCGAAGAGGGGGCTAATTGTAGTTCTATTCTTTTTCTTTACGTTATTGAAAGTTAGTATGAAAAAATAAACAAAAAAATGGTGCAGGCACACAACGACGATGTCGCTTCAACCCACGCTAGTAATTCTCCGAGTTCGCGATGGACGCTCTTTTTTAAGGTCATTGGAATAACTATGAAATCTTCGATATGAGTTCAAAAAAGCTCAAAGCTTGGAATTTTTGTTTTTCTTTGTAAAAGCTGTAAAAAATAAACCAGTAAAAGAAACGTGATGCTAAACAGATATGTAATGTAAAGTGAAAAGAGTCGAAAGCATTTAAGATTCACCACCCGAGACCCGCTTGAAATCGTAGTCCACCATTGGAACTCCTTCGTTGGCAGAGGATAGTGTTGAAGCCGCTGCCCGCGATGCGGCTGATTGGCGATTTATCCTAATGCAAAACGCCTGCCCCCACAACTACATTTTTTCCCTCGAGCCACGATAACTGTGCCCAGGAAACAGGGGCTGTTGAACGAAGCCGCGCCTCTCTTGTTTTTCATTTATTTCTTCATCTTGGTGGCCTGAAAATCATTTTATACACAGCAGGGGACACTACTAACTTTGCCGCGCACTGTATGCTGTATATGCAAAAAAACGGCACTATGGTTGATATCTGGTGACTCTCAGGGACTGGTTGTGGGGCCGACGACGACCGAATTCAAGTTCATAAGCGCGACGCTCCCGCGCAGCCGGACGTTGAGAGGTCGCCAGTCCTCCAAAAACGCTGACTTTCCGGTTGTCTTTGCGTTCTTCTTGTTGCCGTTGTTACCTCCTTCGTTCTCATCGTTTCCATCGTCGTCGTCCGCGTCCGCCTTGTTCTTGCAACAGCACATGACGATCACGACGGCACCAATCACGATGAGGAGGCCAACCCCCGCTAAGGCGAGCCACACCAACGTCCAATTCACCGGGTCGCGATCATCATCCTCGTCTTCATCGCCAGCCGCGATTCCATCGCGACCCCGGCTTCCGTTCCTGAACGAATCGGTATTTGTTCGGACATTGGCCATGATGTTACTCATTTTTTTCCGGCCGTCGTCGGTAAGTTGCCCCGACTCCAGCGCAAAGCTCCGCTGGCCGGCGCTCTGCTGGCCCGACTGTCCGGATTCGACCAACAGGCTCCGCTGTTTCCCCGACCCTTCGCCGTGCAGTAGGTCGACGAGGTTCGCGCCGAGCGCGGGGGGGGGAGCCGGCAATGGTGCGTTCGGGTTCAGGTTCAGGCTCAGGTTGGCGTACACTGATTCTTCGGAACCAGAATGGGAATTGTGGTCGAACACGCGCTCATCATCATCTTCCTCGTCTTCGATCCGCACTCCTCGACTTCCCCGGATCAGGTTCTCCCTCGACTGCTTGTGCTTAGCCCCCGCCGACCGGAACTGCTTCTGCGCGGTCCGCGCACTGAAACGGCCATGCGGCGCTGCGGCCGAGCCCGGTTCGCGGTTCAGCCGCTCGCCTCGCTCTCGGTGAAGCGAGGTCGTAATGTCGCTCACCGGGGGGATAGACGACGTCGAGCTTCGCGATTTTCGGGGGCCGAACGAGTCGCGCACAAAAGGTGCTCTTCCGGAAGTCTCTTTGTCTCCCGTCACGAAGGCACTCTTGACCACACCCGAGATGCGTCCGCCTGGTGCTGGTGCGGTGCGAGGTTTCATGAGATTCGCGTGGCCCAAAGTCGACGGCGGAGTCAGGCCGAACATTTCCACGGGCACATCTTCCCCGGTGCCGGGGGACACTTGAATGGTAACCCGCTCGTTGGAATCAAAGCTTCCAGGGCCCTCGCCCTCCGGCCGTCGTGGTATTGTTCCCTGATGCTTAGTTTTAATATTCGCGCGAAGATTATTTGTGTCGACAGACGAACCGGCTCCAACTGGTCTTTCCACCGATGTTACATCTTCCCTGTTCAGAAGTGGCTGCTTGAGTTTTGATGTTTTTGCATCAACATCGTCGTCAAAGTGTTCGTCGTCGAAGTAGGTTTCCTTCGCAACCTGAAGTTCCTCCACCGTGACTTCGTCGCCGGAGAAAAGCCCTTCCTCCTCCTCCATCTGGTCCACAATTTCTCTGGCTTCCGCTAGCGACAAGCTCTTCGCGTTTCCCATGACTTCTTGTCCTGTCAGCAGAACGAGGAAAGATGATGAACTTTGTGTTCAATCAGGATCGATTGATGGTTGATCACGACCAACTTTTAGTACTTGATCTCCGTACAAATAACAATTGCATGTTGTACAGTAGTCTTCGTGCTATGCTGTTCTGCACGCAGCGGTAGTAGTAAGAGTACATCGTGTTGTACCAACATAGTAAAGCACATAGGCAACGACGCGAGATGAAGAAGAAATACGATGAGCAACAGGGCTGCTACATCAACACATGTTGCTAGCGCGATTCGGAGAATGGCTCTTAAATAAATTCGAGGAGGAAGAAAAAAACGATTTAAAAGGTGATATTAGCTTAGAATTGTATTGAGTTCTCGTCTCAGATCAGTGTACATTTCGGGGGGAGTACATCGCTTAGCATTGATTCTCGTATCGGGTCACAATGTACAAAATTTTGGGGGGAGTACACAATCAATGCAATCTACTAAAAAGATAAAAAAAGAGAGACGGCAGGATTCATTGCCGCTTGTTTCAAAAAGTACGACTAGCAATGCGCAGCGTGGCTGGCGCGGCCTTGCAACAACGAAAGGCAAGCGATGACAAGAGAAAAACGATAAGCAAGTTGCACGACGTACAAAACCGAGCCTCATGATTGATTCTCTGCTTCGCACCGACAGAATAAAAAGGCGTTCTAAATTTCACACGCTCATCCAGGAGTTCAACACCGAGTTGTCAGCGGAAAAATCACCGATAGAGCAAAGAGACGAAGATGGCCACTGCGGAATGACTGAATATTCATCGCAGATGGCAAAAATCAATGGACGAAGACCGAAAATATCAACTCATACGACACCGACGCACTACCACGCAAAACTGGTGTAGTTCATTTGCATTTTATCTTATTCATCCTTGCCAAAACGGAAGTATTGAAACGGACACATCGAATCCCGGGGGCTGATCGAGAGAAAACCAAAACCTCTGCTCCGGAGGGCATTACTACCGACCAACAAAACTGCTACCTTCCACTTGTACTTCTTGTTGCCTTTTCTTGTTCGCAAGGGATACTAGACGTCGCGGCATAGTCCGTGCATTTACGCGGAGGAGACATCTCATGGCTTCTCAGAGCAGGGTCTCCACCTTCAGAATAAACAGAAAGTAACAGCCCGGCAATATTCAATATGCCGAGATAATCCACTCCCCCTGAGAGGTAGGCAGAACGCTAGAGAAACGGTTTCAATACTCTAAATAAATGTTACGTGCGAGTCAAATCAATGTAAGGCCAAACAAAAAAAAGCAAGTGGTTCAGTGTTGAAATGAAATCTTTACCTGGTGGAAAATGCAATGACAATAGTACTAGCAAGATGTGTAACGAAAGACCGAATGCAATAACACAAAATTTTAGTTTAGCTCTAGTATGCGAATAAAAGTAACCCCGAGGCTTAAAAATCTCTGGGAGTCGAAAAAAATGGAAATCAGCATTCATCGTGATCAGAGTTGCCCGTCGATGCGGCTACTCCTCCGCTCCAGGTTGCTCGTGAAGATGCTTATCGTATATTAAAACCGAGAGTTTTTACTTGGGTGTCGCCGAATGATGGCCGACCGCTGAGTGCTGGTCCGCCAAGTGCTGGTCCGCCGCGTGTTGGTCCGCTGACTGCTGGTCCGCCGGGGAAGATTCCCCCTCACCGTCCACCGATGCCGCGCTAGAGGCCTCCTCGAAGGGGGTGACCTCAGCGGCGCGGGAAGCGGCCAACTGTCTGGCACTGCGAGTTGTAATAGAGGTGCAAAGTTTCTTGTTTTGCTTTTCCTGCACTGGTGGCAGTCCTGCGTGACAACGCGTCCTGCAAAACCATTAGCCTCATCAAATCGTATAAACATATGTAGTTCTAGCTTGCGGGAGTACATCGACATTTTTCGCGTACGGGATTAAAAACAGCAACATACGTCCATGAGGCAGCATATGATCCACATTTCATAATCCCGGGGCTGCGGTGGCGGATCGTGAGCGTGTTCTTTTTGGTGCGGTTGTAATTCTTCATAGTACTATCAAGCCCAAAAAGAACACCAATGTCGAGCACTAGCCGTTTCTTCGACAGTATTTTTCAACAATCGATCCTAGTGTGCAAAACAAAACAAGTAAAGTGAACATGCAGTCATCATCTTCGTAATCAGTGCCCCGCGGAGTCTCGGCCGGTCGATTCCCGATGCGTGGCGCCAGCGCCGCCCACGACGCAGCGCCACAAAGGACGACTGATTCTCGGTTTTCTCTTCCTCCGCTTCTTCACTCGGGGCGCACATGCATGCCATCACGCCAATGAACGTGCCCAGGAGGACGATCCCCCCACACAGGACGAAGAGCAGTCCCAGAGAGATCGGACAGCTTCCCATCCAGTAGATCGGGCGGCTCCAACTTGACCAGAAGCCGTCGGTATGTTCGCCGGTGTGCTGTTTCTCCAAGTGATGTCTCGACGACCCCGCCCCGGAGGGCGAGCGCCCGGTCGTGATAGTAGAAGGTTTTGCGCCCCCCGTGGAGGAATAGTCGGTAGCTTTAGTTCCGGCACTGGACGAGTAGCCCGGTCTCGGCATCGCGGTTGCCCGGGAGGCGGTACTGCGAGAGGCGGGGGACATCGTGGAGACCTGCGAGGCCCCGCCAGCAACAGTTGGCTGCTTTTCTTCACCCTCCCTTTTCTGGATCTTGTCCCTGGGCGAGGAGTCAACTTCTTCTTCGCCGAAGTCTCCTGAGAAGGTCCCTATCAGGAGTAAAACTCCAGCCCTTCTTTTGTATCTACAATTTTATTCATCTGATGTGGCAGTGCCGGGCCCTTGCCAGAAACACCCTGCTCTTTTACTTTTGGTCAACATCAAGTATTGGACCACATAGATACATATTTTTGCAGAGCAGCGCCGGCCCATGAAGCTTTCTAGCAGCAGCGACGCAAGAATATTATACAGAGATACTAAAAGTACAACTGCGTTCTTCACTCTTGATAGGAACAGGCGAAGATCCGCCGCTGAGGGCCGACTTGTAGCTGTGCTCCTTCCCTTTACCCTTTCCCTTCGAACGGTGCTGTTGTCGTCCGCTGTGGTACCGCTTCGTCGCTGCCGTCGCCATGCCCGCACCGCTTTGGTTGGTGCTTGCCCCAGCGAACAGTTGACTGCCGGCTTGATCATCGCCGCTGTCGTAGTAGGTTCCCTCCCCCTCCGGACGAGGACTCCTAGGCTGTTGTACTTCCTTTTGCCGTGTATTTCGGGACCGCCGCAACTGCACCAGCGGTCTTTCCACACCAAAATTTTCCTCTTCGTTCGATGCCGTCTGCTCCTCGGAGGAACCTGACGTCGATGCGTCATCTTCATCCAGTTCCGCTTCTCCCGCCTGTCTCCCCACCGAGGTGGACTCCGGGAAAACGAGGCCGGTGGAATTCGAGTTGGTGTTGCCCATGTTGATGGGGTAAAGAGCCGTTCAGCGAATTCGTGAGTAGAGTAGTGGTCTTCAATGTTGTAATCAAAACGGAACAACTACTGCTGGTCAAAAACAAGGCAAGGCTCTGCTGCTAGACCCTCGCACTTGCGATCGACGCGAAAACATTTTTAGTCTTGAAGGAAAGGTGAACTAGAACTACGGAAGGGAAGCCAAAGTCAAATAAAGCACATCGGTCAGAAGTCCAATCGGCTTTGTTTTTGAAAGCAAAATTCAAGAAACGGCATAAAAATAAAAGCGAATCTTCGACAAGCGAGCTTCAGATGAAAGAATACTTGGGGACGTGATATTGTGTACGACTTGTAAAAAAAATTAATAACAGGAGAAAGACGCCTGGAGGAGAACCGGTGAGTCGATTTTAAGAAAACGCACAGACATGAGTAGTCGCATAGAACCGAGCCGCAGCTACACGTCCTAAGTAGCATTTGGTAAATTAGCTACCACCAGGAGAGGACGTCACAAATACGAAGACAATGCAAGCACCGTGGCTGCACCGAAGCCGCTGGGTCGGCGTCACTGCGACTGCTCATGCGCGAATTTGCTCAAACCGAAAGACCTTCGAAGTGGCTCCAGCACAGAAAAGACGACGTACACCGAGAAAAACTCGACAAACCGAGGCTGAATGAGGTGATAATGATGCACAAAGCGAACCGACCTGGCTATATTCAACGGGGCTGCACAAGACAAATACCGACCTTCCTGTCTAACGGCGTCAGTACGAAACGAAAATTTGTGCGCGCCCAGAGAGAAGTCAGTGCGTTGGTCGTCTGTCCCGTAGGTGGTAAACACCATACGAGAGCACTCGCACTCTAAGAAGAAATATGCAGCTCCTCCTTCCCATGGGGCACGGCGAGTATAAGAGAGGGAGATTGATTTTGACGAAGACAAACATTCAAATAAATATCTTTGCTTCACTGGAGCTCTGCGTGTCCGTGTGTAGTCAGTGTTATACACTTATGAAATACGAGCGGAAGAATCTAGCAGGATCGATGTGAATCTTTATCTGTAAAAATGACAACCAACGTCAATAACAACGTCAAAAACAGTGAAAATGAGCAGGGTCGCGATCACAAGGAAAGAATACGCGACATGAAATGAAACCTTCCAAGTAAAAAATGACAAAACTTCTTTGATAGATGGTAAGTACGTAGCTCTTGGCGGAGTACAAAAAAATTAAAGGCTCACAGCTAGTGTCCCCTCTTCATCTCGCTAAGCAAATCCACAGTCCTCGATTCCGACGCTGCAAGCGCGGCGGCACGCGAAGCGCGCATTTGCGCTTTTCGGGTTCCTCGCAACCTCGGTGTCTTTTCAGGCTGTATGTTCTCATAGTCTGCGGGCCGCGGGCGCCTCCTCTCTCGTCCCGAGGTGGGGTAGAAATCCATCTCCAAAAACGCGGACTCAATGGCGACCTGGCCCGCTTGACGACGGTCTTCTTCTGCCTCTTTCAATTCAACCGTTTGGTCCTGATCCTTGTTGTTCTTGACGATCAAGAGGATGACTATGATTGTGCCCAGGCCGACGAATAAAGAAACGGCAACGACCACCGCACACCAGAACCTTGTCAGGATAACACAACCACAGTCGCAAAAGGGAACCTCCATACAATCGTGGTGCTCCGGATCACTATCCGACGACGAGGAATGATGCTGCGGCGGCTTTTTGTCCATTCTCGACATGGATTGCCTGCTCTGTTTCGACACCGACGCATTCTGTCTTGACATCGAACGGCGGGGGCTCCTCTCGTCCTTAAACGACTGCTTCGACAGCGACTGCTTTGATAAGGAAGTGCGCTGTCGCCCGCTCAAAAACGTAGACTCCTTTGCTTTCCGTCTGCTTCCACCGCTGCCGTCGCTCGAAGAAGACGAGGATCTCAAGCCGCTACCCTCACTTCTAAGATTTTTCGGCGGCATCTTTGTTGCGGTGGTCGCGCGTTCAACATCCTCGCCCGGGTCATTTTTGCTCTCCTCGGCCAGCAGTGCAGCGCTTTCCGAATCTTCCGAAATTTCCTCCATTCCTTCCTTGCGCGTAGGCCGATGGCGTGATTTATCGAGTGCAGCTTTTATTTTCCGAACGAAGGGAGAAGCTTATTACGTCGTGCCATTTCAAGTAGTGAATCCGTGGGGCTGCCGCTGCGGCATACGAAAAAAGAAAGAAAAACTTCTTTAGGTGGAGCAGGAGGCTCTTCAAAAATAAAGGGGGAATATAGACATAATTGATGGGATTGGGAACAGCAACAGTCTTTTTTTCTCCATTAATTTTCAAACCGGGGAATTTTAGTACTTCTGGCAGGTTAATTGGGTCAGCATGATTGTCGGGATTCGGAAAGTTCGACAATATCCGGACACTTATATCAGAACTACTAACCGTGTACATTACGAAACAGCGGAACCGAACATGACAAAGCAACCGCATGGCACCGACGTTTTGTTTAAAGTTGAAAGCGAAACAAGAACCGAACTCGAAGCTGAGACGAACAGATTCGCAATGACTGTTCGCAATGACGAAGGTGGCAGTACCGAAAGCAATCTATATTCTTCAAAACTGAAGAAATCACGATGAAAGGAAATCTGAAATGACTTCTCTGTGACCGAAAATTGTTTTCGAGTATACGTCGAACCTACCAAAGAAATCGGGTAAGCGAGCGAAAAATCGGCGAAGGGAACGACCGGGTGCGCGAAACTATATACTTTTTCATGTCCACATGCTTTGTTCGTGATCGTGTACGTAAAACAATTGATTCTTTTCCCTGCCTCCCGAGAATGGTGCGTCGTGTTACCAGCGCAAAAAAAATCAAGCACTCGCTGCCTTGGCCGTTACTCATATGTGTCGCCTCCTATGCGCTGTATGGCCATGATCTTTGACGGACGGCGCAACACTCGCGGGCTGGAAAGTCTGGCAGGTCCATACTGTAAAAAAAGACTTCTTCATCAGTGCTGACAACAACGAACTGAAAGGTATAGTGTACTTAGCTCTTTCTCGTTAATTCTTCAAAATGCCAGTGGGGGAGAGCAAAATTATGCGACAAACATCAAAAAGTTAAAGAGTAAAAAGTTACAGCTAGTGCCAAGAGAGGCGGGGTCGTTATCGTTAATTACAAATGAGAAGAGTTGGGGAAAAAATGAAGAAAAATGCCATGCCTGAAAAAATACGTAACACTAAAATTAAAAATCTTCAAAGACAATCAACATTCACAATCTACGTTGGACAATAAAACTGCGTGCTCCTATCCGAAAAACTGCATCAACTCGAGCGTCGAAAAATGGGTCCTTTACAACTTAATCACGTCTTTGGGACTGCTCCACACCTCCACAAATTCCGAACCCGCGAAGGCGGCCGAGCGCGCGGCCTTCGACCCCCGGAGCCTAGGGTGCGAAAACGGCTTCGCGCTGTCGCCCGTCGTCCCCAGGGCGGCTGCGCCTCGTCTTCCGAGAAGTCCGACATTTTGCAGGAAGCCGCTGCCCTCCGATTCGTCGTCCTCCTCCTCCTTTTCGGATCCGCGCGTGCAGACGATAATTACGATAACGATGGTCACCAGCATCACCGAACCCACAATGACCCCCGTCCAGAAACCCGTGATCTTGCAGCCGGCCAGGGTGCAGAGAGTCTGGTCCATGCAGTCCTGCTCGGCTTCCCCCCTCCGGGCGCCGCCATCGGAGTCACTGCCCGAGCTGGAGGGGGGGCGCTTGGACCGTTTGGACCTCCTCGACCGCCTTTCGTTGTCGCTGGCGCTCCCGTCCTTGCCGCTCCCTTCATTGCGCGGGGCCGCCCCGCGCGGCGACTTGTTTCCGCCCTCATCCGAGAACATGTCTTCCGCTTCCTGCTGCAAGCCCTTCAGCGCCATCGGCGTCTTCGCACCAAACATGGGTGGTCGAGTACGTTGTGTTGCTTTGCCTTAGTCGTGTAAGTCAAGTCCTACTTCTGCGGAGAAACGTAGGTGAGAGGGGCACGGCGGTAACGATGAATTAGTCGCGGCACTACTTACAAGGTGTGAATACGAAACGGTTTTTTTTTTGCTTTAGATGAAATGGAGGCTCAGTGATGAAGATTCTTGGATGATAAGCACTACAGTTGTGATAAGTGATTTTGGGATGAAATAAGAGAGATTTTTATGTTGGGGATAAATAATGCCGACTTCGAAAACCTGGAACAAGTGAACGGACAGAAAACTGTTCAGCACAAGTAATCCCGTCGGCATAGATACCGGTAAAGCTGTATACGACACATATTTCGGACGGTAACGGCATGCGCTTCGCAAGGAGCTTGTGTACGAGAAATGCTGGCAGCACGATAGTGGACGAACCGAAACTCAACATACGTAGTACACCACCGAAGGTAGAACACCGAATAGTGAGCAAGTGATAAACACCACCGAGGGTAGGTACTATGATGATCCGAGTTGTGAAAGTAGAGTTGACAGCACCGAAGGGGTGTTAGTAATAGTACGAGCAACGGAATACAACGACTTTGGGTACCCTTCGAAGGACGATCATGGAGGGACATACTAAGAGAACCGAAAGTCACGTGGAAGAGTAAAGGCCAACAGACCGAAATCAGCACGGCGCACAGACGCGAGACTGGCATGACGGGCTTGCCGGATCGGTGAAGTGAAAAAGCACGTAAGGGATGAACAAGAACTGCGTGATTGTGACTTAGCCGAGCAAAAACAGAGAGGTTTTTAAAATGCCGCAGTTTCGAGAAAAGCGCAAATACGCAGCGCTTTGCTTTTGTCGCGAGAAGGTTTCAATGATTCTTTCATCTTTTCATAGGTAAAGATGCGAGAAGCGATGTGGTAATTTCACAGCGTCTACATGGAAATCAGCTCCCTGTCGCACTTTGGCGCTTGTCGGAAACTTCTTTCCTGTTGAAGGCTGAATCCGCTGCATCAGACTCCTCGGTCGACACCTGTTCCCTCGGTCCGAACTCGGTGCTCGGTTGGAAGGCCAATGCACCGATGCTCGGTTTCGAATCCGAGTCTGAATCATCCAAAGCACTCGCTTCCCTTCCACCAAGCGATGAGATAGTATCTTCTTCCGAGCCGCCAGGTACTTCTAGACAAGACGCTTCGTCCTTGTCCATCAGACTCTTGTACTGCCGCTTTTTTTCCTGCAAAATCGCGGCGACACGCAAGCGCCTTGCCTCGAGCCCGACCGCGCGGGTGGTCTCGACGCCATCAAACATCGCGAAGTCCTTGCTTTTGGTCGGCTTTATTATCGACTCCCTGCGTAGTTGTAGTTCCGTCCCTTCTTTTTGCTGTTCCGCAGTTCTACTGGAAGTAAGAGCAGAAGCTTCATTATTGTCTTGACGATTGTACCCGCTAGTAGTAGTATCAGCCGCGTCTTCACTCTGCAGCGAGTCTGCGGCGGCGGAAAGCTGGAGATGTGCAGCTTCTTGTGCGACCAGATGACTCTCGCTCCGCTGTTGCCGTTCATCTACCGGGTCATCAGCTCCTTGGTCGTTGTTCCAGTATCGCTCCCACCGGTCTACGAGCGTCGCCTCGCTGTACCCGACATCCGCTGGCAACGCGGCGAGAAAGGGCACGTCGTACCCATCGGCGTCACTGTCAAATTCTTCGTCCAGCATTCGATGGTAGTCTTCCGTGAGCAGGAAGGTCACGTGCTTCTTCGCCGAAATCGAGCGAGATTCCTGCACCCTCGCTTGCGCCTCCGCCCCCTGCGAAGAAGACGCGAAGGCGGGGGAAGAAAGACCTGCTAGAATTGTTTATTGATCGAGATAATACTTGCGGAAGGTGCAATGGTCCATTGAACCTTTTTCTTAGTGGAAAAAAACTTTTTTCAAGGCGGCAAAAAGCCTAGCGATAGGAAGGAAATAAAGACTGTCCGGGCCTTTTGACACTGTTTTCTCGACATGTAAAGATAAAGCCGAGCCAGCAACACGAGGCACCGTTTTTTTCTAGCAAACGCGTCGTCCTCCCGCGCACGGAAAGAAAAGCGCGGAAGGATTTATGAACGCTGCCCATGTTTTGTCTTTTTCGCTGTACGTTTGAACAATAAAGAGCAGCGTTTTACATTCGTTGTCTATTCTGATCGTTGTGCGGGACTATTTGACACTGCAGCCAGCACAGTGTCACGCCAGAGCAGCAACACGAGTCACCGTTTTACTATTGCAGACCCGTCGTCCAGACGAAAAATGGCTAGTTTTCGAAAGGATTTATGAAGGTTGCGTGGTGCTACGCAGAGCGCAGGAAGGTGCGAAAGAATCTCCCTTCAGGAAAAAGGAGCATTTAAAGTGGATCGAGAAGTAGATCGACTGATTTTCTTTCTCTCGGTGAACGGGATCAGTGGAGAGCAACTTTGGCGAGACAGGGTGGGTAGGTAGGTTTACTCAACTACGGAGTTCTAATAGTCCTCAACTACGGACGAGTTCTAATAACACATTAATATACATAATCATACGCATGCACACCCGGATTGATAGAAATCAATAATATCCTTACATTGATAACAGCGCGGAACTATGAAATGCAAACCACCTATACCTTCTTCTACAGCGACGCTTTCTTCTTCCGGTAGTGTTTCGGTACGCAGCACAATGCTTCCGGGAGGGAGCAGCACACAACTGCTTCTATCATCTGCCGCGAGGGACAGCGACTCGTCTACTCCCGTGCTGTCCGAGTTGTAGCTACCTCCCTGAGGGAGCTGCAGTCCGATTCTGGTCACCACGTTGCGAAACTTGTCCTTCACGAAAACTCCCTCTTCCGTGTACTTCAGCAACTGCGTTTTCGTGAACACCGCCTCCCAGGTGCACAGCCGCGAGTGTTTTGGCAGGTTGTCGTGCGTCTTGCTCAGCTGGTAGACCCGCGCGGTCTCGAAACTGTCGCTCGTGGGGAGCGTTCCGCTTTCCAGGTACTCGGACACGCTGAGCTCCGCCGGCACCTGCCCCGCGAAGGGGCGGAAGCGGAAGGGCAGCGCGAGGTTGGAGATTTGGTGGCGCCTCGAATCGGATAAGGCCTCGGACACGTTGTTCAGATCGCAGGCCATTCCGGATAAGTGCACGTTCGCGGAGGCGGTGTCGGTCTTTCGGTTCTGCATGTCGATGATCGGTAACTCGTTCTCGATATCGTAAGGAAACATCCCCCCTCCCCATAGTCAAGTTGCGAACTCTGCAACAGAAATCCAGGAGTTTTGACAGCCATGCATGACAAGTTCGTCTTTGTAGTGTAGTGCAGGTTAGCAAGGACAGTCGCATCACAAACCCATCTCCTCATCCTGTTTACAGCATTACAAATGCCAAAACACGACTGGAAACGCCTCTCATGTACGTGCGCATTACAAATGTTCCTGTCATTGCAAATCTGCATGACAACTCTGGGGTGGGGACGTTTTTGCTCAGGATACTCGATTCCGTGCTTCACCACCTCGGTGCAGTATTTGAGAAAGGACCACTTCTTGTAGTACACGGATTCCTATCCTGTGCAAAAGTATCGTACTCGTACTAAGTGCATTTATGCATTTACAAATCTGGTTCCTAAGGGAAATCCGCATTACAAATTTAATTTGTAATGCTGAGCAAATTTGTAATGCAATTCATACTAGCACAATACTTTTGCCATTCATAGTTCCTCCAACATCCGCACCTTCGCCCACTTCGGCTTCTCCCGCCAGCGCAGCGGTGCGAGGGGGGACTCCGCCTTCCAATAGATCCGGTTCCGCACGGCGTACCGCTTCACGCGCCGAAACGTCCCCGCGACCGACCCGTGGTTGGGAACGGATTCGCTGTATTGGAGCAGGCAGTTGGTCATGCGGCAGGTCCCCTTGCCGCCCCGGAGCCGCTTCGAGGATACGCTGTACATGATTTCGTTCCGTCGTCGTTTGATGAAGTACTTGTATTTTGCGGGCCGCGGACTCGTAAAACTATTTCGGTGATGGTTCTTATTTTTCCTGCTGGAGGTGCTGCTGTCGTGTAGCAGTGCCGATGGGGAGGAAAGTTGTTTCGACCCAGGAATCATCGAGGATTCAGAAATCATCGCGGTCCGAGCTTCGTGAAAGAATGCATGACCTACCCACCGTGCGGACGTCCAACCACAACTATCCCATCCGAACCGACGCCGCAGCCGTTTTTTGTCGCATGAGCAACGGAGGTATGTTTTAGACGGCAACTTCTGCGCAACGGAAACTTCTACCCATCTTCCTCTTTAGGAGCTCACGCGGGGTGTACAGCCAGGCGTTTAGAGCTTTGCAAAATAATGCTCTCTTGTGCAAGAACTCTGAGCAAGCAACATAGGCGGCTTCTCTCTGTAAAAGCAAAGAACAAAACCGAACAACAGTCTTTTTCAGGGCGCAGCACCAGACAGCACGTCAGCCGACGACTTTCAACCACAGCTGTCTTGCGACATGAGTTTTTGGATGAGAAAAAAACTTGCGACTTTTTTCGGAGTCCATATCGTGCTCATCGCGGCCGGGGGTACTAGTTACAATATTTCTCGGGTCTAACATTTTGGGTACAGCTTATCGGGGACGATCGAGGATGCAGAGTGAGGGAGAATCGCACCTGCGTCAACTACTGAAAAAAGCCTGCGGCTAATTTATGAAAGAACCCCACATTCGCTGATGCAGGTCGTGGGCTTCTTCTTCTACGTTGTTATTCGTATACTTATTACTAAAAACTGGGGATAGAGAGACGGAATAAAGGGGATGATCAAGAGACGATGAACAGTACCAGCTTTTAGCTGATGCGAAAGCCCCGAACAAATTGCGAAGCCATTTATTCAGCGGCTCGACCCCCTTTTCCTCCTGTCCGCCTCCTCCTCCTCCATATGTTCCTTGATTTGGCTCTTTAAACCCAGCAAGGTTCGCTCTGCTTCCTTGCTGTAGTGCTCCCCCAGCTTTGCCGGGGACGCCGTCAGCAGCAACTCCCGGGACACCAGGCAGGATTCGTGAAACTCCCCTACGTCACTCCCCTTGTGCCGGAATTGCAGGTCCTCCTTCTTCAAGATCCTCTGCCGCTTCCGCTCCTCCTCACCCAGTTCGGAGATAAAGCCCTCGTTTGCCTGCTCGTCGTCCCGCATGGGAAAGTACCGCCACAGCAGCTGCATCGTGTGCTGCAGGGGCTCGATGCACATGTGCAGGATCGGGAAGTCGCGGATGTCGGTCCCGAAAGGATCCACCATTTCCCCCGCGACGCCAAGGATACCGAAGAGGCAGACCTGCTGCGCTACTAACAAAATTAGCGTGATCACCAGCGACTCCCAGAACATCATCTGCCCCCACAGCAACCCCACCCTTGTGGACGCGAAGGCGATTTCCAGCATACAGGAAATCCCGACCGTGGAGGACACCAAGTACGTGTAGGTCGGCGGGTACTGCATCGAGGTCAGCCGCCCGATCACCTGACTGGCTTCCATCATCTGGTTTAGGTGGTTCATGCGCATCGCCGCGCCCGGTTCCGAGATGATGCCCTTCTTGGTCGCGGCGAACACCACGTTTAGCGCCTTGATCGTGTACGCCTGGCACAAGTGCTCGCTGTACCCCTCGGCCCGAATCTTTTTCACCTCGGCGGCGGTCAGCAGGCCCCCCGCCTTGTCGCCGAAGCAGGAGCACAGCGGCACGAAAAACTCATCCACCGGATAGGTGTCGCGCGCCGTGTGGAGGAGGACCAGCATCCGCGCGATGTGCATGCACCGCACCTGCTCCTTCAGGCATTCCGGGTGCTTGCGAAAGTCAATCATGCAGATGCCCACCGCCTGGTCCGTGATGTCCGCCATCTCCCGGCACGCGTCATACATCTTGTAGTACCTGTGGATTCATGAAGTAGCAGGTTTGGGAAATTTTGTTCGGTTTGTTCACTTCTCATATCTTTATGTTTCTATGTTCGCGAAAAAAGCTAGAACTCATTCTCGCTCCGAAAAGGAAAGGAATTCTATCTACACAGGCTGTAGCTGTTGTTGTAAAAACACTACAAGTACGCGCAAAAAAACGTTACCTTTTGATCGCTGCATTCACGTAGAACACCACCAGGAAGATGGGCAAGATGGTCGCCAGCATACTGGGTGCGTAGTCGTTTCCGCGGCTGCCCCACTCGGAGCAGGTGTCCAACAGGGCGTCCCAGGTCTCGCTCTCGCCCTCATGGTCAATCGCCGAGGCGCATCGGGCCACAATGATGAAGTAGACCATCAGAGCCGGGATACAGAAACCCCGGTTCGCCCAGGACAGGTTGGAACTGTAGACCAGGGTTGCGCGGGCGAGGTTGAATTTGTCCTTGATGGCGTCCCACAGGTTGATATTGAACTTGCTTGCGCCGGGGGACCCCTCGGTGGAGGAAGACCCTTCGGATACTGTGACAACGGAGCGATTCGTGTGCACGCGGACCTCGTCCATCAAAATCTTCGGCATGAAATTCGGCAGGTAGGGGAGGTTGGTCCCCATCTGGTACACCGGTCGCTCCCCATCGTACGACGGGTCGGACAAGGTGTCCACTTGCTGCTGCTGCGCTCCTGCGACGTCCATTGGCGGTTGAACAACAGTCCCGTTTCTGTTACGACCGCGAAAGGAAGAACGACGCTGAGTTTGTTCAACCATGGCGACTCATACAAGTTTGCCCGCTACTTGGATCACTATCAGCGGGGATGGATTCTAAATTCTGCATGAACGAGATAAAGGTTTTCATCGAAGAAGACAAGGAAACACGATCACGAAAAACCAGTACCTCTACCTTCGAAAGTAAGAAGTTCTTGCGGTAGACTAAATACTCAAATCTGAAAACGACTGCCTGTGCTGGCGCGTCGTCCTCAATTTCAAAATTTAGTGTAGTCGTACAAAGGCTGCGTAGAAAAATTGTACTAAATGTACGGGATGTATTTGAGTGTCGATTGGGTCCTGATAGAGATAGTCGTCGGTGTGACAGTTTCGAAGTGCGGCTAGAAAAAACTGTATGGAGGACGACACACGAAGCTTCATCTTTCTTGCAACGAGTCCGTACGAAAGTAAAGGCGTTTCGGACGAATTCATGGTGCAGTCCAATTCATCAAAGTGTACGAAAACCGAGCTTTGTTGTACGCGCGTTCCACGTCCACCGCTGTGCATCATCAGCAACCGAAAGCTTTTTTTTACCAGATGATGGAAGTTCAGGACCGATGATCACTTAGGGGACTCCTTGTGCCCCTGGTAAAAGAAAGATACTTGTTCGAATAGCGACGCGGCAGTGAGGCACCTCACTTCTACCGAGTAGGAGCTGCAGGAACGGCTCTAACTGGCTCGAGCAGTAGAGAGTGGAAACACAGTTTTGGGTTCTTATCAGGCCGCTAGAGATGGAGTTTGTTACACACACGTAGAAGATCATGGAGTTATACGCACACCGTCAACAAGAGGCAGCCAACTAATGTAGAAGTGTCGAAAGCAAGTTCGAAATACAACTCATAGATAGAAACACCTGTACAACAAAAAAGGAAAACTCGTATGCAAATTTTTCTTTTTGAAAATCGAAAAAGCCATAAATTTCCATAATCCAGCACCGCCCCGGTCATGCGTTAACCAGTCTATCCCCTTCGCCTGAACAACAGCAACTCGCTGCCTACTTGCTTCTGTTTTTTTGTCTGCTTCGGAAGGTTCGCTGCTCCTCCTCCGCTTCCTCTTGGTGCTCTTTGATTCGGTCCTTGAGCGCGTTCAGCACCGTTTCCGCCTCGCGGCTGTAATACTCTCCCAGCTTCGCCGGCGTGACGGACAAGAGCATCTCCCGCGACATCAGCGTGGATTCGTGAAACTCGCCGATATTGTCCGCGTTGTGGCGGTACTGCAAATCCTGCTTCTTCAGCACGCGCTGCCGTTTCCGCTCCGCCTCCCCAAGTTCGCTGATGAACCCCTCGTTCGCCTCCGGATCATCCCGCATAGGGAAGTACCGCCACAGCAGTTGCATCGTGTGCTGCAGCGGCTCGATGCACATGTGCAGGATCGGGAAATCACGGATGTCGGACCCAAACGGGTCCACCATTTCCCCCGCGACACCTAAAATTCCAAAAAGACACACTTGCTGCGCTACTAACAGAATTAGCGTTATCACCAACGACTCCCAGAACATCATTTGCCGCCACTGGAGCCCAACGCGCGTGGAGGCGAAAGCGATTTCCAGCATACAGGAAATCCCAACGGTGGAGGAGACTAAATAGGTGTAGGTCGGCGGGTACTGCATGGAAGTCAGTCGCTTAATTTTCTGGCTCGCCTCCATCATCTGATTCAGGTGGTTCAACCGCATCGCGGCGCCGGGCTCGCTGATGATGCCCTTCGCGGTGCCGGCGAAAATCACGTTCAGCGCCTTGATCGTGAAGTACTGGCACAGGTGCTCGCTGTACCCCTCCGCCCGGACCTTCTTCACCTCCGCGGCGGTCAGCAGCCCGTGGCTTTTGTCGCCGAAACAGGAGGCGAGGGGCACAAAAAATTCGATCGGCGGATAGGTTTCCTTCGCCGTGTGGAGCAAGACCAGCATCCGCGCGACGTGCATGCATCGAACCTGTTCTTTCAGGCATTCCGGGTGCTTCCGGAAGTCAATCATGCAGATGCCCACCGCCTGGTCTGTGATGTCCGCCATCTCCCGGCACGCGTCGTACATCTTGTAGTACCTGCGGTTGATAGATTTTTCTTCAGATCTACTACTTTTTGCCGCAAGGATAAGAAGTAAGTACTCCTAGGAGCGAAGGTTGAAAATCATTCTCATCTGCTACAAGCAACATGGACCACACGAATACCTTTTGATCGCAGCGTTGACGTAGAACACCACGAGGAAGATGGGCAGGATGGTCGACAGCATGGCCGGCGCGTAGTCGCCGCCGCGCTGCCCCCACTCAGAGCAGGTTTCCAGCAGCGCGTCCCAGGACTCACCCTGGCCCTCGTTCTCGATCGCCGACGCGCAGCGCGCGACGATGATGAAGTACACAAAAATGGCCGGGATGCAAAACCCGCGGTTGGCCCAGCAGAGGCTGGAGGAGTAGGCGAGCGTGGCCCGGAGGAGCACCACCTTATCCGCAATCGCGTTGTAAGCGGAAAACGACTCGCCCGCCTCGCTGGCCGCTTGGCTCACCGTGACGACGGAGCGATTCGTGTGCACGCGGACCTCGTCCATCAATATTTTGGGCATGAAACTCGGCAGGTGCGGGAGGTTCTCCCCCATCTGGTACAGCGGCCGGTCCCCATCCCACGAGGGATCGCTCTGGACATCTGCGGCTGGCGGCGGCTGTTCCGCCCCTTGTGGTACCTGCACCGCCGGCTTTGCGAAATTTTGTTCGACCATGATGCCTTTTTCTTTTTTCTGAACGGGTTCTTCGTTGTGCGGGACGAGGAAGAGAGATAAATCCTTTTTCGCGAGCGGCAATCAACAAAGAGCTGCAATAGTCACTACGAAAATAGGGGCGTTGCAGTGTCGTGCATCGTAGACATACAATGAAGGTAAGTTTTCTTGATGCCGTTTAAACAGTGTGGAGCTACTGGCAAGTACTTTTAAAACCAGCTAGGGGGGAAAAGAAAAGAGGTTCCACCTGTCCACTGGCGTGGAGGGGTGGGAGCCGAAGCTCGACCCTGTTAGACGATTAGAGAAAACGACAAGAGATCAGGACCTAACTCTTCTATTTCTAAAACGAAATGACGACGACGAAGACACGACGCACGGGATGCACGATCCGACATGAATTTCTTTCAGCGCACGACATCAAATTTCCGATTTCGGATTTACTTGCACAGACATTGAAAGCGCACGAGGACCGAAAGCTTGCTGATTATGTTCACGCCAAACGCATTCGCAATTTTTACGATCCATTGCAATCGAAGACGAACATTTCAAACATCCTTCTAGATCCAGCGCATGTCGCCTTGTGTCCAGCTTCGTCCAGCATTTTTGCTGCATACATCACACGAAGTCACCTGTAGCACCTTGAGGTGAAATGAGAAGTAGACCTCGAAAAACTATGTCGCTGTGTATCTGACAATATCAGAAATGTCGTCATCATCCTCATTTAGCAAAACACAGGGTAGCAGGACTGCTAGGGGCACATCAGCTGCCAGGACGCGTGAATAAAACGAGCTCCAGTACAAAGGGATTGATCACTACGGTCTCTCGAAGATATCAATCCCCGCAAAAACCACTACCTACAACCAACCAACTGCCAGATTTCGAATTCTATCACGAACTTCGGAATTCTTCCAAGATCGCCCCGGCGAAGCCGGCATCTTCGGGACTCTCGCGCAGCTGCTGCAGCCGCTCGGAATCCAATTCGGTCATGGTCGCCGCCCGCGGCCGTTTTGCGGGCGGCGGCACGAAGGACAAGTCCGAGTCGTCGTCCAGGTTCTCTTCGTCCGTTGGAAAGTTTGCGACGACCGAGTCCGACTTTTTCCGCTTCCGCACCCCCGGCGCAAAGTCGTACTCCCGCATGCTACTCACCTCCGACGACGCGGCTTCGGACGAAATCGCAATGGAGTTCGTCTTCGCCAGACGGTTCAGCCCGAGCAAGGTCGACCGCGAGAGCACGCCAAGAGGGGGATGTGTCGAGGACGGGGCGCGGCTGGCATTGTTGAACATGGCGCTACTGTTCTGTTGCTGTTCGTGTTGCGGCGGGACGTGAGGGATCGCGGAGCTATTGCTGCTGGAGGAAGCAGCCGCATGCTGCTGGTTGATTGCATGCGGTTGTGCTGCGAATAAACTACTGCTGCTCGAAGCTGTGCCCTGTGGCCCCGCCGTCCCCCCCGGGGCATTTTGTTGCTGAGTGAAGATGTTACTACCACTACTGCTGCTGCTTCCACCAGTGCCGGACAGACCATTCATCGCCAAGACAATCTCTCCTCTCCGACGCAGCCCCGATTTCGGCTCGCTTTTGGACTTCTTGTTTATTTCCGAAGTCGACGAATTCCCGTTGTTCATCTCAAACGCGGGCGTGGTCGCCCGCGTGTCTTTATCTTGGTTGCTCGAGGTCGAGATTGCCCGGGGAAGATTCAAGGCAAGTGGCGGGATCTTTGGGTGCTGTTGCGTTGGTGGATTTAGTACCCCAAAACCAGCGCCGGCTGCTGGAGCAGCACCACTTTGGGTCACCGTTCTTTGTTCTAGGACGGGGTTATTGAAGATGTTGTTGGCCGCCGGTACCATTGTAGTGCTGCCGCCTGTCATCGGCGGTGGTCCCATTAGCCCCCTTGAAGCAGCTGAACCGCTGCTGCTGCTGGAAATCGGCATTCCACTGTTGTCCTGGCTGTTTTCGCGGGGAGTTGTAAGACCCGGCATGGTCTGAAACATTCCTTCCCGGGGTCGTGGCGGCTGCGAAGAAGAGGAAGATGCACCACCGCCGGTTTCGTTACCCTCCCACAGTGAATAGCCCACGCCGGCTTCCAAAGTGAACACCTCATTTGTTGTTGCTGTACTTGCGGCATTCATCTTCCCGTCTTGCGGCGCAAACGACCCACGCTCGATGCCTGGACCTCCAGAACTAGGTGGCACCCCTGCAACATGTTGAAGCGGCGGCGAGATCATTCGCAGCAGAACGCGTTCGTGGAGCTTGTTCCAGGCGGGAATTTGTTTGTGCAGATCGGGCTTTTGTGACAGTGACGCTCCAGATGACGGGTTGCTACCGTTTTCAAAATACACTTCCATTTGGTCATCTACTCCGCTGTCGAGATCCACTCCGCTGTAGGACGGCGCGTGCTCCGGCTGCGGCATCACAAGTTTGCTCTTTCCACAAGAATTGCGCTGTCGATTCTCGTCATTCTCGTCAAATTCTTCTTCCTCCAGAATGGTCCCCATCGCCGGCGGAGGCACCGCGGAAGCGCGGGCTGCGGGATTCGCAACGGGGGAAGGGGTCTCCAACAGCGATTGTGCCTCCACCAAGTCGTGACTTTGCAGCGCCGGCATGGTAGTGGAAGCAGATGACATGAGCGGTGTGCCGAGACTGCTACTGCTGCCCATCATATCGGATGAAGAAGAACTCGGAGCTGAATTACTATTTTGACCGCTGCTATTCATGACCCCAGCACCTTGTGTGGCAGCACTGGGAAAGAGCGTCCGCGCCCCGGTGACCCCAAACGTCGGCGAAGTCTTCGACAAAAACCCTTCCAGCCCCCGCGGAGTGCCACCGAGCGAGTCGGAAGTAGATATCACCATTGAAGACTCCGCATCTGTGCAGCCTTGTAGCAGTTGCCCCCCTTGAAGAAGACCCCCACCAGTACCGCTGGTAGTGCTTGCAGCACTCTGGTTATTATTTTCGACCGTACCAATCATGTCCACGTTGAAAAAGTCGTTGATCCGACTGTTCCCCGCCGCCAGAGATTTCCGGTTCGGTAACCCCCCGCTAAGCAGCCCAGACAGGCTCGAGGCGGACGACGCCCGCTCGACCGCTGGCGTGTCCGGCTCCACGTCGTAGTTGCTGGGGTACAAGTTGCCGAGCCACCGCGGACTGGAGGAGAGGTTGTTCAGCGGCCCGGGCTTCTGGTTCGACGGCCGCCGCCGTACCGGCTTGCTCGACATGGAAACGCGCGGCGTGTTGAACGTCCCCCGCCCGGACGCCCTCCGCCGTGCCTTGTACGACGGGCTCAGGCACCGACTCGCGAACTTGTCGTGGTCATCCGGGTTCTTTTTCATCGGCCCGTTGCTGCTACTACTCCGGTCCCGCATGCTCAGCGTCAGACTGTTCCCCGGCGGTCCGATCTTACTGGAAGCGTAGGTCGTGCTGGGAAGCGAAGAACTGCTGCTGGAAGCGGCGCCGGCGGCCCCAAACACGGCAACATCCTGCATCACCTGGTCCGAGCACGAACTGGTGTGCCGACTGGGAAAGTCCTCATCATCTTCCACCACCTTTGGCCCGAGTTCGAGCCTCGGTCTCTGCGAAGCCGGCGGGTCCGACATTTAGCAGAAGTGAAGTTGCGGTGGAATCTTTTTGTCAAAACTGGAATTCGAAGCTGCGCTGCAGCGTTGTTCCGCTCCAAAGCTACACTCGTTTCGACATGGCGAAAAGTTCGAAAGATTCTTACAAATCCGCCTTCGGTGGACCAGCGCCATGCAATTCCTCAAGCAAAACCGTCTCCGCAATGCTTATCTTCGACTGTAGATACCTGTTGATAAAAATGAAATCGCGGTCACACAGAACAAATAAGAGTGCACTACGAGAGAAGGCGAAAGAATCGGACGAACAGCGGCACCTTTCACTAATCCTCTTGACTAATCGATAAAATTCAGCTGCAAGAACAGAACAGTACGGTGATCCGACGCCTTTTGCATCAATGGCATTCAGCTTTCGCATAATCTCAGCCTTGTCCACGATACTGCTCTTCTCCATAAGTTTAGGAACTTCCAGGATGTTTTTGGCCTCATCGACATTCATGCGCCTGTTTCGCACCGCTGCTGCCACATTTGGATTCTTCGCCGCTTCCTTGTACGCTTCCCGAACTGCTTTTCCCATCGCGCTGCCCGCGACCATCACAAATTGCGCAGCTATCCGCACGAAAGGACCCCACGCCATGGCTTCGAATTCCGAAGATAGAGAAGATTGGTAAAGAGGGGGAAAGTCTTTAGAAGTGTCTGAAGCGCGAACTTATGAAAACGTGCCGGAAAGTGCTTCACGGAGGGATAGCTTACTCTCTCGCCTTTACACCTGAAAACACACTAGCAGCAACGGCGGTATTTTCAATGACGCAACAGGGTTGAAAAGTAGCTGAAGCAGAAAAAAACCGATCACCCAAGCCGGAGCTGTGCTTTGCGAAAAAATTTGGATCAGAGAGCTGCGTCTTCTGGCCAAAGATCAAGCGCCGTGCACGCGCTAGAATACTTTCCTTAGACGAAGATTTCTTGACCGTACCTACGCCGCTTATGGCACTCGCTTCCTTTGCTATAGAATCGCTTTTATTCTCAGACATTTTTGCGCATCTTTAGAGAAGTGGATCTTCTACATTAGGGAAAAAGTTCATTGGGGTCCTGACGAAGAAACAATGTAGGGCAGAGTTACCTGAGCCCGCCATCAGCGCAATGCCTTAATAGCAGCACTTGGGCATCCAATAGAAAACCGATTGGCCTTGGCACAACAACATCTCGCAAAAGCGAACTCGTAGAACACGCAATTGGATATCGACAGGCGTCCATTGACAACCCGGGCGCTCGAAGCACAGCGCTGACGGCTCTCTCGCGTTTCTTTTTTAGCTCTCGAGACTACACACAAAAAATGTGGTTCATTATGGGTTCATTTTCAGTAGCACAAGCAGAGTTCTTGAGGATTGTTGCTGAAACAAGCGTTGCTGCTGGTAAAACCAAACTGCTCAGTTACGCGGCTTCTCCTTCTTTTCCTTGTACAAGGCCAAGAGACCGCAACCGGACACCTTGACGACCTGTTGATTTAGGTTTGATTGAATATCGTGCAACAGCACATACGACAAAAATACCTTCACATTTAAAAGAGCAAAACCATGATCTCAACTCGCAGTCCGACAGCACAAGGGCACTACGGTGCACATGCAAACAAAACCAAAATCTATCCAGAGATTGACTCAAAGCTATACCTTGAACCGGACACCGGGGATATCACCGACGGCGTGGCCGCGGCGACCGAAACCGGCGATCAGGACTTCGTCGTTCTCATCGATGAAGTTCAAGCAACCATCGTTCGGGACGAAGGCGGCGATCTTCTTTCCGTTCTTGATCAGCTGCACGCGGCAGCACTTACGGATGGCGCTGTTCGGCTGCTTGGCCTCAATTCCGATCTTCTCAACCACAATGCCCTTAGCGTGGGAGGAACCACCGAACGGATTGCACTTGTACACGGAGCCTGGGAAGATGATGATTAAAATTGCGGTTTAGATAATTTTTTTTTTGAAACGCTCTTCATTACCTCGTTCCCATGCCAACTTAAGAAATCCTAGTTGTACATGTGCCATTTGCAAGATCCGGTCAGTTTACAATTTCACTTGCTAGTCCGCGAAAATTGTCAGTTTGAAACTTAAAGGATATTTTGAAAAAATTCCCCATCGTCGCTACACCAGTAGTGAAGCGGCTCGGAGAAAATTCAAATTTCTCATCCTTGCGCGGCGGAAATATAGTAGCACACTCATTCTGCTGAAGTGCTTGACAGCAAAAAAAAACGCGGTATGCGATGTTAGCAAAGGACATATACCGAAGTTGGCCTTCTTGTAGTCCTTGTCGGCCCACCGGTTTTCACGGCGGCTGTTCACCAACTTACGGGCGGTACGGATCCCACGCGGCTTTCCCATCTTGTGCTACTGTTGAGCTCTAACTTACGGTCTCGAGTAAGTGTCCCTGTGGGCGAAAGATTTAAAAAGGTGCAGATAAATTTAGGTGTAAAAGCAGTTATGGAAGTAGCGTTCGAAATAAGGACAAGGATCCGTATTTCTTCTAGAGCGAGAATCTACCGGCTACCTTCGCAGTGACTACGGCCATGTGCATAGTTCCACAGACAAAGGATCTAAATTTGTCATTTTGGATCGTCTCACTAGGGATCTTGTTTGTGGCTAGCGGCCATGATGATCCATCATCATTTTGCTGATCTTCATCCTAGAGACCGTTTTCACGCTACTTCTGCACCATGGATCTCCGACGCTTCTCGATACTTATGGATCTCAGCATCTGCGCTCTCATGTGATCGCTAAAGATTTTCCGGCTCATAGAACGAGTATCGCGATCTAAATTTTGATCTGAGAACGCTGAAACCAACTATTTAAAGGCACACTTTCAACAGCACAAATGGACACCATAGGTTGTATGAACGCGCCAGCACCATCCGGCGAGCGCGAGCACCAAACTGAGACTCAACATGCTATTTCGAAACTGTAGTATGTCGCCTTTACGCTCTCATGCGCGATGGAATTCACTTTGTTTTTTACTCGACTCAGAATACTGTCATGACTGGGCATTGTACCAGCAAACTAGTTCTAAACTTCTGCCTTTTGAAGGCCACAGCACAGGCGAATTTTTACTCTGCGCACGTCATTTGTAGATGCTGTAAAATCGTCCGCCTGCATTGTGCACGCCTCCGCCCGCACCAATCGGGTCCGTACAGGCCCACTCATACCACACCTTTGCCTTGTCGGACTTCCGCCACACGTTTACCTGCACCGAATCCAGGGGCGAGAGCTGGAAGGGTTGCTTAAACGGAAAGTACATCGGGAACCACGAGATCAAGTCTTCCGTTTTGGTTACCGGATCAATACTCATGCGGATTTTTCGACTGCCCTCACATGTTGCCTCGTAAAGAACGCAATCGAAGTAGGCCGCTAAACCATCGCATTCAGCTTCAACCTGGTTTTTTTTTCGAGAGAGAAAGTTTCATGAGGATTCGTAATTGGGGAGTAGACCTTATTGATCAGAAGACAATCATCATGCAAGGGCGCGGCTACAGATGAGGCGCCAATGATCTAAATCTGCTGTTGGATCGTGATACCATTGCGTGAAAACCAAGCTTCAGAATAGTAAGGATTGAAAAAAAGTTGCATCAGCTTCATCTAGAATCATGACAAAGCATTGCGAATAAGGTAGTCATCATAACAGTGTGCGTGCGCCTGGAATTCGCCAGCCACACCTCGATCCACTTGCGCCAGTAAATCTAAACCAGAGACTAGACAACTACCGCAATGATTTCAGAATAGTAAGGATTGAATTTGGAGTTTGCATCACTTTGAGAATCAAGACAAAGCATTGCGATCAAATTTGGCTCATCATGGCTTGCAATATTAAGCGCGCCTAGTACGATGCAAGAAATGAGACTGCTTAAGCACTAACGTGGCTTGTCGGAAATCAGACTGCGGCTTAATTTGATTGGGTGCAGTTTTTCGCCACCGACGAACGAAGTTTGTCTCTAGCAAAAAGTGGTCATCATGGGCTACGACAGCAGTTATCTTTTTCTAAAGACGAGATCATGCAGGTTTCGAAGAAGTAATCAGACTGCGGCTTAATTTGATTGGTTGCAGTTTTTCGACATCTCTAGACCTGCTGGTCTAGATTTAGAAAAAAAGAGTCATCATAGTGAAAGAGCTTCGCACCCACTGAGTGCTCCTAAAGTTGATGCTAGATGAACCAAAACATTTCAAATCGGATCAATCAATGTCGTTGCGCAAGTTCGTTTTCGCATTCGCAGTTCTATTTCTGCCTGTAGAGGTGGTCCATGCAACGTCTTAAAATCTAAAGCCGAAGCAAAGACATCAGAAAACGATCCCAAACGTCAATACCTCTGGCTTGAAGGTAATTTGGCAGTGCCGGTCGTTGTGTCCTATCCCATCGACTCGGTCGGACGGGTGCTCGAAAGTAAAACACGGCTGCGGTGCCGAGATGCAGAACAGGTGTTGAAAAGCCACGACATACCCCTGCTCGAATTGCTGACGGGATTTCAGCATGTTGTGATTGGCGGGGCTCGCAACCAATTGCAACGAACTCGTGTAGGACTGTGGGATCGAAGTTCCGCGGATGTTTTTCCGCAAGAAGAGCATAGCACTGCGCTCTCGCGCAGCCCTCGCGTGAAGATGAGTGGAGGAGCGCGCACTCGTAGCTGCTGCCGGCGCGGCGGAGGTGTTATCTTCTTTATCTCCGCTGGTAGTTGTAGATTCCATGACGACGCAGAAAATTTTGTCAATGACCTTCCGCCATGTGGGCGCGTATACATTGATCCCTCGGTGATCGCATTGAGCATGCGCGGTCGTCCGTTTCGACGCCGCTTGTTCGTTGACATCCGCGACCAGCTGCTTCAAAAGTGCGTCTTCGTCCCGCAGAAACCGTTGCGCGCCATCCAAGCACTCCGGCGAAAGTTCGTTGTCGCTGAAACTCCCCAAAAGTTCGGAGACGATAACATCCGCCTTGTACTCCGTCTTCCAATCTCGCATATCCATCGGACCGACGATCTCCACCTGGTTGCACCATTCGTACTTGTTGCGGTAAAGCAGCGTGTGCACCGCGTTTGGGTTCTTTTCCACGGCGATTAGTTTGAACTCGGGCTGATGCTCGTCCGGGACCGCGGCCTTTGCGAAAATTTTCTTGAGCTGTCGAATCCCGTCCAAGCACGCTTGCACAATCGGGCCCCGGCCTGCGCCTACGACCATAATGACGAAGCTGTTTTCCCCCGTGCATATTGTACTCAAGTTGCAGCCCTTTACAAACAAAACCCGGGCTTGCTCCCTTTTGCTTTCGATCTCACCGCGCCCCGCCTCCTCCCGGGGTTGGCGACTCGCCTCCGCCAACTCTTCCGGGTCCGCGTTCCTTGTCGCTCCTGCTTCTTTCTGAGTGCGGTGATGTTCGTCCGCATCAGCATTACGACTGTTGTTCCTCGCGGCGGTTGCAGCACCACGGTCCTGCGTTTGCCTATCGTCTTTCCCCGCGAAGACTTCGTCCGAAAGGCGACTTCCGTCGTCTGACGCATCCTCCACCTTCTCCGATGTGGCCTCCCTGCCCGCGTGGTCCGTCGGCACCGGCGCGGGTCGCCGCGTGCGCTCCTTCACGAGCTCAGCAACTGCGTCCGTCGCAATCCTTAACGCGACCTGCGGATCCATAACCGCGGTGCTGGCCCCTACCCCCGGGAAGAGGTTCGCGCCCGAAAACTTCTTCAGGGAGTCAATGAGGAACCGGATTTTGTCCCACAGACACTCGGTCACGGCTTCCTGGTACAGCACGTATTTCACGGGGTCCTCCTCAAACGTCTCATAGGTCTGACTCCCAAGGTGGTCGTGCAGGGGCTGCAAAGGCGCCTGCAGCACGTCTAGAAATGGCCTCTCGAACTTCTGCTGCACGTCGGGGGGCGACCGAGATTTGAACAGCAGCGACAAGTACCGGGCTTGGAGCGTGGAGAACCGCGCGTTTTTCACCGGTGAAAGACTAGTACTTGTATCCAATTCCGAGTCGCCAGTATTGACTACAGAAGAACTACTACTTCTACTCCCTTCGGTTTTTTCGATCGGAAAAGGTACTATTGTGTTTGTTGTTCCGCCATTCAGCCCTGCATCTTCCTCCCACCTCTCGCCGCTGGTCTCCCGCTCGTCGTCGCGCACGATGAAGATGGTTTCGGCTCGGGTGAAAAACCCCTTGACAAAGCTCTGCAGCTTCTTCGGGAGTACCGGGTACTTTTTGCTGTTTTTCAAAAACGCCGGCGACGCTAACTGCACCGAGTGAACGCGCTCCCCATACCACCGGTCGAGTTCCAAGTCGGTTGGCTTCTCGAATTTCGCAACGTCAATAATGAGACTTACCCTCAAGTCGCTCCTGCACTCGATCAATTGCTTAAACTGGTTCCACACCGTCCAACCGTCGACTTTTATTGCTTTATTTCCTGCTTTAGTCGTGATCGTGTGCAGCGCTTTGTCGTGGTACACCAAAGGCACTTGAATCACCAAGGGTACCCCCTGCACCTCCCGCTTCAGCAGCATCCGGTTGACCAGGGCCGCAAACTGCACGCAGCCGCTCACGTCTGGAAACGGCAGAAGAAGGGCCGTCGCGCCCAGGTGTTCGCCGAAGGAGATCTCCTCCTCCAGTCGCTTGCTATTGCGGTCGTCGCGCCGGTGCTCGTCGTAGGTATCCAAATCTGGGTTCAAGCCTTCTGTGCACTGCGCGATCATGCACGAGCCCCACAGCCGTCCGGGCAGCGCTAAGTCGCAAGTCATCGCTGGAACGAAAGGCTCGGAGGAAGCTTTTTGGCTTTCCTTGGTTGCGAGCGGGACCGTGATATAGTCGTACCCGGCCGTGAGCACATCGTTTACAATCGTCTCCAGGCTCGTGTCCGACGGGATCTGCAGCAAGCCCCGGCCCAGGTTCAGCTGGTCGCCGTGAAGAAAAACAGGCATATTGTAGGTAGTGGTGTTTCCGATGCTTTTTGGGTGTGGCGAACGGAATTTGTTTTTTCGGCGGGTACGTACGAAAAGGCTACCAACGCTGGTAGTACTATACTTGATGCGCTACCAAACTATCTCAAAATGCCTAACGGGCCGAGAAACAGTATATGTCTCACTTGATGCTACTTCGATGCCAATTGTTGCTGTTCAACTCCTTACCGAGCCATTACTCTTGAGAGCTGAAGAGCTGCTTTCATTCCTTTTCCTACCAGGACATGTCTGTGAAATTAAAGGAAAAAGGACTTGGTGCAGACTCCTTGTGGGTCGTTCATTTTTCATGGGAAGTACAGCAAGAAATCTAGCACGACTTTGGTGGAAAATCACACGATTTGCCGAGATCGTTTCTGCTCATTTTCCTCGACAAGGATCCCTAGATCTATTTACTCTTGTCCAGGTGCGGATTTCGGAAGATCCGTATCTCAGTACTCATGTCTTTTGCGGATATACTCGTGTCCATGTCGTGAGGACGATCTTTAACGCATGCCTTTCGATGGAAGGAATTTGTGATCTAGCTTTTGATGGTCGCACTGACTCCAGGCAGGAAGCGGATCTTCTTACTTTTCTTGTTTCCAATTTTTTGTAGCACTACTTTTGCAACTACAGCCAACGAAACCCCGAGCCTAACACACTATCAATGTCCGTTCATCATATCCCTTCCTCCGTATCATATCAAAAGGGATTGACTGTGCAATCCGTCGTCGGTTCTATTACGCATGAATGGCTACTGTTGCCACAAAGAAAACCACACGGCAGCTCTGGTGTTTTTCATCTTGTAAAAATATCCTTTTTGTTTCTGCGAGTACGACGCGCCGACGGGCTTCTTTCCGTCCCGGTGCGGCAACACAGCTAGCGTTGCAGAGCTGTGTTCTCAGACCAGGCTTTACTCCTAGTGCCACCACTCGGCGAATTCTTTCCGCCAGCCTTGGTCGTGCGCGGCAGCCCAGCTCATCTGGTACCAATTTTTATTTGGTTCACAGGCCGGGGCGGTGCTGTTGTAAAACCCCTGGAGATAATCCGCATAGGTAGCGCAACTTGGCAACGCTACGGTCCAAGCGAACCAGTAAGCACCAGACACGGCCAACCCGATTGGTCGGAGAGGGGCCGTCCAGAGCGAACCTGGGTCTGCGTCTTGAAACTTGTCCTCTTTTAGAGCCGCCCGAAACATCGGCCAGAATGGTAGACCGAAGACAGAAAGCATGGCCAGCACTTCCGTCACGTAAACACACCGGGGCAGCAAGAGGCTTGTGGATCTTGGAATCAGGCGCCCGCCGGCCGCTGCACCCTCGTGCTTGGCGGAATTCTGCAACACGCTCGCCAGAACGGCAAATACCAGGGAGAACACCCATCCGCTGACCAGGCAAAGCACGCGGGGGAAATAAACCTACCGCTTCCGCAAGAGTTCGTCCGGAGTGCGGCCGCATTCATCGGCATCGGGTACGCCGTGGCCCCTAGACATATCGACCATAGACATTAGATCCATCGCATCCACAGCGGGGTCCGTGCTATTTCGCTCTTGTTCGCCGTTGCCACCAGTCAGCGAAGGCGTGGACGAGTATGACCGTGAATAACCGAACAGCACCTGCGGAATGCTAATTTGTTCTTCCGACACGAGTTGCCTCGTTTCGAAAATCAAGAGCAATGCCATCGCGAGCAGCACAGCCCGATGTAGTTGCAGCATGTACTTGCGTGACCGGTTATCGTGCATCATCGAGACCTGGTTTTCTCGACGATCTTCTCGGGTGCGGAACTTGAGTTGCGCAAAGAACCGCTCGGCGCGGCCCATATTCCTCGACGGCGCGACGTCCGGCAACGCTTGTTCCTGAACAGCCTCCAAGGGCAGTGGGCTAGTTTCTGTCTCGTCGTCCCGCTCCTGCGCGTCCTCAAAGCTCGCGGAAGGTATCGCAGCGGTCATCAGCATGAGTACTCGGGGAAGAATCAACCAGGTGACGCGGATTGCAAGGTTTTTAGCGCTATCCAAAGCCGGTGACGCAAGATAGAGGAACTCGTCCCCGTCTTTATTACCATACGGATTCCGGCACGGGGACTCGTACACGACCATTGTGTAACGGGACAAGAGCACGCAGACCTCGTTGATAACCATGCAGGCAGTGAAAATTTTTCCTTCTCCGCTCGCCTGCCGCTGCGTGACGGAAGACAGCGTCCCCACGTATGCAAAATTCCAGGGTAGCACGTAGTATAACTTTTTCTCGGCTTTCGTACCGCCCTCGTCTCCCGCGCTTTTCGCTCCCGCCTCGTCGTTGTCGTCCGTTCGTTGTTCGTCATCTCCTCTGGTTGGATGCTCGTCCGCCGGCGCGAGCGCATGCTCCTGGTCGTCGTCCACGTCCTGCTGGTATCAAATGTAAAAATGTCTGGGTCTGGAAGGTTACCAGGTTTGTCATGCATATTTTGCACTCTTGGAAATTCCCTACTACCGCTCGGGGGAGTTTTTTCTGGCTTGAGGACCCCCTCCCACCCCCCCGATCTCGGATGTGCGTGAGCCCATAAAAGTCCAAGGACTTGAAACATGCAAAAATTTATGCGTGAGGGCTGCAGAGTCGCATGAAAAACAAAAAACACTGAGCGGGCTGCACCGCACATGCGCGACCGAACGAGCGAGAAGTAATCAACAAGAAACTAGAGATAGAGGTGTGCGGCACCTCAAGGTACTTATGATGGCGACGAGAAGATGAAATAATTTTGTTTTTTTGAATTGTCAGACAATTGCGTATTACGGTACAAAACAGGTCAGCACTACCTCGATTGCGGTGTTTGCAAAGCGAAGCGGTAGCTGTAAAATGGATTTTTTACTTGTCATCATGAAGCATAAGTATGTCCACATGAGTGTCGCCGGATCTAAGGGCCCATCTATGCACCCGCCTCATGGAGCACGCTGTGTGTCAGGAACGGTGCCGGGCATAAAAAGCGGGGCGCGGCCCCTTGAAATAGGTGGACTTATTTATTTCTTATATGCAGCCAAAAGGAAGCAGACACGCGCGCGGTGAGTGGGTGGAGTCCTTGGGTGCGGCCCGACCGAAACCACCACTGCACCCGCCTAGAGATAGCAAAAAAAACTTGATGCATCCGGGTGCGGCCCGTCAGCGAGTGAGTAATGTGGCTGCCAGTGCATATATGTAAAAATTATGGTAGTAGCAAAATACACGGCTAAAAGCCAGAATAACGGTTTTGACAAAGTGAAAACCTTTAAAACCGCTACAGATCGCGATATGATATTGTAAGATTACGACGCAAGTGTAATTTTTTAAACTTTTAACTTTTTCCTTTTGAACTTTTACTTTTGGAGACAGGATAATTGTAGGGGGGTGGGTCCGTCGAGCCCCCGGCGTCGAAGTACAGCGGCAGATGCGACTCCGAGGACGATGTGATAGATGCTGGCGCTCGGACGGCTCGATAGCGGCCGGGTCAACAGCGGCACCACAGACGCAACACCAAAAGTCATACACCATCGGGCACAAGTCGCTATTTGCATCGCGTAAAACCGTGTTCGTGGCGGGCGAGGTCGAGCCAGGAGACCTAGGAGCTTGGCGTTCACGAGATCCAGGTCCAGGCTAACACCATAGCCAACTCGTAAATGACGACGGTCCCGCGTGCGTGACAAACCAAGACGTGACAGCGGTGTTGGGCTTTCAGTGCGGTAGGGCAAGTCCGACCAGCGGCCCGGCATGTGGGTCGGCCGGTTGTGGATCTGCAGCGGCGGTATCCGAGTCGGAGCACCAATTTACTGGACGCTTAGGGAACTTATGGAATGTGAATCAGAGCAAATGCACAGTAGAGGCAGCCTGTCATGCATATCACAATAAGGAGGAATGCGTCGCATCACACAGATGAGCATCAAGAACCCCTGGAGAACACCCGGATACAAAGCGACCAGCCAAAGAGAGATCACCGAGACAACCCGGAAGGGCAGGGGTGGATGACAGAAAATGCAAAAGGCCCAGGTCATACAAGCAGGAGAACCTAGAAAGTCACCACCACCGAAAGTCAAGTCATCCAGGAAGGAAGAGAAGGTCGCGAGGCAACATGCAAACGAGAAAAAGGAGAGGACAGAATGGAAGTAGAGATACAGATGATGACACATAGGGGCTGCTCAGCATGGTCATGACCAGGAATATCAGCGACGAGCGCATCTAAAAGTTAAAAAAAAAAAGCATGACAGGCTGCCTATCTATAACATCCGCTCATAACTTCACACGTCACAGATTACGTCCGCGCCGCGGCCCGACTCCAGTGCCTCCTTCCAGGTACCCGTCTTAATGATGTGAAGTCACGTCTTAATGATGGGAGCTGGAACTTTCGCGAGACCAAACGAAATGGCAAGCGAGGTCCGCGCGCCCCCCCCTGGAGGTGAGATACGAGGGTGGCCCTGTGTTGTGATCTGCAATCTGCATTAGACCACACAGGAAATGAGGAAGTTGGAGAAGGATCAAAAAAATGATCTGGAGCGACACTATGGAACGCTCCAACAACCTCAGCCAACCACTGCCCTCGCATTCACAAGAGACCTGCCGAAACAGACTCAACTCCGGGTAGCCTTCCCGAAGCCGACCTCTAAGTTCGGCCTGGTCAGCAACGAGGCAATGTCCTCAGGGGCCGTTAGGAACCTCCCGAAACAATCGTCAACGAGCTTCAGCGCCAGGAAGCCGCTGACGAAAGAAACGCGCAGACTGTTCCCAGTGGCAAGAACAGAAAGGCAGGGACATAGGTGAACCGACAGTGACACCAACTCGACCAAGGTAACCCAGAGTTCCGGACCCGGGGAAAACTGGGGACCACGCAGCAGAAGCGCAGCACAAAGACGCCTGAAGTGTTCCCAACCGCCAGTCAAGCAGCAGCCAAAAGTCAACGGAGGCAGCAGCAGAAGCCACTCAGGTACTCCACCGAAGACAAGAGGAGCCGCAAGACCCAGAGCAAGCTCCGACGGCCACAACAGACGCTTCTACTGTCGCAACGCCACTGGGGACGAAGACAGAGGGCAAGGCAAGAGCCTCGCGCAACGGGAATTTCCCACCAAGCCATGTCAACGACCTCACATGAGAAGGCGCACCAGAACGGCCACGAGAGGGGTAGACATAGGACATCCAGCATCCAGACACGTCGCCAACACCGAAGGCGGTGAGCAACGCCCATCATCTCGCTTGCGGGATCCGTCGCCGCGCGTTCATGTTGGTCGGCACTGGCTTCCACTCGTATCTCGTCCTCGTGGGGAACCCAGACATGGCTACTACCTCGAACGAGGGAGCTGGAAATGCCGCGCGCGCTCGCATACGCATCTGGGGCGGGGAACTCAAGATACGTCCAGCAGCCCGCCGACTCCACTACCGTAAGCCATTTAGGAGTACCCGCGCCGCCTCGCGAAGCTCCTATGGTCCCGCCCTGGCCTGCGTTGCTGGGCCAGTCCTGTGCGCAAATCAATGCCCAGAATCCAAACACGCTCTATCAGGGGTGCCGCTAGAGTCACAGCAGGGACTTTACGCGCACAGACTATCAGGTCTGCCCTGGATTCTGGGGGTGGGAGAGATGTGGTGACAGCGCAGGCGAGTCTTGGTCGAGCGACAACATCATCTTCCAGGGTCCACAGGAAGAGCGGGCACCTGTGATTCAATTGAGGCAACGGCGGGGACGGACATGTTCCGCCCCCGTGCACACAACAACAGAGTAGCAGACCGGCCAAATGATTGAAAGAGAGAAGGAGACACAACGAAGCTACATCACATGCAAGGACTTAACGGGAGGATGAAACCAAAAAGCACATCAATAAAAATAGCTCTATACTACTTTGCTCCCCCCAGAAGATCGCCATCACATGGCCGCGGCTCCAGCGCACGCTCGCGTCCCGTGATGCGCCACCCGGCATCTGCTGATGCGCGGACCCTGCGCGGAAGATGTCTTCCCGAAAGCGTCCGACTCCACCCACGCTGGGGATTGTGCGGGGCCGCGTGTGGTGACCAGCCTTCTCATCGAAGACAGTGACGAAGCGCCCTTTTCCGCTCGTGTTGTGCTTTATACAACCGAGGTCCATGCTAATATGCTTGTCATGGCGCCTGCCCAATCCACCGGCAGTCATTGTCGGCGTGGCGGTCCTTTACCGTGCTTCTGGGCGTGGGCAAGACGGTAAGTCGATGGCTGTCGTCGGAGGAGAGGCCATGTACGTTTTCAGTGTGCGCACGGACGCTCGGGGCGCCGATGCTCTAGCTAGTACTACTGTAAAGGGGCACAGAGGACCCGCCACGTACGGGCGTTTATCTACTTTCCTTTCGAAACTCCACTGCAGGGAGTCGGGGGAGGTACCGACGTGGCGTCAGTGGTAGTAAAACAATTTAGGAGATGAGCAACAGAATGGTCCTACTCTACGGCATAGCTCCCCCTGTTCTACATTGATGGATCTCAGGCAACAAGACAAAGTCTTGAGCCAAAATGGCTACGGAGGATATTTTGCATACAGAGTCACAGCATATTTTGCATGACTCAGGATGTCTGTAATGCATGACCTAGCATCACATATTTCTAGAGGCGTTCCTGATGCCTATCCCGCATGACAAATGCCCTCCCCGCGTAGCACAAACTGGGCACCTCTTGCTGGTCATGCAATACAGATTTTTTTAGAGTCCAAAGTTAGCATCACAAGTTGCATTCTTCCAGACCCAGACATTTTTACATTTGATACCTGGTACTCCAGCGGAAAGAAAACGAGGCGGGTGGGTAGAAAGATCCCAACCAGGACCGCGAGGTAGCCGCCAAGGAGAAACACTGCAGTTGTCGTGTACTCGAGCCGTGCGAGAGCCAGGAGGTAGGTCAGGATCCACTGCGTTAGTACTTCCGACAACGCCAGCAAGTCGCGCACACCCTGGATCCCCTGTTCGGTCTTCACGCGCAGGGCCGTCCCTTGTCTTGTGAGGTTGGCGCGTAGCTCCTTGTTTTCCTCTGCTAGCCCTTCCACCATCGCCCGCAGCGTTGCCATGTCGGCTCCCAGTTCGCCCAACTGCTGCTGCACTGAAGGCTCGTCCTTGACGTCGTTCTTAGTTTTCGGCGGCTGTTCCTGCCCGACCACCAGCAACGCCGAGGGCCGTCCAACTCCAACATGTCGATCGGGTGCGATACCGGACGCCGAGGTCGCGCGCGTTAGTGCTCCGTCGTGAGGCAGGGACGGCGGCTCGTACTCGTAGTTGCTGTCGTAGCCACGCCTGTCGATCTCAAGAAACTCTTCGAGGGGAGCAGCCCCCGAGATGAAGGATACCGCATTTTCGAAGGGCTGCCCGTGTTGTTTCTCCTGCTCCGAAGATTCTTCTACGGTCCTGCGTTCGTGCGGACCAAGCAGGCGCGTAGCCAGGAGCCGTTGTGTGGCTTGCGCCTCCTCCGGTCTGGTATTGTGGTTTGTGTCCTCCTGTTCTTTCTTTTGCAGCCCGTGGAAGGAAAAATCAGGCGGCGTTTCATCATGGTCGATTGCGACGTCTTCTGGTCGTGCGGTAGCCTCCGCGGCGACACCAAGCAGGCCGGCGAGTCCAGAGGCTCTTGGGGCAGATGAAGACAATGACCAAGATGATAGAAGAAGAAACTTTGACATCATGACCATCATCATTTATCCGTATCCCGATGAAGAACTTGACAACACTATTTTGCGCATCACAACGCAAGACGCTAAAAGCAGTGATTGAAAACTTGCAATTTTTTGTCTTCCCTTGATGGAACACGTTCACGGCCGGCGACAACACCCGGAGAAAAACGTCAAGCGTTTCCAAAGCTATGCGCTCAACGCTAAATTTCTGTCACACGCCCTATTCGCTCGAGGCTAAATCTCTCTTCCGGTCAACACGCCCGATTTTTGATGCGTTTTCACCCTTGTTGGTTTTGTGCGCCTGAGTGTTCTCAACGGAAAATTTCTTGCCATTGTTATTCATCAGAGTTCTCTTTCGCAGGCAAAATGACATACAGATTTTCTTTCTCGAATTTTCTTGTACTATGAACCAAATTGTGATTTAACCTTGTGATATGATATTTGTGAAGATGTTGTGTACTTACTTGGATTTTCGATTAGCGTCCGCCCAGTGGTGCGACGACAGTCGATCACTTTGAAAAAAAGACGTGAATCGCAGCGCCGCGTGCTCCTTCACAACTTCAACTAGCGTTACAACTCGGCGACACGCACTTGCACCAATTGTTGTTTGCCGAACCTGGGAGGTGGTGATGAAGGATACTTGTCTACTGTTCTTCATCCGCGAAACGCAATAAACACTTCTTTGCTAGTACTTTTTCTGCAAGGCGTCCTACACGACGTGCTGGTGCGCGACCCACTACAACTGCGGAATCAAACCCTTTCCATAAGAACAGAATGTTGAAGAAAATTATGCGCACATGATCAAAATCTTACTTACCTCGCGAGGCCATCAGTCCGAGACTCTTGATGTCTTCCGACGGGGTTTCTTGGAATTTGGTCTCGTCGGCCCGACTGTTTTTGATACCTTCCTCCACCTTGTTCAAAATCCGCTGCGCTAGAGTGTGAAACACTTCCTGTAGTAGAAGTGGTTTTCCTTTTCTCGTGTCTACAACCTCATGAAATTTTTTTCGCAAGAATGGTTTTTAACATCATCATGCCCGGGTTTTCATTCCATGAAGGAAAAACAGGGAACCGTAAAACATACAGCGAAAAGAACAAAAGGCCCCGCACGCATGCCGAAAGAAATAACTCAAGCAATTACATTGACATTCTCCCCGGTGAGCGCCGACGTTTCCAGAAACAAGATGTCTTGCTCCTGCGCAAACCGACTTGCTTCAAGGAAGGACACCTGGCGCTCCTCCTTCAAATCGCGCTTGTTTCCAACAGCAATAATGCTTATGTCATGGCAGGTATCCTATCGAAAAAACCGTCGATCCCCCGTGTCATAGAACCGCAAAAAAAAAATTGCAACACAAACTGCGCTAACGAAACTGTTTTTGTATTGCAACGTCGATGCAGCCCACTTTCTTTTTCTTCTCCTTCTGCACACGTTCCTGATTGACAATATGCAGGATTGTTTTGCCTCCTTCCTTTTTCCTATCTTTTTGGTAGGACGATTTTAGTGAGGTAAGGAACGACGGTTTTTCAATGCGATAGAAGGATGCTTGCTCCCGGGCGTCGCGCAGCCAGGTGGGCAAATTGTTGTAACTCTCGCGCGATGTCACGTCGTACAAAATCAGCGCGCCCACCGCACCACGGTAGTAGCTGCGCGTCACAGCACGGTACCTGAGTGAACGCCGGTTGGGTTTTGATGCAGTCGAACCAAACGAAATGTAAGCGGAAAAAGCTTCAAGTTTAACCTCGACGACTGTCTGCTTCGCAAGAAAAATATACCGTCCGAAAAAACCAGCGCATGCAGTAAAGCGCACGCTCTTACCGTTCCTGACCGGCGGTATCCCAAATCTGCAGCTTGATGTGCCGGTCGCCGAGGGTTATTATCTTCGTCCCGAATTCCACTCCTATCTGATAGTGTGTTCATTTTTTCGTAGTTTTTCCTCGATTCCATCTCAGTGCCGTTCATCTGCAAAGTTTGTGCATCAGTTCAGCGCGGCGGGCATTATCGCCCGAATTCGGGAATCGCGCATGCATCAAGACACAACAGGAGCCACCGCTGCATCTCCCGCCGAAAAAATTTGTTGTAGTACACAAACCAAGAACAAATCAACGCTGAAAACGGGTCCTTGTTCGTGGCTTTCGCCGTACTAACGCGATCCGGGGTAAAAACAAGTTGTTGGTAATCAGTACTGTATGTGTGCTGGTTTTCCGAAACTTTCCCTCCAGAAACTGGTGCATGAAAGAGGACTTTCCGGCGCCAGCGTCACCGATGATGATGAGCTTGAACCCGTAATCACATTCCACCGCGCTATCCGAAATAAATTCTGAGTCACGTAGACGCTAAGCTTCTACTCATGCCTGGCTAGGATTCTAGTACGCAGCGACGCACATCAGCTTCGTAGCTTCTCATTGCGTAAGACGTTGACGCACGGTATGAGGTAAGATATTATCTTCTGCTATGCTAGTACTCACTGCGCAAAGCTGTAACCGAAGCCGTAGCTTGTTTTAGAAGAACATTTGTATTTGCATGCAAACCGCACCAGCAAGACCCAAAGAGAGCTTCGGATACTGGTGCGTCGGAAAGTTTTGGAGTCTCCTCTATCATACTGAAAAGCGCCTGCACCCCAGGGAGTGAAAGTGTTTGCACTGCAAAAACTCCCAATGTAACACCTACCACATTGCAGGCATCAGCCTGGCAAATTTTCAGGCCAGAGTAGCGAGAGTCTGTGTTGCACAGCGCCACAGTATAAGCGACGTCTGTCATGGTGAAGACGAGTACTTAGATTCTGAAACAAAATGCGTCGCATTGTTTCCGTGTGACAAGTTTGCAATACAAACTGTTTGGTCTTTTGGTGGTGGCGCACTTTTCATTCTGGTACCGTCTTGTCGTTGTACACCTGCACCAGGTCTCGAATGTAAAAATGTCTGGGTCTGGAAGAATCTAAACTTGTGATGCTGTCTCTGGATTCGAAAAAGATTTGTATAGCATGACCAGTAAGAGGAGTAGATTTTGTGCTCCGCGGAGATGGCATTTGTCATGCGGAATAGGCATGAGGAAGCGCTCTAAAAATCTGTAATGCTACGGCATGCATCACAGACATCATGGGTCATGGAAAATATGCATGACAAATCTAGAAATCTTCCAGACCCAGACATTTTTACATTTGATACCAGGTCTCGCAACTCCATCGGAGCGCGGTACATCGTGCCGGCTCCCGCGTGACCGTTCCGGCCGCCGGACGCAAAAAGACGGGAGTAGCGGCGTCAGTTGCCTACGTGCTGGTTCTTTGCTGCTCGTGCGCACGCGCGAAACGACCGAAGCTCGGCTCTCGGGCCATTCCCGGGAAGCGGAGGCCAGCGGGCGGGAAAGCCGCGGTCTTGCTCGAAGAAGATAGTTGCCTCAGCTGAGTTCCAGAAGCAATCCGTGTGGTCGCGAGCAGAGACGATAAGGCGGCTCGTGTAGGTGCACCAACTTTCGTTGCGGGGTACTTTCTCGCGGCGCAAAGAACAGTGCGCGCCGGGGTCCCTACATTGCACGCACCCGCGGCGAGCCGCCCTTCATGTTTTTCTTGAGTTTTGCTCTAAGTACCCGTATTCCTGCAATTCGCAATGAGAGCAGCAGCAGTGCCTCAAGCGCCGCGCAGTTCTTGCCAAGCGCGCCGTCCGGTTCGTAGACCGATCGATCCGGGCGAGGTGCGCCCGTGCGGACCGTGCCTCCGCGTTTACCTGAACACAGAATAAGGTCGATGCGCCATTCCTGACGCGCCAAGAAGGGGGCGCAGTTTTTTCGACTGTCCGAGAGGTAACTAAGGCTTACGCGGATGGCGAGGCAGCGCCAGAGATTGGCTGCCAGCGCTGGGGGCGCGCACGGGCAAGCAGCGAGGTGAAGCGCCGGCCCATGCGAGCAACTAAAAAAGCGCCGCCTGCTAAGTGGAAGACCGCAATGCGCGCAAGCGCCGAGCTTGCCCAATTTAGTCTCGCATTAGCGCGGCAGCGGGCGCGACTACGCTCCTGCGCCCTGGCCGCTAGCATATAGGACTCAACATCAAGGAGGGAGAGGTCCGTCATGCGGTGCCTTCCGCGGGGCCCTGCGCTTCCAAGCACGTGCCGGAAGGCTCATGAACAACGATGCCCCGAATGGGGCGTCCGGAAATCCGCGGCAGGTCGGGGAAGTCGATATGCATACTCGCACGGGCGGATAGGAAACCGGGCCAGGCCGCCCGGTCGCAATGCCGCGCTCCCCTACCGCGCGGCTCCCGTCTTCCCTTCCGGAAGCGGTACCTGTACAGGCCGCGCGCGTAGCCGCCTTGGAGTTTCGCGGCGATCCAGTGCCGGCCGCCCGGCCGCCTAGAACCGCGGAAAAACATCGGGAACAAGGTACGGGGGGCGACCGCGGGGGTCGTGCGTTCGGACGGGTGAGGGACCCTCTTCGTATTGCATTGGCGGACGGCGAAGGGGGATGCCGATGCGGAAGCAGCCCGGCGGGCGCGCGGCCGGGCCTTAACAGCAGTAAAGTAGGCGACTCGCAGGGGCAGAAAAGAGCTTCAAGGGGGGGGGGGGGCACCGACTTGGATTTGGTGGCTTTGTACATGCCTGGACCAGGGGGGTCCGGAAATCGCTGGGCGCGGACTATTGTACTTCTCTTGAAAAATCCGAGAAAAACGCGGAGAGTAGGGGTGTAAAATGCAGAATATAACACAAATTCCTGCATTGAGTTGATGCGTAACCAGTAGCCTAATACTTTCCTGATATATACAGACTGGCTGAAATTTCAAAAAAATAAATAATCAAAAAAATTGTCATATTTTCTGTAACAAAAGTACTTTTACCAAATAACATCGCGCAACGTCTGCAGTTAAGCCCACACCTTTGCGCCGTATTCTTACACAGACATAAAAAATAGAGAAATTTCAAGAGTTTTTGGAAATTTCAAAATTTTCTCATTTTCCAATTTTTTGTATGCCACAAATATGAATAAAAAACAATACAGAATCTGTCTAATATAGGCACAGTGGGCTTTTTGTATAATTATCAGTGAGAACAATGCTAAAACTTGACCCATTTAGCATATATTTTACCAGCAAGAAAAAATGGGAAAAAAACTTATTTTTTTGTGGAGTGCAATTTTGTTTATAGAAGCGGAGAAAATTGACGCACCTGCACGCTAAAGCTCTTTCTTTATATTCTTCTTTTCCGACGGTGTGTAGCATGCAAGTAGGGGGATTTATGTAAATTTTTTAAGATTGAAAAAAATCGAGAAAAATTTAAAAAGTTAAAAAGTCTGCGAAGTGGAAAGCTTTTCCAATGTAAGACGTTTGGACTGAGTCCCAATCAGCATCGTGTGAGTCCGTGTACAGGTTTTCGTTGGTATATGCGTAATTCTGCAAGTTTTTTAAACATCTCAAAAAATTGAAAATTTTCAGATCTTGGAAATTTTACAAATTAGACAGGTTTCATAGCAGTGCGCGGAGTTCTATCCGAGTATTCTGGTGGTGCTGCGCGGCTGTTCGATCGCATTCGGACCACACTGGTCGCTGGCGTTGCAGTGGTTGGAGAGCTCTGGAGGTGTTGAGAGGATTCAGAGGCTTTTTGAGGGTTTTGGCCTGTTTTGGTCGCTTGTGTTGCAATGCTTTCGTGGGTGTCGAGGGTGTTTGGGCCCTCTGTGGGAGGCTCTCATGCTGTTTGCAATGCGAAGACGACATTTGTGATTTCCGTGAGCAGAATCTTTGGAACAGGAGTAAGGAAATGAGAAAAAGAAGAAGATGCTGATCGCGACGTCGTCGCGATCCCCACCTACCTTGTGTTCTGTGGCTTTTGGAGTTATGAGCCCAAACGCGGGTGGCTTCGCCCACCCACCCTGCTGATCCTTCGCTGCGATGAGTTTCAGCAACTACGGCGACGAGCTGCTGGAGAGCCCGGCGGCGGAGCAGCGTGCAGTAAGCTGGTCGCCACAGCGGAGCACGATGGCGGACCAGGCTGCGGGGGAGTACCTTCTGCGTTCGGAGGCGCTGAACATGCGCGACGCGGCGGGCCGGGGTTTCCGATCCGTGGCTTCGGGAATTCACCACACGCAGGTGGCGACGGAGAACGCGGTGGGAGGCATCGAGGCGCGTTTGGCCGCGCTGGAGGGGGCTAATAACCAGCTACGAGCGGAGAATGCGGAGCTTCAGCGACGAGTAGCAGGCGGCGCGGCCGCTGGTAGTGCTACTACGGCGCCGCACGGGGCAACCGCGGGACCTTCGTTTGCGTACCCGCCACCCGGTGTCGGCGAGCAGGCGCTGGTGGGGACGGCGGTACCGGGAAACAGTGGGCAGTACAGCTTCCAGTCTATGTCGCCGCAGCAGCAGCCAATCGCAATGACCGGAGTGACGGCGCAGGCACCAGCCTCGCCGGAGGTGGAGAAGATCCACGCGGGCGTCAGCACGGGGGTCAAGTTTTCGCTGTCCAAGCGGTCAGCGGTTACAAGCGAGTGGCGCGCCATCGAGAAACTGATGGGGCGCAAGGGCGTTACGCGGGCCAAGACCTTCTGGGCGCAGCTTTCCGGCATTTTGTGCGGATTGGGGCAAGAGATGTGGGCGGGGATCGATGAGGAGATGCCCTCCGCGACTAGCGCGGAGGCCCAGGCCTGCATCGACACGCTGCTTGCCCGCATCAACAAAAAGTTTAACATCAACGTGGCACGGGGCGCAGCAGACCTTGACTACCTTTGCGAGGGTTTGCTGGAGAAGGTTGGCGGCCGCTGGATCGAGAACCCGGCGGCGGTGCACTACGTCACAGAGAAGGTGCGGAACTTGGTGCGCTCGGCGACGAAGCGCGGCGCAATCCTCTGGTCGCTGGAGGACTCCAAGAACTCCGCCGGGGAGACCCATCGTTTCTTCCGCATGGTGGGAAACTGGGCCGGGCCGCAGGCGCGGGGGTGGCTTTCGCACCACACGGGCGACGACACATCTTTCGGGATGTATTTGGACACCTTGGACTCCTACGCGACAAAGATGCTGGAGGAGCCGAAAAGCGTCAAGGAACAGGACGAGATGGTGGACAAATTCAACAAGTTCCTGGAAGTGGGGCCACGGGATGACGTTTACGCCTACGCCGGCGCGCAGCAGGGAAACGACCGGAACACGCAGGAGGCGGGACGGCGTCAGGAGATGACGCCACACTGCGGCTGGTGCGGAAAGTCGCACTACAACACGGACGGTTGCTACCACGGGCCCAAGCACAATTTCGGCGAATCGGAGGAGGCGAAGAAAGCAATTGCGGAGCGGGGACTGACGATTTGCTACGAGAAGGCCGAACTGCGCAAGCGGGTGATAGAGCTGAGCGGCGGACCGGGCGCGAACACCGGCGGGCCGCAAGGGGGAGCGCCAAACACGGGCGGAAACGCGAAAGGGGACTGGAAGTGCCCCACCTGCAACTACCACAACTACAAGTCGCGGAAAACTTGTAAGCGGTGTGATGAGCGTGCGCGGGCTGCGACAGGTCAGCAACCGCAACAGCAGCATCATCAGCATCAGCGGCAGTACAACTACGCTCCGGGGGAGCAGCAGACGATCAACAGCTTTCCGGTACCGGGCGAGCCGAGTATGCAGAGCTTCGGGACCGGGGGAGCGAATCACCAGCAAGCATTCATGCAGATGCCGACGGGGCCGACGTTGCAGTGCGGACAGCAGCAAAGCAATTTTTGTGCGGTGAGCGCTTCCGTGGCCGCGGGTCCGGGAATTGTGCCTGTTGCGCAGCGGAACGCGCAGCAGGACTACAGCAACTTGCTCCGGCAGGGGCCGAGTGTTCCTCCCTCCCTGCAGCGACAGTGGGGCCAGCAGAACCACGCAGTCCAGGGCATTCCGGGCGGGCCTGCGGGTTACAACAGTCTGACGCAGATCCCGGGAAACCAGCAAGGACCGGAGAATGCGCCGCAGTTGCCCCCGACAAACAATCTGATCCATCCGAGCATGTGCAGACAGATGCCGAACAACCAGCAGCCGGGATTTCATTTTTTTGGTGGTTTTGGTGCTGTTCCAACCCCCACGGAAAAGACGGGCGCTACGATCTTCGTTGGCGGTCGGCCACTGCAGGATCCGATGCTGCGGCAGCGGGTCGAGGCGTTGCTGAACCAGGGCGCAGCAAAGCACGCCTCTGGTGCGAGTTGCAACGCAGTGTTCGGGCAGGGCTGCTCCAGTGCGAGAAGCACTACTTCGGACGGGAGTGAGAAAAGTTGCGTCTCCACCAACGGATCTCTGCGGGCGTACGAGGATGCGCAGGCGGCTGCAGATGCGGAGGCATATCCGTACTAGCCGTGGCAGGGTATTCGGGAAAAGAAAAATCGACAATCTTCATCTTCAACTTCAGCAATACAAACGTGAGAAACAGCATTACAAATTTAATTTCCGGACTTTCTGCCTTTCTTTACCGGCAGCACTACAAAACAGTCGGGCTTTATTTCGGTTTGCGACATGACATCTTCTACAACGATCTACGGTTTCAGTCGGAACAACTTCAACTTCCTCTGCGAAGCAGTCTCATCCGCATTTTTGACGATTTTGGAACTAACGGGCACGAGTGGACAGTGACGGTTTCTTTCTTGGCGGCGCGAATCCGCAGTACAAGTTTCTACAAGAAGGCGTCGCGGCGTGCATCCGCAGTCTGATGGTTTCACAAAACGAAGAAAGCAGTGCGGCGTGCATCCGTACAGAAGGGCGGTTTTTGTCACCAGAGCGGTGAAGCGAAGATTTGCAGAAAGGACTTCAGTCTGCGCTGCGCTGCGGGGCCTGATCATTCCCGGGACAGTGCGGAGGAGTTGGTGGAATCAGCGGGCTCAACACGGAGTTTCTCACATCCGCGGGCAGCTATTGGTCGAATTCCGAAAACGACAGCGCGTTTTGCAAAATTCGAGGGGGAGTCCGAGTATTCTGGTGGTGCTGCGCGGCTGTTCGATCGCATTCGGACCACACTGGTCGCTGGCGTTGCAGTGGTTGGAGAGCTCTGGAGGTGTTGAGAGGATTCAGAGGCTTTTTGAGGGTTTTGGCCTGTTTTGGTCGCTTGTGTTGCAATGCTTTCGTGGGTGTCGAGGGTGTTTGGGCCCTCTGTGGGAGGCTCTCATGCTGTTTGCAATGCGAAGACGACATTTGTGATTTCCGTGTGCAGAATCTTTGGAACAGGAGTAAGGAAATGAGAAAAAGAAGAAGATGCTGATCGCGACGTCGTCGCGATCCCCACCTACCTTGTGTTCTGTGGCTTTTGGAGTTATGAGCCCAAACGCGGGTGGCTTCGCCCACCCACCCTGCTGATCCTTCGCTGCGATGAGTTTCAGCAACTACGGCGACGAGCTGCTGGAGAGCCCGGCGGCGGAGCAGCGTGCAGTAAGCTGGTCGCCACAGCGGAGCACGATGGCGGACCAGGCTGCGGGGGAGTACCTTCTGCGTTCGGAGGCGCTGAACATGCGCGACGCGGCGGGCCGGGGTTTCCGATCCGTGGCTTCGGGAATTCACCACACGCAGGTGGCGACGGAGAACGCGGTGGGAGGCATCGAGGCGCGTTTGGCCGCGCTGGAGGGGGCTAATAACCAGCTACGAGCGGAGAATGCGGAGCTTCAGCGACGAGTAGCAGGCGGCGCGGCCGCTGGTAGTGCTACTACGGCGCCGCACGGGGCAACCGCGGGACCTTCGTTTGCGTACCCGCCACCCGGTGTCGGCGAGCAGGCGCTGGTGGGGACGGCGGTACCGGGAAACAGTGGGCAGTACAGCTTCCAGTCTATGTCGCCGCAGCAGCAGCCAATCGCAATGACCGGAGTGACGGCGCAGGCACCAGCCTCGCCGGAGGTGGAGAAGATCCACGCGGGCGTCAGCACGGGGGTCAAGTTTTCGCTGTCCAAGCGGTCAGCGGTTACAAGCGAGTGGCGCGCCATCGAGAAACTGATGGGGCGCAAGGGCGTTACGCGGGCCAAGACCTTCTGGGCGCAGCTTTCCGGCATTTTGTGCGGATTGGGGCAAGAGATGTGGGCGGGGATCGATGAGGAGATGCCCTCCGCGACTAGCGCGGAGGCCCAGGCCTGCATCGACACGCTGCTTGCCCGCATCAACAAAAAGTTTAACATCAACGTGGCACGGGGCGCAGCAGACCTTGACTACCTTTGCGAGGGTTTGCTGGAGAAGGTTGGCGGCCGCTGGATCGAGAACCCGGCGGCGGTGCACTACGTCACAGAGAAGGTGCGGAACTTGGTGCGCTCGGCGACGAAGCGCGGCGCAATCCTCTGGTCGCTGGAGGACTCCAAGAACTCCGCCGGGGAGACCCATCGTTTCTTCCGCATGGTGGGAAACTGGGCCGGGCCGCAGGCGCGGGGGTGGCTTTCGCACCACACGGGCGACGACACATCTTTCGGGATGTATTTGGACACCTTGGACTCCTACGCGACAAAGATGCTGGAGGAGCCGAAAAGCGTCAAGGAACAGGACGAGATGGTGGACAAATTCAACAAGTTCCTGGAAGTGGGGCCACGGGATGACGTTTACGCCTACGCCGGCGCGCAGCAGGGAAACGACCGGAACACGCAGGAGGCGGGACGGCGTCAGGAGATGACGCCACACTGCGGCTGGTGCGGAAAGTCGCACTACAACACGGACGGTTGCTACCACGGGCCCAAGCACAATTTCGGCGAATCGGAGGAGGCGAAGAAAGCAATTGCGGAGCGGGGACTGACGATTTGCTACGAGAAGGCCGAACTGCGCAAGCGGGTGATAGAGCTGAGCGGCGGACCGGGCGCGAACACCGGCGGGCCGCAAGGGGGAGCGCCAAACACGGGCGGAAACGCGAAAGGGGACTGGAAGTGCCCCACCTGCAACTACCACAACTACAAGTCGCGGAAAACTTGTAAGCGGTGTGATGAGCGTGCGCGGGCTGCGACAGGTCAGCAACCGCAACAGCAGCATCATCAGCATCAGCGGCAGTACAACTACGCTCCGGGGGAGCAGCAGACGATCAACAGCTTTCCGGTACCGGGCGAGCCGAGTATGCAGAGCTTCGGGACCGGGGGAGCGAATCACCAGCAAGCATTCATGCAGATGCCGACGGGGCCGACGTTGCAGTGCGGACAGCAGCAAAGCAATTTTTGTGCGGTGAGCGCTTCCGTGGCCGCGGGTCCGGGAATTGTGCCTGTTGCGCAGCGGAACGCGCAGCAGGACTACAGCAACTTGCTCCGGCAGGGGCCGAGTGTTCCTCCCTCCCTGCAGCGACAGTGGGGCCAGCAGAACCACGCAGTCCAGGGCATTCCGGGCGGGCCTGCGGGTTACAACAGTCTGACGCAGATCCCGGGAAACCAGCAAGGACCGGAGAATGCGCCGCAGTTGCCCCCGACAAACAATCTGATCCATCCGAGCATGTGCAGACAGATGCCGAACAACCAGCAGCCGGGATTTCATTTTTTTGGTGGTTTTGGTGCTGTTCCAACCCCCACGGAAAAGACGGGCGCTACGATCTTCGTTGGCGGTCGGCCACTGCAGGATCCGATGCTGCGGCAGCGGGTCGAGGCGTTGCTGAACCAGGGCGCAGCAAAGCACGCCTCTGGTGCGAGTTGCAACGCAGTGTTCGGGCAGGGCTGCTCCAGTGCGAGAAGCACTACTTCGGACGGGAGTGAGAAAAGTTGCGTCTCCACCAACGGATCTCTGCGGGCGTACGAGGATGCGCAGGCGGCTGCAGATGCGGAGGCATATCCGTACTAGCCGTGGCAGGGTATTCGGGAAAAGAAAAATCGACAATCTTCATCTTCAACTTCAGCAATACAAACGTGAGAAACAGCATTACAAATTTAATTTCCGGACTTTCTGCCTTTCTTTACCGGCAGCACTACAAAACAGTCGGGCTTTATTTCGGTTTGCGACATGACATCTTCTACAACGATCTACGGTTTCAGTCGGAACAACTTCAACTTCCTCTGCGAAGCAGTCTCATCCGCATTTTTGACGATTTTGGAACTAACGGGCACGAGTGGACAGTGACGGTTTCTTTCTTGGCGGCGCGAATCCGCAGTACAAGTTTCTACAAGAAGGCGTCGCGGCGTGCATCCGCAGTCTGATGGTTTCACAAAACGAAGAAAGCAGTGCGGCGTGCATCCGTACAGAAGGGCGGTTTTTGTCACCAGAGCGGTGAAGCGAAGATTTGCAGAAAGGACTTCAGTCTGCGCTGCGCTGCGGGGCCTGATCATTCCCGGGACAGTGCGGAGGAGTTGGTGGAATCAGCGGGCTCAACACGGAGTTTCTCACATCCGCGGGCAGCTATTGGTCGAATTCCGAAAACGACAGCGCGTTTTGCAAAATTCGAGGGGGAGTCCGAGTATTCTGGTGGTGCTGCGCGGCTGTTCGATCGCATTCGGACCACACTGGTCGCTGGCGTTGCAGTGGTTGGAGAGCTCTGGAGGTGTTGAGAGGATTCAGAGGCTTTTTGAGGGTTTTGGCCTGTTTTGGTCGCTTGTGTTGCAATGCTTTCGTGGGTGTCGAGGGTGTTTGGGCCCTCTGTGGGAGGCTCTCATGCTGTTTGCAATGCGAAGACGACATTTGTGATTTCCGTGTGCAGAATCTTTGGAACAGGAGTAAGGAAATGAGAAAAAGAAGAAGATGCTGATCGCGACGTCGTCGCGATCCCCACCTACCTTGTGTTCTGTGGCTTTTGGATTCTAGTATATTAATATACAACGAAGCGGCGAGGGACGAGCCCGCAGTTTTATTATGCCGACCGGCGTGGAGATAGGCCCAAACGGGCCACCGTGAGGAAGTGCCAGGCCGGTGCCTGGCCGTTGTTCAGTTCGTTCTGCCCTTGCTGGGCTACTTGTTGTTTCTGAAGCTGGCTGCAAGTGCAGCTACACCTTCAGAAAAGGGCAGCAGGGAGATTTACCGTCGCAGCACCGTTGCTGCGGGTTTTTCTCTTGGTAAGGCTTAGCCGTCCTCCCCCTATGCAGGCTCCGCAGTCCCAATGTGTGTCCACAGTGTGTGGCGGTAGTTTGTAGCTCCAGGGACTGTGGTAAGTGGAGCAGCAGGTGTCCGGCGTTCCCCGGCCTGCTTGTAGTGCATTGTAGCACTGGTGGAAGCCCGCTGCGGCAGTGTAAAAGCAGGTGTCCAGCATGTGCTGGCCTGCTCGTAGTGCATTGTAGCACTGGTAGAAGCACGCTGAGGCAGTGCGTAAGCAGGTGTCCAACATATGCTGGGCTGCTGGTAGTGCGTTGTAGCACCGCTGGGCGCCCGTTGTGGCCGTATGTAAGCAGATGGTCAGTATGTACTGGCCTCCAGGTGGTGCGTCTGGTAGTGATCAGTGCGGGCCAGTCGCAGGCGTTCGGGCGTTTCCCGACCTGCCAGCAGTGCTCTTTGTGCAGGCTGTCCGGTGTAGGTCATTGCAGACCAGTAGCAGGCGTACGGGTGTTCCCGATCTGCAGTAGTGCTCTTCGCACAAGGACCGAGGTCATTGTAGACCCCTTGCAGGTGTCCGGGATATCCCGGCCTGCAAGTAGTGCTGTTTGCACATGCCGAAGGTCATGCTAGATCGGCAGTAGGCGGCCCATTGCGGCCAGCACTGTTGGAAGCCGGCAGGTGGCGTCATTACTGAGACCGGAAGTAGGTATACGGGCAGTACAGTTGGAAGCCCATTGCGGCAGGTGCCTTGCGCAACAGTTTGGAGTCAGTGCAGACCTTGTTTCCCGTGCTTTTTGCCTTAGTGCAGGGCCACTCGCACCGGCACCCTGCTGCAGGTGCGGCTCGCACCCGTACAGGTCCACTTGGGACCCCGTTAGAAGTGAATGGCAGTGCCTCAGGGGCACAGTTGAGGTTCCGGGCCCGACAAGTGTCGGCCGAACAGTAGTAGTGCTTGTAGCACTTGTTGGTAGTGCCCGTGGTGCACTGTTGAAGAGCCGGGACCAGCGCGTGCTGGCCGGAAAGTACTAGTGCTCATCGCACCTGTTGGAACTGCCTGTGTCGCGCAGTTGAGTTGTCGGCTCCAGCGCGCGCTGGCCGGACAGTAGTTGTGCTAGCCGCATTTGTTCGCACTAGTGCCTGTGGTGCGCCGTTGATGTTCCGGGCCCGGCGTGTCCTGGCCGGACAGTAGCGCCTGTCGCGCTTTGTAGTTGCACAACCCCGCATGTGGTGTGCGGTTGAAGTTCTCGGGCCGGCGGGGCAGTGCTGCCCGCCGCGCGTGTTTCAAGTGTGCCAGGCGCAGTGCTGTGGCTTAAACTCTAGTGCAAATCGACCGGGCAGAGGTGCGCTCTGCACTATTTTGGTTGCCTTCTGGTGCAGGGAAGTTGAGTGGTAGTGCCGCAGGGCGCGGCTGGAGTTCCGGGTCGGACTCCAGCCGGCCCACCGGTAGTGCGTGTCGCACCTTGCTGGGTCTCGGCCGGATCACTGCGTGCCTCCAGCCGTGTATTTGCTGTGCGCGTGGCGCCGGCCGCGCACGTGCGTTTTCCTGTGCCAACGGTAATGTGGTGGCAGTTCTGTTCCACGGGCCCGCTGCTGCCCCAATGCCGCAGATGCAAGTGTAAATTGTGTAGCGCTTGTTGCGCACCTGCCAGAGCTCATTGGTGAGGTAGATTCAAGGCCAAGTACGCTAGTACGCGCCCCGCGTATTGCGTTGCGGCACACCATGCAGAGTGCCACCTTTTTCGCACTTTAGGAGTACGTCGCGCCGGTTGCGCTGCTGCTGTTGCATACTTGTTCGAGCCCGCCTAAGGCTGCCACGGCTCGCACTAAGGAGTTGCACGAGTTGCCCTAGAAGTGATACGGCTGCCACCTGGGCAGATTTTTGCCCCTTTGTTGTTCTGCTGCGGCAGCGATGGGCACTGCACCATGGTCGCCAGCAGCTTGCTCCTAGTTTCGTGCTACCTCCCTGTAGAGTTCAAAGCGCTTGCGCCACGTCGCCCCCTGCGCCGCACCGCAGTAGTGTGTGGCGCACTGCTGAAGTTATTTGCGTTGCGCCCTAGAAGCGGTTTCTCTCTCTAGGTGTAGGCCCTGAGCACCCGAGCTTTGCGGCGCCCGCCTCCGGGCTCTGGCGTTAGCCCCTGCATCGCTGCTCGCGGTGGATTTGTTGCAGACAGCAGTCCCCAGCTTGGGTTCTTGAAGGATGAAGTCAGCTGGCTTCAGATGCGCGTCTGGAACGTTGGAATGTAGTTGGCGGCCACCCGGCGTAGAAGTTATGGCACCATGTGACATAGCGGAGATCCCATGAACCGCTGGCATTTGGCGGATGTTTTCGAAGTTGGCCCTCGTAGCGCCAGTCGCTGCTAGCGTGGTCCAGAAAGAGGAGAGGGCTGTAGCTTTGAGTGGTAAAGCGCCCGCGTGTGCGCTTCTCATGTGATGGCGTGCGAGTTGGCTCCCGGACGTGATAGCTCCACTGCTGCCTCTAGATTGTGACTTGGTCGCCTCCTTTGCGCGGTAGGGGCCAGACCGTAGCGATGCGCTACCCCATCATCACTTCTTGTTCGCTGTATTTGCCGATAGTCCCCCTTCAGCAGGGTTTGGAAGGGTCTAGTTTTGCGGCAGGGGTTGCGCAGAGCGAGAGGAAAAGGCGACGAGCACTGCTCCCGTGGTGGGTCGGTCGTTCTCTACTCAGGTAGGGATCACCCCACGCGGGCGGCGGGACTTGTGCCTTGGCGCGAGGCCGTTGCGACCGACCCACGTCGGGAGCAGCGCTTCGCCGCCTCTTTCTCTTGCGGGCGGCCATTGATTTGGGTTTGATGTCAAGACTGGCTTGTCTGGTGAAAGCCGCCGCCCTGTGGCAAGTTGGTCTTCGTCCAGCTGTAGGCGTAAGCGCAGCAGGCGCGCANTCCGAGTATTCTGGTGGTGCTGCGCGGCTGTTCGATCGCATTCGGACCACACTGGTCGCTGGCGTTGCAGTGGTTGGAGAGCTCTGGAGGTGTTGAGAGGATTCAGAGGCTTTTTGAGGGTTTTGGCCTGTTTTGGTCGCTTGTGTTGCAATGCTTTCGTGGGTGTCGAGGGTGTTTGGGCCCTCTGTGGGAGGCTCTCATGCTGTTTGCAATGCGAAGACGACATTTGTGATTTCCGTGAGCAGAATCTTTGGAACAGGAGTAAGGAAATGAGAAAAAGAAGAAGATGCTGATCGCGACGTCGTCGCGATCCCCACCTACCTTGTGTTCTGTGGCTTTTGGA